CCCTGTGCTCGCACTCGTTCGTCAGCTCCAGCGACCGCCCATTGGGCGCGGGCAGCCACAGCGCGGCGTTCTCGAGGTTGAGCAGGTCGCGCAGCTCGAGCAGCGCGGTACTGATGATGACCCCGCGGTCCAACGTGCTGCGGATGCGCTGCCCTATCAGCCTCAGCTGCTGCTCCACCTCGTGGGATTCCATCAGCCGCGTGACCTCCTTGTTGCTCTCCTCCGTCTAAACAGACAGTGTGGGTAGAGGAGGGAGAGTCGATTAGTGAGAGGAGCACGGAGCATGAGGGGATGCGCTGCCCTATCAGCCGCAGCTGCTGCTCCACCTCGTGGGATTCCATGAGTCGTGTTACCTCCTTGTTGCTCTCCTCCGTCTGAAGCGAGGGAGAAGGGGGTGGGAGGGTTGGGAGAAGGGTTGATAAGGCGGAGAGGAGAGGCAGGAAGCAAGAGATGAGAGGATGCGGTGCCCTATCAGCCGCAGCTGCTGCTCCACCTCGTGCGATTCCATGAGTCTAGTCACCTCCTTGTTGCTCTCCTCCGTCTGCAGAGGAGCGGGAAGGAGGGGGGAGACGAAGGGTCGAACATGTGGGGCGGAGGCAGACACAAGGGAGGAGGAGAACAGGTAAGAAGAGCGGAGAGCAAGGGAGGGAGGGAGAAGGGACTCTGAGTCCTCCAGTCCAAGTATGTATCAGGTCCAGCCCCAGCTATTGCTGACGCACAGCGTTTTGGACGCCAAGCATGTCCTCAAACCTTGGCCCTGCCTCTCCTCGCCTCACCTTGCTCTCTTGAGTTGCACAGTCCTCTCGTGCACCATGGCAATGTCGCTGAGTTCGAGCCCCAGCTGCAGCACGGTTGACTTTTGAGTCGACTCAAAAGTCAACACAGTCCTCTCGTGCACCATGGCAATGCCGCTGAGTTCGAGCCCCAGCTGCAGCACGCACGGTGCAGCAGCTGATGAGCGCGGAGAGCAGCTTTGTAACCTTTACCCTCCAGTCCTCACCTTCCGTGCCACCTGTCACCGTTCACATCGCCCTCACCTTGCTCTTGAGCTGCACGGTGCGTTCATGCACCATGGCGATGTCACTCAGTTCAAGCCCCAGTTGCAGCACGGTGCAGCAGCTGATGAGCGCGGAGAGCAGCTTGCACGCCGTGATGCCCAGCAGTAGGAAGCGCGGCAGATGCCCGTAGGAGAAAAGCTCCAACAGATGGGTCAGACTGGGGGAAGGGGAAAGGAAGGGGGGGGAATGGGGGGAGTGTGGTGGGCACAGACAGGCAGCAGCTGATGAGCGCGGAGAGCAGCTTGCACGCCGTGATGCCCAGCAGTAGGAAGCGCGGCAGATGCCCGTAGGAGAAAAGCTCCAACAGATGGGTCAGACTGGGGGAAGGGGAAAGGAAGGGGGGGGAATGGGGGGAGTGTGGTGGGCACAGACAGGCAGCAGCTGATGAGCGCGGAGAGCAGCTTGCACGCCGTGATGCCCAGCAGCAGGAAGCGCGGCAGGTGCCCGTATGAGAACAGCTCCAGCAGATGGGTCAGACTGGGGAAGCAAGCGGTTGAGGGGTGTGGGGGGGGATGGTATGGCATGGCACAGTATGGCATGGCATGGCATGGCATGGCATGGTATGGCATGGGCGTGGCATGCATGCTGTTACATGAGCATGGCATGAGATGGTATGACATGGCACGGCATGTCGTGTTAGCACATGGGCACAGCATGACTCACCCCGTGGTGGTGACGAAGGCACCAAATTGCAGGATAAGCAGATGGTAGGGGAACTTCTGTACGGGGGAAAAGCGGCATTGCGGGGGGGTGGAGGATGATGGGAGGGGAAGAAACAGGGGTGGGGGGGAAGGGGGTAGGAGCGAGGAGAGAGGAGAGCGGGGAGAGGGTTGAGCAGAGGAGCAGGGAGGAAGAGACGGAGAAGGCGAATAGGGAGGGAGGACGGAAAGAGGCCGGTCACGTGGTGGGTACGGCAGGAGGGGGAGAACGCGGGAGGGAAGGAAATGCGGAAACGAGTTGACAAAAGAAACGAGGGACGAGGGAGGGGAACTGGGAGGGACAGGAAGGCATGCAGAAACGAGACGAGAACGTTCATAAGCGGGAACTCGAGAGCACGCGAACCAGCAGCGCATGTCCACTCGCCTTGGAGCTTTTAACGAAGACGTAGAGCTGTATCGGGATGGACAATAACGCGACAGCCGTGACGACATCGAGCAGCATCTGCCACGTGACGAGCGCGCCGGGCATGTTCCAGCCCGCATACATGACGAACGAGGCGCAGTTCTTGCACATGCGGCTGATGCTGATGCCGCCCTTCACGCCCGGGCGAATGAACTTCGCCGACGTGTTACCCTTCGCAGGCCCGATGTGCACGTTCGTCGCGCCGAAGACGGGCAGGTGAAGGTGCTGCGACGTCGACGCGCCGGCGCCGGGCAGGGTGAGCACCTGGTGAGGAAAAAGCCTAGGAGGAGGGTGGCGTCATTTGCCACGTGGCTGGCGTGGGAGACGAGGCAGAAGAGTAACCAGGCCAAGCGCGCCGATATCTGCGCCCACGTCCGCATCCAGCGCGATGCTCCTCCATAGCCCGAGGAGGAGACAGCGGCGGAGGAGGCGGAGGAAGAGGAGGAGGAAGACGAAGAGCAGGCTCGGTCAGTACTAAAAGCAGGGTCAAATGTGACAATGCGGGATGTGCTACTAGCGGTGGGTCCCACGGGCCGTCGTCTGAGCCCTTGAAACGGGTCCTTTTCCTCGCGCGCTGCTAGCGAGTCATCTGAATCCGACGGTGAGATTGGCGCGTCCTCGGAAACGCACGGCAGGATTTCCTCGATTTTTCGGGTGGAACGCGAACCCCCGTTTGAAGCAGGACGCGCATTGCGGAAGCCAGAGAAACTATTCCCTAAACCTGAGGAGCTATCACCACGATCATAGCCAATGTGACCGTTGTCCCCGCTAATGTTGCCGGCTAGCAGGCCGTCCTTGGCGGCTCTCTGCTCCATTGCAGCGCGCCGAGCCATCTCGGCCTGGCGACCCATCTTGTCGGCCTCGTATGCCTCAATGCGCGCCGATAACGCGTCGCGGAGCTTCCGCGTGGCGCGATGCTGCGGCGCCATGGCGAAGTATTCCGCAAAGCGTTTTCACGCGGTAATCCCAAGGACCGCAATGAACAGAAGTCGTTTGAGAGTCCCCCAAACGACGAGAACGGCGAAGCAGCACGGAAGATTGTGCACAATCGCTCGACAGGAAACCGGAACCTAGAGCATCCTAACCCTAATAGGGAGTATACTGCAACCTAGAAAATACTGAACGGCAGTATTGAGGCTACTTTTTCGTAAGCTGCCGCTGTTTTCTGGATCATCTCCACTCGTCAATCGTGAAGTGGTTGGGAAGAATTCTCTTTACAAGAAGACGCGGTAAACAAGGAAAGGAAACTGAATAAATTGACGAACAAACGACGACAGTCCGAACCTGCCCACAGGCAAAACGTGAGAAAGTCTGGAGACGCGGGGTATCGATCCCCGTACCTATCGCATGCAAAGCGATCGCTCTACCATGTGAGCTACACCCCCATGTCCATTGACATGGCAAAAACACCTCAATTGTATAATTATTTGCACTAGAGCCAGAAGCTTGTGTTTGCCCTGACATGGCTGGAGGCACCATCTCTGTGAGCGGGGGAGGGCGGGGCCCGTCAGTCGCAACCATTGCTGCGCTCGCCGCCGCAGCGACAGCTGTCGGCCTTTCCTTGGTCGGGCTGCGTGGGCTTCGTCAATGGGCCAAACGCGCACAGAAATGCGCGCCGCCCAGCGGTGGGCGGCGGGCCTTGTCGTGGCGCAGCGTTTTTACCGGCGAGAAGCACGGCGGCGCGGAAAGGGAGAGGGAGCGCGTGGCTCATTTAGTTCCGCTGGTGGAGCGATCGGCGAGTTCGGGCAAAGTGAAACGGATCGAACGATTCGGCGAATACGTTGGTGCGTGCTTCATGAAGCTTCCGAGTTGTTGACGTAGTAGGGATGGATATTAATCGCTAACTTAGTGGATATAAATATCAGCGCCTACTTTTTGAGCGAGTAGTAGGCGTATCATTCCAGTCTCTCAACGCACTGTCTGTCTTCGCCTCCCCTCTTTTCCCATTCCGCATCCTTCCCTGTCCCCTTTCCCCCTGCCGTTTCTCTCCTTTCCCCGTCCGCTACGCCCCGTCCCCTTTCCGCCACCCTCCTTCTCATTCCGTAACTCCGCCGCCCCCGTCCGCCTCTCCGCTTCCCCCCTCCGCCAGTGCGCCAGCTGGGCCTGCCTACGGACCTGGCGGCGGTGGCGCTACTGGCGCAGGCGGCGGACGACTACGTGCGGGGCGATAAGAGCACATCCGATAAGAGCCGCGCCAACCTGCTCGCGCTCGTCGCGCAGGCAGGGGGAGGGCGCGCGGAAGGGGAGGCGGAGGCGGGGGAGCAGTTGGGGGAGGAGCTGATCGCGGAGCTGGACGCGTGCATGCTGTCTTACTTTGGCTTCCACTGGCCGCACTCCGCGCTCATGATCGAACAGGTGCGTGCGAGGACAGGGGGAAGGGGAGAAGGGGCGGGCTAAGGGACGGGGAGGGATGGGACTCAACAGCTACTGGCCGCACTCCGCGCTCATGATCGAACAGGTGCGTGGGAGGGGCGTAGGCAGGGGGAGGGGCGGGGAGAAGGGCAAGGGGAGGGGAGGACGGGGCAATGGGAGGGGAAGAATGAGACTCAACTGAGTAGCCACTGGCCGCACTCCGCGCTCATGATCGAACAGGTGCGTGGGAGGGGAGAGGTCGGGGGATGATTGAAAAGTTGACTCGAAAGTCACCTCCATTGCAATGGGGGTAGCCTATGGCAGGGGGAGCCATTTGAGCACAGGAGCACACGAGCACGTGCATGGTTGTGTTCCCTTCTTGTGCTTGTGCATGCGCCCTGCCTGGGTGCATCTCCCCCATCCCTGTGCGCCCATCCCTGTGCGCCCATCCCTGTGCGCCCATCCCCGTGCGCCCATCCCTGCAGGTGTTCCGAGGGCGGAGCAGCAAGCTGCACCTGAGGGACGCCGTCAACGCCGTCATTCGGTGAGTGCGTGCGCAGCACAGCACAGGGCACTGCTGCCCTGAGGGAGTGCACAGTGCACTGCTGCTGCTGCGCTGCCAACCAACGGCCCTCCATTCACATCCAGTGAGCCAGCCAGGGCCGCCAGGGCGCCCAACTGAGCATCATTTCGGTATGATAAAACAAAGTGTCTAGTCTCGGGTGCTGCTTGCTTTCAAGTTCTGAGACATCTCAAAACAAGAGCGTTGAGGGTGCTGCTTGCTTTCAAGTTCTGAGACGTCTCAAAACAAGAGCGTTGAGGGTGCTGCTTGCTTTCAAGTTCTGAGACGTCTCAAAACAAGAGCGTTGAGGGTGCTGCTTGCTTTCAAGTTCTGAGACGTCTCAAAACAAGAGCGTTGAGGGTGCTGCTTGCTTTCAACGCTGTCATCCAGTCTGTGAACCCTCCTTGTCCTCCCCCCACCCTCCTTGTCCTCCCCCCACCCTCCTCCTCTCCCTTCCCCCTCTTCCCTCCCCATGCAGGCAGCGCCGGTTCAACAAAGCCATAACGTGTCTGCGCCCGCAGCAGTGGTTCTTGTCTCCTCACTCCACCCCCCTCTCCCCCGCCCAACACCCTCCCACCCACCCCTCTCTCCCGGCCCCCCCCACGCAGGCAGCGCCGGTTCAACAAGGCAATAACGTGTCTGCGCCCGCAGCAGCGCTTCTCCCAGCTGCTCTCATCTCCTCGCCTCTCCTCCCCACTCCACCCCTCCCGCCCCACACCCCATCCTCTCCCACCCATCTCCACCCGACCCTCCCCCCACCCCCTCCCCCCCCCCCCCCCAAGCAGGCAGCGCCGGTTCAACGAGGCCATAACGTGTCTGCGCCCGCAGCAGCGTTTCTCCCAGCTCCTAGAAGAAATGAAGGTCCTCGGCTGTGGCCCCCGCCCGGGGGGAGCAGGGGGAGTGGGGAGGGGAGGGGGAGCAGGGGGGGGAGGAGTGGAGCAGAGGGGAGCGGGACAGGGAGAAGGAGGCCACGGGGGGGCATCTGAAGGGGGGAACGGGCGGGAAGGCAGATATACGGCCGAGTGCAGTGAAGCAGCGGGTAGTGATGGCCCTGAGAGTGAGAGTGAGAGTGAGGTCCGCACAAAGAATGACGTCCGCCCAAAGAGCACCAGGGACCCGCACCCACTCCCTGAGGGTGACAACCTCACCGCCCACTCCCCCTCTCACTCCCTCTTCCAGTTCCCCACTTCCTCCCCCTCTCACTCCCCCTCTCACTCCCCCTCTCGCTCTCCCTCCCACTCTCCGTCTCATGCCCGCTCGCCCTCCCGCCCGCGCCCGTCAAGTGCGGAGGTCCCGAGGGAGGGGGAGGTGATGGTGCCGGCAGCAGCGGCGGTGCGCTCGCCCGTGCTGCTGCTGATTGGTGGGGGCATGGGCGCTGGCAAGTCAACGGTGGTCAAGGAAATCATGAAACGGTGAGGGGAGAAGCGGAGGAGTGCTGCGAGAGACAGAGAGATGGAGTGAGGGTGTGTGCTATCATGGGCTGAGCCGATGCAAGAAGCTTGCGCTGCTGCTGATAGGTGGGGGCATGGGTGCTGGCAAGTCAACAGTTGTGAAAGAAGTCATGAAACGGTGAGTTGAGGGATAGGGTGAGTGTGTGTGCTACGGTGGTGCCCTCCCCCGTGCTGCTGCCGATAGGTGGGGGCATGGGTGCTGGCAAGTCAACGGTGGTCAAGGAGATCATGAAACGGTGAGGGTGAGGAGGAGGAGTGCTGAAGAGAGATACAGTGGGGTGTTGAGGGGTTGAGTGCGCGTGTGTGTGTTATCATGGGCTGAGAGAGTCGGTGCCCTCCCCCGTGCTGCTGCCGATAGGGAGGGTCATGGGTGCTGGCAAGTCAACCGTGGTCAAGGAGATCATGAAACGGTGAGGGTGAGGGAGTGGTGTGAGTGCAAAGGGATGGAGTGCGTTGTTGAGAGATGGAGTGAGCGTGTGTGCTATCATGGGCTGAGCCGGTGCAAGAAGCTTGTGCTGCTGCTGATAGGCGGGGGCATGGGCGCCAGAAGATGGACATCATGGAACGGTGAGGGGGATGAGGAACGCTGTGAGAAACAGAGAGATGGAGTGCGGTGTTGAGCGATAAAGTGCGCTTGTGTACTATCATGGGCTGAGTCCTTCAAGAGAAAGGGCGCAATCTTCTGAGCGTTTTCCTGTGCTTCTGTCTCCTCTCCCTTCTCCTCCTTCCTTCTCGCCTCTTTTCCCCCTCTCCCAGCACCTTCTGGGCGCGCATGGCGCCACACGCAGTGGTAGTCGAAGCCGACGCCTTCAAGCAGAAGGACGCAATCTTCCCAGCGCTCTCCGCTCCCCTCTTCCCTCGTCTCCCATTCTCGCCTCCCCTTCCCCCCCACACTCTTCCCCCCGCCGCAGCACCTTTTGGGCGCGCATGGCCCCACACACGGTGGTGGTTGAAGCCGACGCCTTTAAGGTAAAAGACGCAATTTTCCGAGCGCTCTCCGCCTCCCTCCTCCCTGACCTCCCATTCTCGCGTCTACTCCCCAAACCTATTCCCCCCCCCTCCGCAGCACCTTTTGGGCGCGCATGGCGCCACACGCAGTGGTGGTCGAAGCCGACGCATTCAAAGAAAAAGACGCAATCTTTCGAGCGCTCTCCGCTGACCGGCTGAGCGACGCCGCCCGCATCTCGCAACTGGTCCACGAGGAGTCAACCCGGGCGGCGCAGTCAACGCTGGTAACCGCGCTGAACGAGGGCCGGGACGTGATATTCGACGGGACCATGTCGTGGGCCCCGTTTGTGCAGCAGACGATTGCGATGGCTAGACGGGTGCATGAGCGGAGGTTTAGGATGGGGCCGGGGTATCAAGTGAAAGAGGATGGGAGTGTGGTGGAGCGGTATTGGGAGGAGGTGGAGGAGGAGGGGGAGGGCGGGGTGGAGGAGGGGAGGAGAGAGAGAGGGGAGGAGGAGGGGAAAACCAGAGGGGAGGAGGATGGGAGGGAGCGAGAGGGTGGCGAGGAGATGGGGAGCGAGAGAGGGGAGAGGGAGGAGGAGAGGGGGAGGGATCAGACAGGAAAGGAGGGTCAACACCGACCCAAGAGGCACAGCAGTCCAAGGAGGGCTCTGGGATCGGGCAGGGGAAGCTATTGCAGCAGCGAGAAGGCGCAGGGGCAGGGACAGGGGCAAAGGCAGGGGAAGGGGGGCATGGAAGGGACACGGCAGGGAGGGGGGATGTGCTGGGAGAGGAGAGGGCAGAGGGGGGCCGGGGAGCAGCGGCTGCCGTATCGCATCGAGCTGGTGGGAGTGATGTGCGACGCCCACCTGGCTGTTGTGCGCGGCATGCGGTGAGTTGTGAGTCGACTCAAAAGTCAATGTTTCTTTTAGTCAACTGAAAAGGGGGCAGCTGGGAGGCGCCTCAAAGGTTCTCTCCTCTCCACGTTCTTCCCCTTCCATGAACCATCATTTTTCCTTCCTGTCACCCCAGGCGAGCCATCCTAACAAAGAGGGGAGTGCCGGTGCACGAGCAGCTGCGGTTGCACAAGCTGTCCCACCTCACCCCACCCACTCTCCCACCCCACACCCTGACTTTCCACAACTTCCCTGCCCCCTTCTGTGCCTTCCTTCCCTCCCAGGCGCGCCATCCTGACCAAGAGGGGAGTGCCGGTGCACGAGCAGCTGCGGTCTCACAAGCTGTCCCACCCACCACATCCCCTGTCTTTCCATATCTTCCGTGCCCCTCTCTGGCCCTTCCTTCCCTCCCAGGCGCGCCATCCTGACCAAGAGGGGAGTGCCGGTGCACGAGCAGCTGTGGTCTCACAAGCTGTCCCACCCATCCCATCCCCTGTCTTTCCATATCTTCCGTGCCCCTCTCTGGCCCTTCCTTCCCTCCCAGGCGGGCCATCCTGACCAAGAGAGGGGTGCCGGTGCACGAGCAGCTGAGGTCGCACAAGCTGTTTGCCAGCAGTGTGGAGGCGTACTGTGACCTCGTTGATGTGGCCACTCTCTACTCCACTAATCATATGGGGGGACCTCCACAGGTGAGTCAGTAAGAATCTATGGGATAGTGGAGGCATACTGTGACCTGGTGGACGTGGCTACTCTCTACTCGACTATCCACATGGGGGGACCGCCACAGGTGAGTCAATGTGAGTCAACGGGAGTCATTGTGAGTCAACGCCAGTCAATGCAAGCCAACTCCTGCTTTCTCACACCATTTGCTCACTCGTATTTTTCTATAATTTCTTTTTCTCTTTGTACTTTGCAGCTTACACGTTCGCCCTTACTTGAACTTCGCACTGATCCCTCCATCTTCCACCCCCTCTACCTCCACCATCCCCATCAACGAATATATTTTTTAGGCAACTCTAGAATCCTTCCTCTCTCCCTCCCCTACCCCGCCGTCCCTCCCTCCACCACCCCCACCAGCTGATTGGCTACAAGGAAGGCATATCACCCCCCAGGAGCGCACCAACCACTCCACCATCCACCCCAACCGGCATGATTACACCGCCTACAAGCACGACTCCCAGCACGGGCGCCATCTGCAGTGGGGGCGTGTGCAGCCACCTGCTGGTGGACTCAGCAGCCTTCCACCTTGTCTCCGACTTGAAACGCGTCAACCCCCGCGCCTCCTGCGTTCTGGAGCTCTACTTTACAGAAGGCGAAGCAGAGGGGGAAGGGGATGGGGAAGGGACTGGTGGGAGCACGGGCAGAAGAAACCAGTGGTGGCTGCCCGGATGGTGGTTGTCCCTGTGGCGCTGGGGAAAAGGGGCAGCGCGGGCAGGCGAGGAAAAGTTTGGGCCGGGCAGCACGTGGAGGGAGGTGGTGCTGGCGGAGGAGCGGGCGGCGCGGCAGGCTCGACTGAGGGAGGCGTTTACTGAGCTGCAGGCGTGCCTGTGGCCGGCAGCTCACAGCAACCGAGGCATCACCTCTTCCACCAGCTTCACCTCCCTGCACTCCCTCCCTTCCTCCCTCGCTTCCTCCCCGCGCCACCCCCCTCCTGCTCCTCCTTCCGCTTCCTCATCCTCCATCTCCTCCTCCTCCTCTGCTTCCCTGGCCCGCCGTGTCGACTCAGCAGAGCGCAACGACTCAGCAGAGCGCAACGACTCAGCAGAGCGCAACAACGTAGCAGGGAACACAACGTCTAATGATGCAGTGCAGAATATCAGCTCGATACACTCAAAGCCAGACAGTAACGTAGGGGATAGATACGCACAAAGTGACTTTTGAGTCGACTCAAAAGTCACCTCGGAAGACAACGTCTAATGCTTTAGTGCAGAATATCAGCTCGATATACTCAATGCCAGACAGTACTGTAGGGAATACATCTAATGATGCAAGGTAGGGTATCTACCTACCGCTGCCCTGTTGCCCTGGGGTCACCGGAGCTGGATCTGGAACCCCGAGCCTCGGAAACTGGCTCGGGAGTCCGAGCCTCTGACAAGCCTGTTTCCTTCCAATAATAGTTCTGCTGTATCACAATGGTGTCCAGAGTAGGTGCGCAAAAACTTTTGTACCGGTACCTGTGGCTTGATTCACTGAACCTTATCTTTCCTAAGGGTACATTCCGCTCTGGACATGTCCCAAAAGTACATGTCCCAATCGGGTGTACCGCTCCGAACCGAACTAAACCAGAGACGCGAAAATTTTGACAATGTGTGAAACTAGGGTGTAATTCGGTGTAATAAGATGCAGTGCGGTAGAATCGATTGGGACACCTTCTACGGTATTGGGACATGTCCAGAGCGGAATGTACCCCAAGTATCGAGGCCAAAAGTGTCTCGTTTGTGCAAACATATGTTTTGAGCTCTGTTGAGTTGACCTGAACTGAATCTTGCCCTGCTTGCTCTGTGAATACGGTAAGAGGTGCCATGGCTGGTCCTGCTTGCTTGCCTTGTGCGGTCCAGGCTGTTGAATCCACCACCTGGTGTTCGTTGCCCTGCGTTCCCATGCCTTGTGTTGGGTGGTGGGTTTCCATCCCATGCCTGCTTGACGAACCTACTCCCCACAAAGAGCAACAATGCCATCAGAGGTGGTATAAGCAATGAAATGAGCTGTCAGCACTGCTACAGCCCAGGCATGTAGCCGGGGCGTTCAAAATGATCAGCGGTGCCACATTGCTAAATAATGCCCTTTGCCTTGCCTTGCACCCCGGCATGCACTGGTCCCACATGCAACCAATTAGGAAAGGGGGCGGCATGTACTGGTCCCACACGCAACCAATCAGGAAAGGGGAGCAAACATTGTGCATGCCAGTTAATTCCACTGCAGCTTTACATCAACCACACGACCACAGTTCATTACAAGAACCGAGCAGGGTCGAAGGGTCCAAGGTCCACACAGCTGGCCCTGCCGTTCACAGCGAGCTCTGCTACAGCTAGGCCTGTAGCAGGGGCGTTCAGAATGCCCCAGCAGCTGTGACCCGTTGCTACATACGCCCCTTGCATCCCCGGCACAGGCCCTATTACAGGCACATTGTCCTGGGAGCATGGCAGGAAGCATGCCTGCTCCTTCACTATAGTCACATCTGCTAGTGCTGACGACACAGTAGCTCCAACTCGTTTTAAGAACTCCGGGACTCCTGGAGTGGTGGTGATTTCCTCGGGATTATCCGGAAGGTAATTATCCCCTTCGGTGACGGAGCAGAGGTAAACTTCCCCGGATGGCCGGGGGTAAATTTCCGGGTCTGCATGCCGCCCGTCTTTTGTCCTGTACTGCAGGAAGAGCATATGGTTGGACACAGCTTCGGGATTCTGGTTCGGCCGGACCACAATGCTATTTGCCTTCAGACCTGTGATCTGGCCCAGCCGTGCTACGAGACGATTTTTGCCGGACCAGGGACCCAGTGCAAACACCACAATATCAGCTGCCACTGTAGCACCATCTACAATCACACCAGTGACTTTAGAGGGAGCACCAGCATCCCCCACTGGCGCCACAGCAACGTCTTGAACCTCCCCCAGCTGTACCTCCACCCCATGCCTCTCCCCCGCCACTCTAAGGAGAGTCTCAGTGAACAGTTGTGGGTGAACCTGGGCAGTTGTAGCTGGTGATCCCATTGTCTGGACTCCCCGCACTGGCCCGTCTATCCATTCGGGCAGCGTGGAAACTTTTGTTCGCTGCCCACCAGCAGTGGAGGGTTTCTTGGGTTCGGTGACCTGGAGGCTGAGCGTGTGCACCTTGCGGTAACCGTAACAGTCGCCGAACTGCTGTGCTAGCTGCTCGTGAAGACGATAGCTCAGCTGGTAGGGAAAAGGGAAGGGAAAGGATTGGAGAGGGGAGCCAAATGGGACTAGACTAAATATTGGCTGCTTTGCTGGATTTTGAACAGACTAAAATAATAGATTTTTATATCTTGTGTTAGTGGCTCTTGTATTCTCAAATGTGATATCGTTAGTTGGCTCTTGATATCGTTAGTTGGCTCTCACCTGTGCGAGCTTCCCAGTAGGGCCGGAGCACCAATCCAATGCTAGAAATCCACCCGCCTTTCCGGAAGCAGCGCATGCCACGTGGCACTTCTCGACGACCGTTACTTTGACCCCCTTCTCCGCCAGGTAAAACGCAGTGCACGCGCCGATAACGCCTCCCCCGCATACCACAGCGTGGAGCGGCTTAGTCGCCGTTTTCTCCGCCGCAGTTGACGCCATTTCCGGCGCCGATGCTCTCACTCTCAAAAGCGAATTTCTAGATTTCGACACGTGGCTAGTAGGCTTCAGGTGATTCCTGCGAAACAAATGCGGAGCAGCGAGAGTGAACGAACTGCGACTCGACGAGCTACCCAATGGTCGGGTTTGCCCCAAATACGTCGAAGCAGGATGCCATGTGACAGGCAGCAAAGCTGACATGCTCAGAGCTTATGCGAATCACGGTGGCTGATACTAGCGGCGACGTCGCTGCTGCATGCTGTGGCTTTGGTGACATAACAAAGTATACTCGTTTGAAACAATGCAGAATGGTTCATTTAATTCCGCTCAATTCTACAGATACGTGTATATTGCAGCATTTGTTCCTTATCGCGAGTCTTCTTTGAAGTGAGTGGGCTCGGGCTCACAAGAGTGGATAACGATGCGCGCAGGAGACGCTGAGCCACATGTAAAGCAGTTTCCCGCTCACCGCCAGCTCAGCTGGTGATTCTGCAGAACAACGGAACTCCCAAGGAGCTGTTTTTGTTTTGTTGAAACCTCGAATATGTGAGTTCTGGACGAGCTAAAAGGTCGAGAAAGGCACTTGTAAAACCAATCTCAGAACAGTACTTTCTGAGCAAGCTCTTCTGATAAATATGTTTTTGTTGAGAGTTGACCCACTCAAGAACCAAATGTCATTGGGATTGCATGCTTGAATGCGGCCGCATTGAAGCAAGTCCCCAACTTCCCCCAACCCAACATCTTGCAGAAACATTGCATTGGTCCCTCCTCATTTGTCATTGTCCCATTGTCTTCGTCGGTGTCATCGGCGTTGTAGGGCCTTGTTGTTGGGCTGACCAGAGCTCTCCGCTCCTCGCGCTTCCATCGAGCTTGTGACAATGCTGAGCAGCCGTGCGGCGGCAGCAACCTCCATGTTGTCGCTCTGCGCTCCGCCTCCGGCGGCCTCGCTGAACAGAGCGCGGAGCAATGTCGTAGCGGAGACCGCTTCTGGCGGAGTTAAGACGTTAAACCGGGTTTCCGTGTCACCATGGGTTTCAACGAGGTCGAGCAGTCATGGTCGGCGGTGCGTAGCCATGGCAGCGCAATCTGATGAGAACCAGCCCCCTTCGTTCTTCGACATTATCGAAATCAGAGGTATTTATGTTTTCGCGTATTGTTTCATTTTTTTTTCTTCATGCATTCTCTTTTTATTGCGCGAAATAGGTGTTTGAGACTTCCTCTTTGTCCGTGGCATTTCTTATTTCAAAGCTTAAATATAAGACCTTTCTTTGTCAACGCCTTACATTTTCTATAAAATATAACGATTGAACATCCGTGCCAACCTCTGTACATTTCAACTCTCATTCGGAGCAGAGCTTCCTGATGGCACCGTTCTCTACTCCTTCGGCGATGTCGACCCGTCGGCGCCTCCAAAAATCGATCCAACGCCAGAGCCTACACCTGAGGTCTCTGCCGAACCAACACCTGCACAGGAAACCGATCCCACTCCTGAACCTAAGCCAGAACCCGCCTTAGAACCCGCTCCCGAACAAGCTGCAGAGCCCGAACCTCAAACAGAGCCCGAGCCTGTTCCGGAGCCGGAACCTGAACCCGAGCTAGTGCCTGTGCCAGAGCCGATAGCCGAGGCAGCGGCACCGGCGGAGCCCGAAGCTCCAGCAGAGGTTGCGGAGGTTGCTCCAGCAGAAGTGGAAGAAGCGGAGGCAGAAGCAGCACCAGTTACTGAAGCGGTGCAAGAAGAGGTGAGCGCAGATCCCGTAGAAATTGCAGCAGCAGCAGACAACGCATTAGTCGATACCCCCAAGGAGGCAGAGCCCGCAGCAGTCGAGGCAGAGCCTGCAGCAGTCGAGGCAGAGGCAGCAGTCGTAGCGGAGCCGGCAGCGGCCGCTGAGATAGAGCCAGCAGTTGCAGCGGTGGCAGCAGCAGCTGTAACGGAGGAGCCGGTAGTGGAGCCTGTGACAGCAGCAGCAGCAGTAGCAGCAGCAGAACCAGCGGCGGTGGTAGGAGGTGCCGCTTCGCGTCAGCGCCCCATGGGTTTCGCGAAGCGATCCCCCGTAGCCAATGCGCGGCGCAAGCAGAGCTCGAAGCGGAGCGCGGGTGTAGCATCTGAGGTGCACGAGGACGAGAGGGCCGCTGTGGTTACTGCAGCAGGTGAGGCCTCTGCTGAGAGTGCTGCCTCTGCTGACCATGCGTCTGCCACCACTGCTGCTCCTGCTGTCGCTGTTGCGATCCCCGAGCGGCTGCCCACCAGATTTGTGAAGCGGAGCCCGCTCAAGGATGCGATGGCGAGGAAAATGGAGGCGGCGGCCGCAGCGGGCGAGCCCAGCGACGATGAATCGGTGAGTTGCCTTTGTCATTGTTGCGGGCGGGAAAGACGAAGAGAACGCACATAACTTTTGCCTTTTCACATAACCGCGTGTGGAAAGAGTGCAGGCTTTTGCCAGTTCGTGAACTGGTTATTGTGTTGAAAAGCCCAAAACCCGTCCCGAAATGAACTTATTGCGAGATTGAACTCCTAGACCGGCTCCACATCACGTTTGTGAGCTCTTTGGACACGGCTCCATCTTCATCCATTTTTTCATGAGAATTTTGTCAGCCTTGTCTAACCAGGTCTTTAACCAGCGTGGCCTCTTGTTGCCCCATTCCATCCCTCCTTCCATACCACCCCATTTCTCAAGTCACCTTTGTCGATCAGCTCTATGAACCTGAGCCCTCACCATTTATCCTGATCTTGTTGCCTGATGTTCCATTCTTCCATTGTTGGCCAAACACTCAAAATTTCTCCCTCTCTGTCTCAACAGGAGCTTGTCGAAGCCGCCACGCGATGGCGTTCGTCACTTCCCCCCAGACTCCCTTCTAAGTTTAAGCGCCAATTCCCAAGGTTCCAGTCCAGAGTGCGCCCAGGCACCGGCTTGACAGAAGTCGTTCTGGACCTGTCTGGTTCTGCTGCTGCTCAGGAGAAACAGCTGGAAACTGCTCCTGTGTCAGATGCATCAGTCAGTGCTGTTGAAGAAGTAGTGGTGAACCAAGAAGAAGATGCAGGAGAAATCGAGGTGGTGGTGGAAGCAGCACCGAGTGTGAATGGAGTGAAGAGGCGGGATGTGCTCGAGGGAATGACGGCCCAGGATTTGAAAATGTTTCTCAAGGAGAGGAAAGTGCGGGGGTATTCGAGGATGCGCAAGGCTGAGCTAGTAGAGTTCATCCTCGATATGGAGGAAATTAATTAGTTGGTCTGAAACGACAATTGTGTTATTTAGTGTGTGGTGGTACGGTATGTTAGGACTGTGAATGAGAGGTCTTTGCTTGTGTGTCAGACCTTGAGTGCACAGCTGCTTTTTGGAATGAAGATTTTCCTGTCAAAAAAGTGTTTCAAAAACAAGTTTTATTATTATTATTACTTAGAGACGTTAAAGCTGTTGCCAATGTGGTATTTTGACGAATGTGCTTTTGTTGAAAGTCTCGAACACATCTCGGCAGTCCCGAAAGCCTCACCTCCTGATTCGCAACCCATTCGCCGCTTTTTCACTTTGGGATCCATGGCACCAGGCAGTGGAGGCCGCATTGGTTGACATTGCCATGACTTAGTCGCTCGGATAGGTGCAGGTCGCGTCAACTGGCGACTCACAGTGGGCTCGCTTCGTGGTAACGCCATTGTTGACCTGGTTCCTTCATTCTTTGCTTCCGGAGCATATCCAGAGCATCTATATATGCGAATCGTGCGATAGACTTCCAGCAACTCTAGCCAGGATGGATTCTCAAGCACCGCGAATCGCTAAAGCATCATGTCGCAGATTAAGGAGATCTGGATATCACGTGTCTGCGCCAGTCCGCATCAGCATTCGTGTGTCCACCCTACTTATCTTCATCTTCGTTTGCGTCGAGAGGACGATGGCTCAGCTGCCAGAATTTAGTGGTAGTCAAACGTGCGAACTGACGGATTACGTCAGAGCTTCAGGACCCTGTCAAGGTAATCTGCGAGTTGAAGTAACGGAGCATCGCGGAACTTTGTATTTGAGGCGTAGCTGCTCGTGTGGTTACCTGGTCTCATAAATGACAGGGTGATTTCGCTTTGCCGAGTTAGATACGATCTTGTCAAAAGTATCCGTTATCAGTTTCTTCTGCTGGTAAGACTGCCTTACGCCATCCACGGTAAAGCAGCACGACAGTGCAGCCAACATGAATGATGTAGTCCAGAGATTACCGTTGCATTGCATCGCTTAAAAAGTTCAAGCTAACGGTTCTCATAATAGCCTGAGAGCGTTTCGTTTCCTGCATCGCAGGAAACATCATGGTCTCCTGAGAGCGACACCTTTTGAGACATCCTAAGATTCACAACGCTGTTTTTATGACCGGTGGGGTGTGGTGTGTTGTGGTGTGGTGTGGCAGATGGCAACAGGGAGATCAACTTTGAGAAGGCGAATCGCAACTGCACCGACCCGTTCCAGTTCGAAAACATCCGCAAGGAGCCCTGCGGTCAGCCCCACGTCCATCCTTCCGTCTTCCTATCCGCATTTCCCTATGTCGCTGCTTGACTAGACGCATGGCCTCCCTGCAGTTTAGGACACGGTTTCTTATGTTTCAATCGTGGATTTTTTTCAAGGACACAGCCTGTGAAATACCGAATCTGTACATTTAGCACGCTGACTTCTCATACTGCCTTGTGCCTGGCAATCCCTCCCGTCCCCCGGTGTGCTTGCAGAGTGCACGCCTTCAGACTACGAGAAGGAGTACTCGAAAGGGGACGATGGGAAATGCTACCTGCAGTATCGCCCAAGCAGTGAGTGCTCTACCTCTTTCATTTGTATCGTTTCATTAGACATTAGGATCTCCTCTGGATGTAACATTTCATCCATAGGTACCTCACTGCGTTCCCTCACACTGCATCGCATCTCCCCCTCACCGCGTGCACTCCCCCCTCACTGCATTTCCCCCTCACTGGTTTCACTCTCACTTCTCCCCTCACTTGTTTCCCCTCACTGCTTTTCCCCATTATCCCCTCTCCCCTTTCCCCCGACCATAGACTGTCAGGGAGGGCAAGAGTCGAAGCGAATCCCGGTGGACCTTCTGTTCTGTGGTAAGCAGCAGTGCAGCACACAGCACGCTCCACGCAGCACGCTCCACGCAGCACGCAGGTAGCTCTTGGCACTGCAGTCCGCACTCTGACCTTACTGGTATCCAGTGTCTTGGTGCCCCAACTCCCGTGCCACGCCTGTGACTCTCATCAGACACGAAGCCTGTCCGTCAGGTCCACTGCACTGCATGGAGAGCAACGTGGGAAGGAGGAGTATGAACCTCACCTGGGACTACGTCCTTGAGGCCCACTTACCACCCTTCCCATGCCCGTGCATGTGCCTGTGTCTATGTCCGTACCCATACCCATGGTCATGGGTAGAGCTGAAGCCGGTGCCGTGCACGGAGGCGAACATGAAGAGCATGTACCTCACGTGCGACTACATCCGTGACCCAGCCACCAACCAGCAGCTCTCCAAGACGCGCATGATCCAGGTCCGTCCCTCACTTCAGCTTGAGAGACAGCTAGAGGCTCGACACACGGCTCCTTAATGGCCAACGTATGCAAAGAGCCGACCGGAGGATTGGCACACATGGGCCTACATCCGTGACCCAGCCACCAACCAGCAGCTCTCCAAGACACGCATGATCCAGGTGCGTACGCCCCCCTCTCTTATCCTTCCTCTATAACCTCTCCCCTCGCCCTCCTCTCTTTCTCAATCTGCCTTCCTCTTAGCCCTCCCCCTACCATCCTCTCCCCATGCTCCTCTCCAGTCAGGTGGTGTTTAACGTGGCAAAACCAGTGCAACCCTGCAGTACATGGCGTGTAGACTCCTCAAAATCGCCTCACGAACCTCATGGCCTCCCCCCCCCCCCCGGCCCCCCCACCCCATACCATCTTCCCCCAGTCAACCAGGTAGTTTGCTACTTTGACAACCAATGTAACTCTGCAGCACGTGGCGTGTACGATCTTCTAAACTCTTCGCATGAACCCCATAGCCTCCGGCACAGCACGGAACACCTCAGCAGCAGCAACAGTACCGCCACTCCCTCCTCCAGGCACGGCTGCTGCCCCTCCCTCTGCAGCGCCCTCCCCCACATCGGACAAAACATGCCACCCGTGCCAGCCTGGCGAGGCGGCAGTCAAGATGCTCCTGCTGGAGCACTTTCGGACTGTGGAGGACGGGAAGCTTCCCAGCGGCTTCCAGACGGGATGCAGCGGGGAGTGTGGGTCGGGCGGGTGGAGGGTGGTGGGGGATTATCTGGACTCGGGGGCGAATAACGGCAAGACCGCTTCTGTAAGTGTGTTCGTTGCTAATTGCATTCTGCAGTGCGGGTGGTGGGGGATTATCTGGACTCAGGGGCGAATAACGGCAAGACTGCCTCTGTAAGTGTGTTTGTTAGCCAAGTGCACTTGATCTTGGGTGGTGGGGGCGAATAACGGCAAAGCTGTTTCTGTAAGTGTGTTTGTTGGTTGATTAAATTTGGTTCGCGGGAGGTGAAATTCGCCCACAATATCACCTACTTTGTTTCATCGTCCTCTCACCCCCCTCTTCCCTCCCCCTCGCTCTATCCCCAGCTGCATCACATATCGTGTGACCATGCGCCATATCGTGTGACCATGCACCATATCGTGTGACGATGCGCCATTTCGTGTCACCATGCGCCATATCGTATAACCATGCGCCATATTGTGTGACCATGCGCCATTTCGTGTGACCATGCGCCATATCGTGTGACCATGCGCCATATCATGTCGCGTTCCCATTCCCTCCATCCTCCTTCCCTCTCTCCTCTCCCTGCAGGTGTGGCTGGCGCTGACAGTGAATCTCACCATCCCCATCTACATCACATACGATATTGGCTGCCGGTCCATGAGCCTTACCATACTGACCAAGCACTCATCATGCCCTCACTGTTCATCTATTCCTCCCTGCAGGTGTGGCTGGCACTGACAGTGAACCTCTCCATCCCCGGCTGGCTACATCACATACGACTTTTCTTGTCCATCCATGCAACTTAGCCTATCACCTTCTCATTCTCCCCATCCTCCTTCCCTCATTCCCTCGCTCCCCACAGGTGTGGCTGGCGCTGACAGTGAATCTCACCATCCCCGGCTACATCACATACGACTTTGACGTGGACATCCCTCCCGGCGACCTGCAGCGGGGGCTCTTCTTCTATGTGGACGACAACCTGCTCGAGAACATTGAGGTGTGGTGGGCGGTGCTGTGCGGTGATGAATGCTGATAGTGCTGAATGATGCCATTGCTGAGGTGGCCTGCAGTGCGGCCTCTTTTCCCACGTGGATGACAACCTGCTCGAGAACATCGAGGTCTGGTGGGCGTGTGTTGCGGGACAATGAGAATTTGCTGAGAAGGTGAGGTGGGTGGGATCACCTGGAAGGTGACCTGCAGCTTGGCCTTTTTTTTTTTACGTGGATGACAACCGGATGGCAAACCTCTCTGCTCTTTGCTCCTTTCTCCCTCACTCTTTCCTCTCCTCTTTCCCTCCCATATTCCTTCAGGACGGGGGCAGCATGGGCGTGAGCGTGCCGGTCGGTCGCAGCAGCAGCCAGCAGTGGCCGCTGGCAGCAGGCAGCCACCGCATCATGTGGGTGTGGGTCACCCTCAACGCCGATCGCACCTCCGTCGATCGCTCCTCTGCCATCCTGCACAGCGTGCGCGTGTGGGGGGCGGCACAGGGGGGCGCGCCCGGGTGTGTGCGCATCCCTGCAGGCGCGCAGAAGGGGCAGAGTGGGGACGCGTGGGAGGAGTGTCCTGCTGGGATGTACAGTGAAGGAGGGGAAGGGCTGTGTGAAAAGTGCCCTGCCAACACCTTCAACCCCAAACCAGCGGTGAGTCTATCTCTGCAGCTGATTCTGAGCCTCTGTTGTGAAGCGCCTCAGGGAATTAGACCCTGGCCCTGTCTGTGAGGCAACCGCACGGTGGGTCCGATATATGAGCGTAATCTCTACACCATCCCGCTCTCAGCCTGTTTTTCCTCGCCCCCTTCTCTCTCCCCATCTCAGGGCAACCGCACGGCCCTCGGCCCACCCCTCTCTCAGCCTGCTCCTCCTGTCTCCTTTCCCTTCCCATCTCAGGGCAACCGCACGGCCCTCGGCCCACCCCTCTCTCAGCCTGCTCCTCCTGTCTCCTTTCCCTTCCCATCTCAGGGCAACCGCACGGCCTGCGAACCCTGCGGCCCGGGCACGACCTCCCTTGAAGGCAGTGCGGAGTGTGCCATCGGAGACATCACCTCGCCCTCCTCCTTCTGCACCTTCCTCGTTCGCTCCTTCAACTCCACCGCCACTCTGCTCTACGACCTCTCCCCCCTCGCTCACCAGAACCTGGGCCGCCTCGTGGGGCCGATATATGAGGGCCCGTCCTTTGTAGACCTGCAAAAGGGGCCTAAGTACTATGTGTCTGTGTGCGCTCGCAGCAACAGTGATAATGCTGTGTATCGGCCTGTCGCTTCCTCTGCTTCTGCTGGGGGTGCTGCTGGTGCTGGCGGTGGTGCGGGTGGGGGTGGTGGTGTGTGGAGTGGTGATAGTGGTGGTGGGAAGGGGGGCAGGGGCGGCAAGGGAGAGAGAGCCAACACGACGTACCCATGCATCATGTACACGGGGAAGCCGCTCAACAACACATATGTGTGCCGGGTGAGTGTTTTCTCCCCTCCACTCCCTTCCATTACCCTCCCACCTCCCTCCCATACCCCCTATCAACTCAACCCGAGTCTGAGCGAGCGCGGCACCGTGAAATCCCCTTCAATTCCATCCAGTCGCCTACATCCCCATTCGCTCTGATTTCTCATCCATTACCCTACTCCCGCCCTCCAAGTCAGGTCAACCCGAGTCTGTGTGAGCACAGCACAACCACATCCCCTCACTCTCGTGCCTCCCTGCATTCCCATCTCCTCTCACCTTCCTCCCCTCCACATCAGATCAACCCGAGTCTGAATGAGCACAGCACATCTGCACCGCCACATCGGCCCACAGCCTGGGGGACACCGTGTCCCTGGCTCCTCTGGGAAGTGTCACATCCATTCTCCTCCCTCTTCCCGCGCCCCTATTCTCCTCCCCTCCCCATCAGATCAACCCGAGTCTGAATGAGCACAGCACAGCCACATCGGCCCACAGCCTGGGGGACACCGTGTCGCTGGCCCCCCTGGGAAGCTTCTCGGAACCGCAGCTGCAGCGGCGAGGGCTGGTGATGTCGTTCAACGGGGAGAGCTGCCCGATGTCCGACGCCCCAGCACCTTCAACCTCACCTTTATCTGTGACCCCGAGGCTGGTGAGTGAGGCATCTAGTCTAGACTATGGTAGCAGCACCTAGTGTGCAGCGGCAAGGACTGGTGATGTCGTTCCACGGGGAGAGCTGCCCCATGTCCGACGCCCCCAGCACCTTCAACCTCACCTTCATCTGCGACCCTGAGGCTGGTATGTGGGGCATCGAAGTTATTATGTCAGTACCTTGAGACTGGTGATGTCGTTCCACGGGGAGAGCTGCCCCATGTCCGACGCCCCCAGCACCTTCAACCTCACTTTCATATGCGACCCTGAGGCTGGTGAGGTGTAGGGTTTAGATTTTTATGGCAGCACCTCTGAGTGCAAGCATGTCACTTCATGTCTAATGCCGCCAGCACCTTCAACCTCACCTTCATCCTGAGGCTGGTGAGTGAGGCGCGTAATGGAAATCATAAGAGAAGTATTGCTTTGAGCTCAAAGAGCGGCGAGGCCTGGTGATGTCGTTCCATGGGGAGAGCTGCCCCATGTTCGGCGCCCTCAGCACCTTCAACCTCACCTTTATCTGCGACCCCGAGGCTGGTGAGACATCTGGTTGAGACTACCAGAGCAGCTCCTCCAACGCATGTCTCAACCAGCATGTCTGATGCCCCCAGAATCTTCAACCTCACGAGGCTGGTGAGACCCCGAGGCCGGAAAGGCATCTAATTTAGAGTACTATGGCAGCTTCTTGAGTGCTAAGATATCAGTTACCCTGTGTTACATGCCCCCAGCACCTTCAGGCTTCAGCCTCACCTTCATCTGCGACTCCCAGCCTGATGGTTGAAATCGGTTGGTTTCGTAAGAAAAAGGCCTTTTAGTCAGAACGCCAGACACATCAGGCTTCAGCCACACCTTCATCTGCGACTCCCAGCCTGATGATTCAACGAGTGGGGCGAGAGGCCTCCAGATCCCTGCCTGCTTTGTCTTCACCTCCCTCCACTCTCCACGATCTCTTCTCTGCTCTTTTCCCCCCAGGCTACGGCCACCCAGAGCCATGGACGGAGGGGGGAAAGAAGGCAGCTCTGAACCCAGCCCACTCCTACCCGGCATGGGCTAATCGGTCGGGCGATGTGATCCCCGTGGGGCGCGAGGCCCCTGTGTCGTGCCTCTTCCAGATGGTGTGGTACACGGCGCATGCCTGCCCACCTCTTCTTCTTCACCACCTTCCACCCTCCACGCTCTTTCCTGTTCCTCTTCCCCCCAGGCTACGGCCACCCTGAGCCATGGACGGAGGGGGGCAAGAAGGCAGCTTTGGACCCGAATCTGTCGTATCCCGCATGGGCCAATCGGTCGGGGGACGTGATCCCTGTGGGGCGTGAGGCGCCGGTGTCGTGTCTGTTCCAGATGGTGTGGTACACGGCGCATGCCTGCCCACTGTGCACTGTGCTCGACATGGAGCCTGTGGCCGTTGCCAACTGCATCGACAACAAGCGCTTCACCTACAAATACAAGACGCCAAGGGTGCGTTGCTCTCTGTGTTCCCAGGGGCAGGTGAGGTGGGGAGAAGATGGTTAGGGGAGGAGGGTGGATTGTGGTTGGGTGGAGATGGGTTGGCGGGAGGACAAGGTTTGGGTGTTGTGGGGGGGCTGTCTTGCATTGTGTTTGGCTCTAAAAATGTGCGGGAGCATTTACGTTGATGGCATATCCCTTCATTCGTTCTGACTTCCCTTTTCCTCTCCTAACCCCTCCAACCTGGCAGCTTTGCCAGCCGAATCCGCAGGTGCCCTTGCCCGCTGATGAGTTCTGCCCGCCCTGTACCAAGGACGATTACCAGAGATTTGAGGATTCTTGCACTGATGTCAACGGTGTGCACAACGTAACATATATCTGGAAGCTTCCGAAGACTTGTAACGAGGATCTTCCTGGAGCTGAGAAGCTTCCGGAAGGGACACTGGCGGGGATTTGCGACATGGAGGTGAAATTCATTGCTTCAAGCACTTTGAGCCCCAAGTACATTGCCATCTTCGCGCTTGGAGCACTGGTGGTTGTCGGGCTTGCGGTCATGACGATTATGACGTGGCTCAAGAGCCGAAAGATCTACAGGGAGTATGCGAGGCTGTGCGAGAATGTGGAGCAAGCGGAGGAGAATGAGATGGAGGAAATGGATGGGGGTGATGAGGACGAGGAGTATGAGCATGAGGAGGCACACTTTCGTAGGCAGGGAGACGGGAGTAGTTAGTGGGGCTGATTGTAAATGATAGAATTAGCATAAGGTGGTCACCTTGTAAGACATCCTAAAAACATCATGACTTTTGCGAGGCTTGAACATATCTCTATATCGTAGAATTTGCAGTACTTTCAGACGGCAAATGCGCGGGAAAGCCCTCGAAACTGACGATGTGGTCGTAGTGTCAGAAGGCCACGGGTCCACGTCGAACCGGCTTCAAAGCTTCGGAAGTATCCCTTGAATGTTTATTGTTCGGTCGTCGAGTACGGTGCAGTACATTTGCACACGGTAGAGAGTGGTATCCTGATTATACCACCCAACAGTAGAGCCAATCCAACCTAGAATTTGCCCGACCTTTCAACGGAACTCTCGTCGAGTACGGTGCAATACATTTGCACACGGTAGAGAGTAGTATCCTGATCATACCAACCAACAGTAGAGCTCAGTAGTTGATTCTCATTGTCATGTCTTATCTCAGTCAGCCATAGCTCTCCCTCACGGCTGACGGTCCCGAGATTCCCGTCCGTGCCGTCGTCGGGAGAGGTCCGAGTTGGTCCTTGGTCAGGAATCCGTAGTTTTTTTAACTCGTTAAGAAGCCGATGCGGGATCTTAGCGAGGATAAGCTTAGCTTGTCGAGAGTTGATTAGCAGACTCCCACGGGGTTAGGGACGTCTCTAAAGTAGCAGATTCGGACGCCAGTTCGTCCCGCCTGAAGCATCACGAATCGACGCATACGTTATTCTTTAATTAGCAACCGTATCGTCATACTGTCTGAGATGGACCGTCGATGGTTGACCCGAGCGCCGAGTGCTCGCCGATCATGCTTGCCTGCACAGCACACTCCGGGTGTAGCGTCACGACGGCTTCTGTTATTATCGCTGTTTTCGCTGGTCCTGATTTTGTGTTCGCCGTCCGTAAGCGCGCAGATTCCGCGACAAGGATGCGATAACAGCGTGGAAATGGTACGACGGTCCCTTCCTTGCCTCATCATAGTCATCTCTGATACAATCTCCGAGTTTCCTCACAATCCGTTCACAATCCCACCATCCCCTCAACTTAGTTTGAGCAATCAGCCCAATACGACTCTAGAGTCGACTGAAACTCACATCCCACCTCTCCCTCACCTCAGGTCAAGCTTGTCGTGCACGTGAAAGTCAACGCGACGATCAGCGGTGGCAGTGACCCCGAGATTCTTGTTTGAGTCAACTCAAAAATCATCTCGTTTCACCATCACCCCACCTCAGGTCAAGCTTTCCGTGCACGTGGGAGACAACGCCACCATCAGCGGCAGCAATCACCCTCAGATTCTCGCTGTCGAAGCCAGCTTCGGCGCGGGCCTTCCGAAGACCAAGGCTGACGCGCTCTCCTTCCCCCTTGCGCAGATGCAGCCCCTGCTTGCTTGTTCCGACCCGCCGCTTCCTCTCCCTTCAGTACGTGCGCTCAGAGCCCCTTCATTTAGCCTCGCCCTCGTTAGTCCCCATGCTCCTCAAGTCAAATCTATGTTGCAGTTAATGCTATCCTTGGCAATGTTGCACCCCACTCTACCTCCAAATTCCGCTTCTGCATGTCTTCATGTCTCATGTCTTACACGTCTTTCCGTATCCTCCCGCCTGTCCCCCGCCCGTCTCCCGCGTGTCAGTTTCAGGGCCAGGCAGTGTTGGTGCAGCGAGGCGACTGCAGCTTCGCCTCTAAGGCCCTCCGCGGACTTTTGAGACGTCTCAGAAGCCGCCCATCTCCCGCCCGTCTTCTTCCCGTCTCTCTCCCATCTCCCCCATGCCAGTTTCAGGGCCAGGCAGTGTTGGTGCAGCGAGGAGAGTGCAGCTTCGCCTCCAAGGCCCTCCGCGTGCAGCGTCTGGGAGCAGCTGCTGTTATCGTCATCAACAGCGAAGAAGGTAACCCAGGCAGTGTGAATGTGAATGGGACTTGATGTGTTTTTTTTATTTTTTTAGGCGCCTCAAAAGGCGAGTGCAGCTTCGCCTCGAAGCCCCTCCGCGTGCAGCGGCTGGGAGTTGCTGCTGCTATCGTGGTCAACAACAAACAAGGTATCGCATGCAGGCGATTTGAACGTGAATGGGACTTGATGTACGTTTTGTACATGTGATTTGATTGTGTTTTTAACGCGTTGGGATCATGTATTTGTGATAGTGGTTGGGTGTGTGTCCGCATATGTGTCAATGCATAGAGTTAGGTAAGTTTCAGCTAAGGCCTCATTTGTAACGGCTCAAAACTTTGTATGTGGGTTTCCCGTGGCAGGTATCATTGGCATGGGGTGCAACGCAACGGACTTGACTGAAGGCGCTGTGACTATACCGGTGGTCATGGTCTCTAACTCCTCAGGCCAATTCCTCCTTCAAGCCCTCTCCAACGCCTCCGCCTCCACTTCCCCCTCCTCCGCCTCCACCTCCGCCTCCCCTGTCACTGTCTCCCTGTACGCGCCTCCGCGCGCGCTGCTGGACGTGGCGGAGCTGGTGCTGTGGGCGCTGGCGCTGCTGTCGCTCGTGGGCGCGTCCGCGTGGGCTGCCGCGGAGGAGAGGGCGGCTTTGGAGGGGAAGAGTGGCGCAGGGCAGTCCCTGGCGGACCAGGTACGGGGAGAGTGGGGGGGTTAAGCTGGGGAAGAAGAAAGAGGGGTGGGGAGAGAAAGAGGATGCCGCGTCCGCGTGGGCTGCCGCGGAGGGGGCAGTCCCTGGCGGACCAGGTAGGGGAGAGCGGGGGGGACGGGGGGAAGATGGGGGAGGGAAGAAGGATGTGGGGGGGGAGTAGAAGAGGTGCGGTGGTTGGGTGTTGAAACGTGGCGAAAAGATGGTTGATGATGGTGGTGGGGTTTGCTTGTATGCGAGGATGTGTGAGTGAGCCAACTAGCAGAGCAGTTGGGGGGCGCAGCTGGGGGAAGCAGGGACTTTGTCTCACCGAAAATCTCTCCTGCTAAATCTCCTGATCTCCTCTTGCTGGCCCGCACCATAGGCAGCCACCAGCAGCATGCAACATCTCTGTGGGTTCAGCTTTGATCTGTGCCCCTCTCTCCCCTCCTCCTATCTCCTCTCTCCTCCCCCACTCCCCACCTTGCCCGCCTAGCCTCAGGGCAAGGCATCAGGCGCTTTCGGGGATTTTTTTTAGAATTCTCAAAAAAATCCCTCAGGGCAAGGCATCAAGCGCTTTCGACATGTCGGTGGGGTCATCTTCGGCCTGTGCCCCTGTCTCCTCTGCCCCACTCCCACTGTCCCTACCAGCCCCAGGGCGAGGAATCAGGAGCATACGACATGTCAGTGGGGTCAGCAGTGGGGTTTGTGGTGATGTCGTCCCTGATGCTGCTGCTGCTTTAGCCTGTGCTCCTGTTCCCCTCGTTCATATCTCCTCGCTCTTCCCGTACTTACTCCCTTCCAATCAGCCCCAGGGCGAGGAATCAGGAGCATACGACATGTCAGTGGGTTCAGCGGTGGGGTTTGTGGTGATGTCGTCTGTGATGCTGCTGCTGCTCTTCTTCCTTATGTCGCCCATCGTCTTCTACATCATCCTCACGCTCTTCTGCGTTGCTGCGCTAGAGGTGAGGGACGGGAGAGAGGATATAGGGCTGGGAAGGTGGATGGAGGGAGCAGGAAGGAACAAAGGGCTGCTAGTTCCGTCTGCATTGCTCTCGTCCTCCTCATGCCGCCCCTCGTCTTTTACATCATCCTCACACTCTTCTGCGTCGCTGCGCTAGAGGTGAGGAGTGGTTACTTTCTTCTGCAGCACTCTCTTCCTGCAGCTGTTGCCCCTTCTTGTCTTCCTGCAGCTGTTGCCCCTTCTTGTCTTCTGCAGCTGTTGCCCCTTCTTGTCTTCTGCAGCTGTTGCCCCTTCTTGTCTTCTGCAGCTGTTGCCCCTTCTTGTCTTCTGCAGCTGTTGCCCCTTCTTGTCTTCTGCAGCTGTTGCCCCTTCTTGTCTTCTGCAGCTGTTGCCCCTTCTTGTCTTCTGCAGCTGTTGCCCCTTCTTGTCTTCTGCAGCTGTTTCCCCTTCTTGTCTTCTGCAGCTGTTGCCCCTTCTTGTCTTCTGCAGCTGTTGCCCCTTCTTGTCTTCTGCAGCTGTTGCCCCTTCTTGTCTTCTGCAGCTGTTGCCCCTTCTTGTCTTCTGCAGCTGCTGCCCCTTCTTGTCTTCTGCAGCTGTTGCCCCTTCTTGTCTTCTGCAGCTGTTGCCCCTTCTTGTCTTCTGCAGCTGTTGCCCCTTCTTGTCTTCTGCAGCTGTTGCCCCTTCTTGTCTTCTGCAGCTGTTGCCCCTTCAACTCCACTCAAAACCACCCCTTCTTGTCTTCCTCGTGTCGCCCCTCGCCTTCGACATCATCCTCACGCTCTTCCCCTTTTGCGTGCACTTTATTTGTGACCCTGTAATGGTTCCCTGCGATGCAGCATGCGTTCTTGTTGTATGCTGTTACTCCTGATCCCGTGTCCCCCCACCTCTCGCCTCCTGTCTTTCTCCCTGCGGTCGACTTTTTAGTCGACTCAAGAATATCTTTTGTTCTGAACATATTCTTTTGTATCTGTCACTCCTGACCCTGTGTTCCCCCACCTCTCGCTCCTGTATGCGCCTGTATGCGTCTGCATGCCCCTACATGCCCCCTGTATCCTGTTTTTCTCCATGCAGTCACTCTATGTGTGCCTCTCCTCGCTCCTCCACAGGTCAGTCACCTCTCCCTCTTCCGCGATCCCTCCCCTTCCTTGCCCTCTCGTCTTCCTTGCCCCCTTCCATTTCCTTCTCCGCCCCATTTCGCCATATCCGCCCCTACACTACTCTTCCTTCTCGCCACCACTCCGATCGTTCCCATGCAATTCTATCCCCTAAGTTTGCTCATCCCTCAGTTCTTAACTCTTTCTCTAACGTGGAGCAAAATTTTCCCCCATTTCCGCGCTCCATTACCTGTACTGTACCTCTGCTTACCTGGACCATTCCGCTCCCCTTCTTTCTTTCTCTCAGATCTCCCACTCCTCAGGTCTCCTCTGCTTGTTCTGCCTTCGCCCTCTTCCCCACACGCGTCTCTCTCCATCGCCCTCCCTCCAGGCTCTTCCCACTCCAGTCGCCTCACGGCGTCGCTCTCCCCCTCCTCGGATTCGTCTCCTGGCTCTCGCTCTCCTCCTTCCTGCTCTCCCTCTCCCTCACCATCACCTGGGCTGTCTTCCGCAACCACCCAGACGCATGGGTGGCACAGGATATCCTGGTATGGCTACAGAGGGGTATTGTCCCTTAAATAAAGGTGTGGGGTACAAGTACGAAGACGCATGAGTGATACATACAGGATATATTGGTAGGGGAAACAAAAGAGGAAGGATACTTAATCAATGTGGCACAGGATATCCTGGTATGGATAAAGAGGGTTATGCTGTTTCAAACAAAGGTGTGGGGTGCGACTAACTGAATGACGTCCATTTTTGTGGTAACCACATTGCTGTTACAATCCCCTCTTCGTACCGACCACTTTACTTGAACCCAAACTCTTTCCTCTTAACTCGCTGTCACTCTATGCCCACACCATCCACTCGCCTCCCCTCTCCTCCACTCGCCTCCGCTCGCCTGCACTCGCCTGCACTCGCCCCAGATTGCCTCTCATCACCTCCCCGTGCATCCCTCCACGCCTCCCCTTCCCCCTCTCCACCCCGCCAATGCATCATGTTCACCGTGCTGCAGGCAGTGCCTTTGAGCCGCCTCAGAAATTCCTGCCTCCCCCTCCTTGTCCCCCCTCCCTACCCTCCCCACCCCTCAGGGCATAGCGCTGATGATCACCGTGCTGCAGGCTGTGCGTCTGCCCAACATCAAGGTCAGTCCGCCATTCACACCCTCACACACTCGCACCCTTGCACCCTCGCACCCTCACACCCTTGCACCCTCCCACCCTCGCACCCGCACACCCCCTAACTCTCCCACCCTCACACTAACATACCCTCACACCCTCACACCCTCACACCCTTGCTTGATCTTGCACCCCCAGCCTGGTTCTCCAGCTAGTGTGTGCCTTCCTTTCGTGTCTCTGACTCGCCAGTTTCAGGCCGCTCTGCTCGCCATGTCTTCCTTCACCTCCCCACCACCCTCACCAGGTGTCCACAGTGCTGCTCTCGCTCGCATTCTTCTACGACATCTTCTGGCTCTTCATCTCTCACTTTCACTTTCCGTTCCTCCAATATTTTCTCTCACCGCCCCACCGTGCCACCAGGTGTCCACAGTGCTGCTCTCGCTCGCATTCTTCTACGACATCTTCTGGGTCTTCATCTCACCACTCTTTTTCAACGGAAAGAGCGTTATGATTGAGGTGAGTTCGTCTTGATTGAGATCATTGACGTCAGTGCGTCTGCACAGTCCGTTTCTGCTTGCCTTCCTTTTTCGCTTGTCATCTGAAGAGTATTTTCCGTCCAGGTCTATTTGCATCTGTCTCATTCTCTCTGGCTCACTCAAAACTGTTCGTTTTGTACTTCCATTCCCATGCTTCCAGGTGGCAACAGGGGAGCGCACGGGGGGAGAGGGCATACCCATGCTCCTCAAGGTGCCGCACATAACAGATCCCTGGGGGGGATACTCCGTGCTCGGCTTTGGAGACGTCGTGCTGCCAGGCCTCCTCATTGTCTTCACCAGAAGGTGGGTTGCTATCTTCATTTTACTAGGTGCCTAAATAACCCTCTCACTGCTCAAGGAGCCGCACATATCGGACCCATAGGGGGGGTACTCCGTGCTCGGCTTTGGGGGCGTTGTGCTGCCAGGCCTGCTCGTTGTCTTCGCCAGAAGATGATTTGCTGCCTTCATTCTTTAGGCGCTTCAAAATTCGTCTTTCAGTGCTCAAGGTGCCGCAGATAACAGAGTACTGCTCAAGGTCCCTGGGGAAAGTACTCTGTTCTGGGCTTAAGGGACGTCGTGCTGCCAGGCCTCCTCGTTGGTTTCACCAGAAGGTGACTCGTTGCTGCCTTCAGTTCAAGGGAACTTGTTCTTTTCTACTATGGGTGACTTGATGCCTTGAGTACAAAGAGTGACTCATTGCCCTGCGCTGCTCTGTCCTGCCCTGCCCGCCCTCTCTTTTTTTTTTGTTAACCCTCACTCCCTCAACGTATCTGCGTAATCCAGTGCATCAGATACCAAAAAGAAGGACAGTTGTCAAAACTTTTGAAGATTTTTCTGGACTTCCGTAAAACAATTATCCCTGTGTGTCTTGTATTCCGAGTGCATCAGGTATGACTGCCTCACCAAGAAGATGGGAATGGACGGTTACTATCTGCCTGCCATTCTCGGCTATGCAGTGGGTAAGATACTGCGGTTTGATAAGACGTTTGTGCATGCGTTTGGTTCCTCTCTTTAGTGTGGAATGCAGTTTTATGCCTGCCGTGCCTTTGTGAGGCATTGCCATGCTTTTGTGATGCATGTCATGCATTTGCGACTCAAGGTGGTTGATTTTCAGTTTGCTGACTTGCATGCCTTGCCTTCATCCCACTTGCCTGCACTCCTCTCCCTCCACTCCCTGCATTGCAGGTCTGCTGCTCACCTTTGCTGGACTGTTTCTCATGAACGGCAACGGACAGCCAGCGCTGCTTTACCTTGTCCCTTGCACTCTCGGTGAGTCCCATCTTCCTTTGTCTCTCGTTTTTCTTGACCTCTCTTTTCCACCGCCTTTGCTTACATCCATCTCCTCGCTCTTTCACTTCCCACTGTGTCCCGCCCACCTGCAACCCCTTGCACTTTGTATTCCCGCAATCATAATCAACGCTGGCCCGATTTGTTTTCTGCCATGCCATCCTCTTGACATTGAACCTGTGTGATCACATAACAGGGGTGATTGTGGTGTTGGCATGGCGACGAGGGGAGCTCAGTGCACTCTGGAACCGGGGAGAAGAAAGCTCCGCACCCAGGTGAGCTGTCTGTCTGCATGCACTTCTGAGACATGTCAAAATTCTGGATAAGGGAGAAGGGGGTTTTGAAGGCAGGTGGGCTTCTGTGTGCATGTTGCCATTCATGCGTGATGCAAGCACATGGTTCCGGGGGTTTCAGGCAATCGCTTTTCTGGGATGTGGCTGTACGTTGTAACGGGTTCACCCAAAGTTTTTGAAAGGCCGCTCGTTTTTCAACGAGGAAGAGAAACATGTCCTTATAAACTGCGGTACCTGTATTGTGTCTCACGTGTGCCTGCCACAGGGTGTCTGAGGATGAGGAAGAGCCACTGGTTGGACCCAGCCCTGCTCGCACCACTTTTTCAGAGGGCAGACGAAATGATGTCCTGCACAAAGGGTCTTCATCATAGCCCCTAAAGACATCAATGGAGCCCAAGTGTAATGTGCGTCATTCTGACTTCATGTTTGAAAGCTATGGCATATGTACCACTGGGCCAATTCATACTGTGGTTCGTACCGCATGTAGGCCACATGGCATATGTACACTTGCAGCATGGTCTCATTATACGGTATACCCTCATGTCTGCACTTGTCATACCATACCATATCCACATGTCCACTCCGATTTTGTAGGGTTCCGTGCATCTCCCCTTGTGTAAAGACAAATGACTACTCTGAATTATGACCCCTCAGATATAGTATGAGATTCACCACAGGCAAAACACTGCTGCAGTTGAGAGTGTAGTTGCAAGAAAGCTAAAAACACACTGGCTCCAACAGAAACAGCTGCATCAAGGTGAGCTGCAGGGCTATTTGGAAACATTGCTCGTAGATCGATACAGCAAATCACCTTGCTGCAGCGTACATTTTCTTTTAGAGAGCTACAAATGCCAGTGGTTGCTGAATACTGGAGCTACTCAGATATCCCAGACAGGATACAGAGCCATTTTCAACAGTGGGATATCTACTTTGATAACCTGCAGCACGTGGTTTGGCGGAAGCACACACACAAGGAATGCAATGCGCACATCAACAGGAGTGCATGGTCAATGGTGATTGACAAAGATGGGAGCACAGAAAGCAATGGCAGTCAACCAAGTGTTGAGGACATTGAGCAAAACTCAAGTGGTCAAGCTTGACAAAGAACTTGCCAGTGAAAAAAATTGAGCTGACACTTACACGGTCAGCTGCTTTTCCCAAAAGCCTGTTTGATTGCTGTCTTCTGGTCTGCTGTCAACCTGGATGGATACTGCACTTCGAACTTGACTCTCAGGTTACCCTTGGTCCCCTTGGTTGGCATGCCCTCTCCAGCCACCACCTTTTCAAACCCCGGCTTGATAATATCATTCACTTGAAAAGAAAGCTTCCGGCCATCAAGTGTTGTGATGTTTGCCGTGTAGCCAGTAAGTGCATCCACAAGGGGGACTTTGCACGTGTAGACAAGGTCGTTCCCGTCCCGTGTGAACCTGTCATGAGGCTTTTCGTCAATCACAAAGGTAATGTCTGCGGGAATCATCCCGGGCTGCTCGTTACCCTTTTCTTCGAACGTGACCTTTGTTCCCTTCTTCCAGCCAGGCTTCACATTGATTGTCAAAATCTCGTCCACCGTTTTTTGTCGTCTGCACAACCAATGACGTCAAGTTACAGAGGTGAATGCTTGCAGGGCGTAAAGACCAAAACGAAATAGAAGGAAGGCGGTAGAAGAAGGCAGAGGTCGGGGAGAAAAAACTCAGGGAAAGTAGGTATAAGAGGTTTTGAGAGGAAAAGAGTGTGTCGTTGGAAAAATGGAAGGCATACCTACCCGTTTGCATCTATGATGTTGCGTGAGATCTTCATCTTCCTGGAAGATCCAGAAAACAGTTCCTCTAGCGTACATGGAAGCTTGTTTTCCACAGGTGGGGATTTTCTGGGACCAGTCGAAGCTGATGATGCCTGAGAACCGTATATGCCATGGTCGAACATATCCTGATACTGCATCGATTCCCCCATACCGTTGGCGCTCCCCATGCGACTGAAGCGACCACTTGGCATACCACCCATGCCACCCATCCCGCCAAATCCGGGTCCGTAAGCCCCTCCAAACGGACTGTGACCGCCGAAGACCTCCGCGAATATGTCCTCTGCGCTCCGTGGGTTGAAACGGAAATTGCCATGCGAGTGACCCCCATGACTGCTGTACGAACCCCCTCCTGGCGCAGCCTGCCCTTTCAAACCTTCCTCGCCGTATTGATCGTAGATTTGACGCTTCTCAGGGTCACTTAATACCTGCACGTGACAGGTTCTGTAGGTTGAGGGTAAATCGGAAAGTTACAGCCGTACAAAATCAAGTGCTAGGCTAAGGGTGTACCTCGTACGCCTCCGAGATTTGCTTGAATTTAGCCTCGGCTGCTTTCTTGTTGTCCGGATTCTTGTCTGGGTGCCATTTCATGGCAAGCTTCCGATACGCTTTCTTCAAGTCGTCATCACTTGCGGATTTTTGGACTTCTAATAAGTCGTAATAGTCAACCCCCATTTGAAAACCTAATTCTTCAGAATTCTCAAACAAATGTCAACGGTAACAAGGACGAGAATGAAGTTATGGATGCTACTAGAGAATATCAGACAGGGATCCTGGTAGCTGCACGGCAGTGACGTCAGAACCTAGGCAAAGTCGCCTGAATCCACGGCCGAAGCTTTTCAGGAAACGTTGAGGTGATTTGCCGGATGGACCTTGTGGCTTTCAGAAAGGATTCAAGATGTACATCCAGCTTGTAGAGAAACATTACTCGTGCGGGTTCACTGAGCGCATTCGTTCCACACAATCTCTTGTAATCGATTGAAATATGAACAAATATCGTGTTACACTATTTATAGTTAGGAAGTGCCGTACATATTAATGTCTTTAACCAACCACTAACGAGGTTTATTGAGATTATGATACACGAGCAAAATAAGTTACCTAGTTCTACAAAGCATAAAAAGGCAGCAAAACCCCCTTGTCCCACATGTCTTCGCCATCAACTTCACTTCTGCATTGTCTGGTGAGCAGGAGCATCCATTTCATCATCATCCTCATCCTCATCTTCCTCCACTTCCTCCTCCGCATCAGGAACTGTATCCAGTGCCCCAGCAGGCGCTGGGGCGCCAGACCCACTCTCAATGTCGCCTGCTCGTCTGTAAAACGAGTTTTCCACCACCTGATACTGGTCCGTGGTCCGGACCTCCTGGCACAGTGCACACCAGCAGCACCACATCCAGGTGCAAATATCTGTCAGGCGCCTGCTCCCGCACCACCAGCGGGATCCGGGGAGGTTATAAGTCTCCCTAACCTTCACGCGCCAGGCACCGCCATAAGCAAGCCCGGTAACGGCAAGTGCAATGCCCAAGTAGAAGATCACGTTTTTGGAGAGATCCGCATGAACAGCATCTGCGCAGAGCTCGAAAATTAACACCGGCCCAAGGAGCATGATAATGAACATCATCGTGTGGACGACCCGATGGCCAAACCCAAGCCTCTCCATGTTGTAACCAAACATGCAGCAGGGGAAGACGCAGCTCAGGCACGCGACGCGCGGCTCGGAGCAGCACCCAGGGACTACCGACCCAGCCCATTGCGCGTCCTCCACCTTGGTATGAGACACCATGAACGTTGCACTCCGCTGGTACATCTGCACTTTGGCCCCTTCGCCCTCTCCAACCCGCACAATGTCATAGTCCTTGCTCAGAGGGCTCAGGAGCAGATGGAGGAAGGCGAACGCGGGTGCAACGAAGGAAACGACAGTGGTGACGATAATCAGGCTCATGGGTCGTTCACCCATAGGGTAGACCAGGAAGACCGCTGCGAAAGCGTACGTCGCCCAGCACGTCAGCTGCAGCCAGAAAACGACAAACGCCATGTGCGTGCGATCGTTGGGTTTCCGCTTCCCGTCCTTGCAGTACTCGGCGCGAATCTCCCACTTATCTTTGGGTTTCCACCGGATGAGCAGAAGCACGTCTCGCATGAAGACCGGATGCCAGATGAGACACATGAGCACGAAGAGAGCGTTCAGGATCTGCGTCGACACCTCCTTCACTTCTTCCAGCGTCTCGTGGTCGTGAATGTAATTCTTCATCAAGCCGAGCTCGCACATAACGACTATAACGAACGCGAACGTCGCGAGGACACACCAGAAGAAGGACGCGGCGTTGATAGGGTTGGACATCCATTCCATCGCCCATAGGAACATCCCCTTCCATGGCACATCCTTGATTGCCGGGAGTTTCACCTTGAGCCGACGCTTCTTCTTGTTCGTAGCGCCGGGCGAAATGTCAGGCGGAGGAGCAGATAACTCGGTGGTTGCGGGGAGGACGCTATCTGTTGACTCTGGTCCCTGGGGCCCCATGCTTGCGGCTGAGGGTAGGGTGGTTGTGGTTAAACAAAAGGAGATCAGGGAGGACCAGTTGGTATTAGGCATGAGACAGGAACCATATTCTTTGTCGTGGAATGGTGGAGTGGTGATGTTCTTGGTGTATCCTCGACTGTTCATATGCTATAATGAAAGTTAAGCAAACTCTGCGTTCAAGAGGCGATTACGATTCTCTTCTCAAAAGTGACCAGCAACCGCCAGTCCCACGTGTGTTGACACAAAAAAACATAATCTGGGGACATTGATTAATACGATTTTTTAATGGATGTGGCCTTAACCACAGTGAAACCCATCCAGAGTGTCTCTTACCTTGGCTTTCGCTGTCTCGTATGTTTGGCGACGAGTCCCTCCAGAAAGAAGTCGAGCAACAACAAATCTGATTGTGCAACTATTCTAGAAAAGAGTAAAAGAACGCTTGACGTTGAAGTGGTTAAAACCTATATCGTGATCGAATATTCAGAAGCTTTCAAGAAGGCGAGGTATTCTGCTCATTAGTCACGGTCTGAGCATGGCTTCCTTGTTGAGGGGTTGGACGACGCCGTACAACAATGGCAGAAGAAAACGGAAATTAGTGACTAGTCAAAGTCACTAACGCACTCTGTTTGCATTCGTCAGGTCAACCTCCCCCCATTCTGCCAATTTGTAGCGCACAAGGCTGGGTGCTGTGCGATGGGCAACTTTCCGTTCGAAGCCCACATGCACTCAGTTGCTGTCCACAGGCAGCCAGAGTTCCAATCGCAACCCTTTCTCATTGGTCAATACCTCTTTGTTGCACGCATAAAATTTTGTGAAACGAGCCTGGAGGAGCTTCGTCGTCAGCGGGGAGCTTTCATTTCGCGCCCTCGCTCAATCCGCACCAGAGGGGGGCCTGGTCTTCCGCATTGCACCCTGACGAAACCTGCGGCGCGATCGGCGTCAACCACATGGCGCCAGCACAGGTGCGTCAGGGGCGCAGGGCTGGGGAAGCGGGGTGGTTACCAAAAGGATCACTGACTCCAGGTTCGCAAATTCATGCACAATACAGAGAAACGTGAAAAAAACATGTGACTTAGTACACCCGTAATACAAGTTGAATGTTACATGCACGTCCAATACTACTTTTGAAGACTGATCCAACACATCTTAGAGCACCTAATAAGGATACTTCTTGTTCTCTAGACCCTTGGGCCAATAGAAACAAGCCCACAGCATGGTGCCTGCTTTGCCACACGTATACGAACTGCAGCCAACATCCGTTGTCTTCCTGGCAACCACCTGACACAACAGGAAGCACGGGGCACACACTTTAGAATCAGAATAGAATTGCAATAAATGCAAAAAAAACGGGCGAAAGGATTCGTACTTGAACGTAGTGGGAGCAGAAGTGTCCCGTCTTGCATCCACCAGGTAAAGGCGAGTACATGTAGAACTTCTTCTCATCCAGCCACACGTTTACCACCTCATTGGGAGCCCACTGCCCAATCCCAAAGGTGCTCAACAGGTTCTGACCATAGCTGGAAAGTGCAGAAGAACGATTCATTGTCCTGCACTTGTTGTCAATCTCACCCAAGTGTGCAACCCATGCATGGGCTTTCTTCGCCACTGCAAAAGACGGAACAGTAAAGGAAGCATCAAATTTGAAGCTGGAAGAAAGAAGACAGCGAAAATTTTGGTGGTAGCAACCAAGTGGTCAAAGAAAATCATAGGTGGAAGGAAAGGGTAAGAGCAGGTGGAAGGTAGACACTGTACTTACATGAGTCGTTCCATTTGAGGGAGGGTAACTTAACAGCAGATCGTGCAGCATTGTGGGGATCAAGGAAATCCGAATGGCCGATAGCCTCGCACTTCCCTCCCACGCGGCGGTAACCCTCAGTGCAGTTACACACCCCAGCTCCGTTCTTAACGTAGCAGTTGGCATGGGGTCCGCAGTTGAGAGGCGTGCAAACGTCTGGGGGAAGTGAGGCGAATAAGATATGTGTCAGGGGTAGCAGGCGAGGGAGAGTTGGGATGGAATATCATCAGGTATCGCCACGCCTTGGGAAAATATCACGGAGGACGCATTGACACACAAAGGCCACAAGCTCCGCAGCTCTAGTAAACAAGATTGCAGTCCGCAGGCCAAAATTGGGAGCTCTAGGTTGTGTGAAAGGATGCTGACGATGAGAACGTACCAACGCACTTCCCGCCCTTCTCCACGAATCCTGTGTTGCACCAGCACTTGGCGCCAGCCCACGTGCCATCCAGTGTGCTGTTAGGTGGACACGAGTACAGCTTGTTCAGGTCCTGGCCTGCATTGAGACAGCCAGTTACGAGCTCCTTAAAGCATGATAACCATGTGGTGCAGTTCAGCCTTGCAACATGCGCAGAAGCTCAGAATTCTCCAAGAGCCCCTAAAGAAACGAACACAGGGAGATGTTGGAATGCTGCAACGTACTGTAAATGCAGCTGATGGAATGGGGCCGAAATGAGGCTCTGGGGTATTTCCTGCAGAAATAAAAACAGGTCGGGGTGGCACTATCTGTCAATCAGCCTTAATCTGCAATGCTGATATGGGCCTCCGAGCTCTCTGATTTATACTCCAGGCAACTCTCGATATCCAGGGAGGGGGAGGGATGAGGTGCTTACGGGCGCTTGGTTGGCGAAGGCGGGCTGTGGTCGGTAGGGTATGTGAGGTAGTCAGTGTTACCAATCTCGCAGTTCCTCGTTGGCCAGAAGTGCAACTGCAGCTCCAGAGAGCATCAAGGACAAACAAACAACCGACATTCAGAACCACGGATCATTGCTCAATGACGTCTGCACATTGCTGCTAAAGACGTACTAGAATTGCTTCTCTCACCTCCTTGCACGTGACGAAGAACATGTCACGTTTCATGGCGTCCGTCGGTGCGTACCACTCCAGTTTGAGGGATCCAAACATAGTAGATGGGAGGTACTTTGAGGGAATATTGATACAGCCGACTGTTGGGCTGGGAGCGTAAGTCACCCATTTTGCGCCAGTGTAATCCGTCTGGTTCCACCAGGTCAACTTGGTACCACATGGCGTGTCGCGGTTAGGCGAAGCCTTGATAATCAGGGAGCGGCGTGTGGATCCTGAGATGCAGAAATGTTTCAAGGTTTGCCGCGTTCGATTGGTGGAAGTTAAAGGTCAGAGAGTAAAAACAAGGCCAGGAAGCACATTGCGAAGGGCAAAAATCGATTGATATATGTTGCGGAGGCTCTGCACGGGGAACCTAGGGCGCTGAGGAGACTGGAACTCTCTTCCATTTACCTCACAACGAGATTTGGCATATTACTGACCTAGACGACTCGAGAATTCAGGGCCTGGAAGCCTGATAATCGGCTGGACATAGTTGGAGTGATCGACTGAAAGCACGAGCAAACATTTTGCAGAGGATCAGAAGCTGGAACCGGAACTACGGAAACCAAGACAGGCAGTTTCAAGAATGCCACAAACCTGGTGACGAAGTCGCAAAACTCGAGAGAAATCCCAAGCACACCAGAAGTGCGAGCTCGATGATGGTACCCATCCAGGCGTGTTCACTGAACGGCAGTTGACTTTCTGAGTAGAATTCAGCTCCTTGGGTTGAGCGGAGAGTTGAATGTGTTGATGCAATGCTAGTGTGAAACGCTGAGGGGTATTTGTACATGTAACTGCATTGCGAATAACAGCTGGCAGTATGTTGCCGCAACGAGTTTGTTTTCGCGAGTTCGCAGATTCTCATATCTTTTGTAACTTCGACTGATCACAGAACTGAAACCGCAGGTCAGCCGCCGAGCCAAGACAACCTTGCAGGGTCGTTTGGGCAAAGCGTTACGAAGAACCTCTCAGCAGACACCTGACGACCCCGACCGACCAGTGTGGGTTTCCTTGTTACGTTTCGAATGAGGGTTGAAAATGGACGGAATGGGTCCGAGGAAAAAACACGCGATAGTGAGAAATACTTTTGAACCACTGGATTCGTTTATATCCAGCCTAGATGTACGATTCATAAAAGGCATGTCAACGGAATGCCCACCCTGTACAAATGCCCACCTTATCAGCAGTCAACAAGATTGACAGCATCAGGCTCACATACTAGCTTCCGGCTCCAATTACTCTTATAATGACTGGAAGGAAACGTAGTGATGTCGTTCAGAATCAACCAACCTCCAGACGACACGCCGCAAAAGGAACCGTAGCGACCAAAACCCAAACAAAAATGTCTGTACGAACCACTCTGCTGCATTCTCCCTTTCACTCCACGGTCCCACTATGTTATCCTCCCCGTCGTCCCACTCCAACCCGTCCACCTCAGCTCCCATCGTCCCCGAACCTCCTGAGTTCCGAGCCACCATCCACGCAATGCTCGCCTCTGTAAAATGGATGGCAAGCGCCGTCCACCACACCGTCTGCAGCATACTCCGAGACATAAAGAGGAAAACACCCAGGTCTTGCACCCAGCACACGGGCGGCGGGAGAGATGTCCGGGGGTAAAAGGCCGACAAGTAGAGCAAAGCGAGACCCAGAGGGACAAGAACCCAGACTATGAGGGGAGGCTTGGGGACTTCTCGTTGAGCTCTGCGCCGCCAATACGCCCTCGTGACATCCATGGCATGCCTGGGGTCCACTATGGGTTGATATCCGAGGTCTGATTTCGCCTTGGTTGTTGAGAACACGTGGTGCACTGCCAGCTGAAAGGGAGGCAATAGGGTGGTTGGCATTGGGGAATGATGGATGGTGGTTGATGCGGAGGATGAGTGCGATGAGAAATATGTGTGTCCTGGGATGGCGACAAGTTCTGAATTTGCGGGAGAAATAGAAATTCCACCAGGGAAACAGAAGCTGCTTATTTTTTTTAAGAAAGGAACCTGAGGGACCAAGAGAGTGCGAGGATGGAAGCAAGGGAGTGACAATAAAACCGATCACAGGCACAAACCTGATGAACTTCGGCTGGTAGAAGAATAGGCGGTTGTGGTAACCAGTCAGCCCGTAACAGCGGGCAGAGAAGGCGGTAAATAGCCTCAGTGAACCAGCCAGCCGACAGGGCAGAGGTCAGTGAGAGGTGGATGTAGGGCTGGGTTCCCCCAAATGCTGCTATGAGTGGCTTGAGAAAGTCAAAGGCGTTCACTGGGGCATCTGAGAGGTAGAAGTGGAGGGAGGGGAAATGGGAGAGAGTTGGGGGTGACTGGGAGTGACTTGCAGTGACTGGGAATGACTGGGAGTGACTTGCGGTGACTGGGAATGACTGGGAGTGACTGGGAGGAGGCATGATAGCAGTTGAATCTGAACTTTGAATGACACGGATAGTCGCATGAGCCACAAAGGTGAGTCGCAGATGTCAGAGGCAAAAAAAACAAAAAAGAGCAGCACACATGGCATCACATGTCTGACACGTAAATCCAAGGATCCAGAATGCATGTATTGCTCAGGACCATACCATCAGTTATGAAGTACGCCTGCCCGGCAGACTTGCAGCTTCCATCCTCACAACTCCTATCCTTCTCCCCTTTTCCCGTCCCATTTCCATCCCCACCCCCACCACTGCCACCCCCTCTGCAAGCACCACTGCTGGAACCGTCCGGAATAAGGCCAACGAATGCCAGACACTGCGCATGCACCAGATTATCCACGAACAGCCAATCAGAGCGCGCCAGCTGGTCTCCAACCCTGAACCGCAGGAAACCGGTCCGAACCAGACCCATGATGCGGCGGAGTGAGGAGGGCTCGCCCGGACCAAAGAGCTTGGCAGGCCTGAGGACACACGTGCGCAGCCGGCCCTTTCCAAGAAGCTTCCTCATGTTGGATTTAAGAACGATTTGTTCTGCGAGGCCCACGGCCCGTCCGTAGCTGTCTGTGTGCTGCTCCATGGGGTAATAGCCGCAGCTCGCTTCGTCTGCCCCTCCCCCTCCATCACCCTCCCTTCCTCCTCCCTTGCCTCCTCTCTTTCCTCCCCCCATCCCGTCTCTTCTCTCGCTTCCTCTTCTGCCTTCGCTGCTCCCCATCTGCCCCATGGTTTGCCCTCCGAAAACCGCTCGGGTGGATCCAGTGTAAACCAGGCTCTTGACGCCTTGGTTCAGGCAGCAGTGTACCAAATTGAGTGTACCGTCTACGTTAATCGAGCTAATGAGTGACTCCATAAGGGAGTCTTTTCCCCACGCGCCAAAGGATGCAATGTGGAAGACACAGTCGGCTCCTGCAAGAGCGGGATTGAGGTCGTTAGGGTTTCGAATGTCCCCTGAGATTATCCTAAGGCGGGAACGGCCGGTGGGTTGCTGGGTGGAGGCTTGAGCCAAGAGGTGGAGGGGGAAGGGAGAGGAGGCTAGAGGGTTGTTACTGGAAAGGGAGGAGGGATCTGGGGAGGATGAGGGAGGAGAGGAGGGAGAGGAAGAGGAGGAGGGTTTGGATGGTTCGGAAGGCGGTGTTTGGGATGGTTTTAGCGGAGGTGGTTGGGAGGAGGGAGGGAAGTCGAAGCACCGAACTTCGCGAGCCTCCCTGAGGAGATGGAGGGAAATGTGGCCAGATGGAAGGAGGATAGACGAAATCACGAAGGTGCGTTGAATTCGTGCACACATAAGGAGAGATATAGTAAGCGGACACTGTAAGCAGAAGCGAAAGGTGGTCAGGCGAAGGAAAAATATATAATCGGATGGTTGCGATGGAGGCAGGTAAAGAGATTCGTACCTTCTCAGTAGCTCGAGGCACAGCCTGACACCCGCGTAGCTCGCACCTCCCGTTACCACAAACACCTTATCCTCGAAACTTCCGACTTCCGATATAAGCACCATTGTTCTACTTGTAATCGCTTTCTCTTCTCTAACCACGGAAATACCGCCAGTCACTCGGTGCTAGACGCAGAACAACGAGGAAGCAGATCAACGAGAACTGCGAAAAGAGTAGCTATGCCTAGGTGGTCACGAATCGAGCAACATGCGAGCACACGACATCAGCACCAGCGCTGGGTGTGAAAACTTCATGGCAATTTCAGTGTGAGCTAAAACAAGGTGGAAACTCGTTTCTCATATTCCAGACGGATTTGAACTCATTTTTCATATTCCAGAACAGTTGTTCAGCAACTGACCAAACCGTACTGAATCGCACTTGACACTCCCTATACACCTATGGCGAACCGTTCACCCCCTCGAGATTCTCAGGATAAGAAGACCGTCGTTTTGTTTCTCCCATCCCATCCCAGGGCCTGTGTGAATCCTCAATGCTTGCCCTGCATGCACACACGCAGACCTCGAGAACTCCAGCGGCTCATGCACCCAGAACGCGGAACCCGTACCGCCATTCTGGGAGCAGACATCCGGCAAAAATGCTTGCTCCGTCTCTGGGTCCCTCCGAAACCCTCCTGTCGCGAGCTTGTCCTTGGAACATTGAGCCGAGGTGTAGGACCACCCCCCATCTTCCTCGTCTTGAAGCGTAGAGGCATCGTTCGCAGGACGAGACACGGGACGAAAAACTCACAAGAAAATCTTTATCCTCTCCCTCCGGCCTAGTCGAGAGCGACTGCAGTGGGACTTGCCCTTCAGCTTCCTCCCATCATTCTAAGGGGTGTAGCGATCAAGCCTTCCAGGCGCCAAGAGCGTGGCTCGAGCTTCGTGAGTTGCAGACAGCGAAGTGCTGCGACTTCCCGTGCGACTTCCGTGCGACGACCGTGCGACTTTTATTCCTCAACATTAACAATCAAACATCGACGTTTATCAACTCCTATAATTGTCCACCTCTCTTAGCGAATGGAGGAGCAGCAGGCGGCAGTGGATGAGCAGTACACGCGGCCTCAGGGACTGTACCGCCATCGAGATTATTTGAACCTGGAGGAGCTCCGGGGTCTTATTCTCGACGCGAAGCTAGCTCCGTGCCACGTGGGGAGCGAGGAGTTCAGCAGCCACGATCTTGACGAATGTCCCATTTGCTTTCTGGTAGGCAGCGCTGATTATTCTTAAATTGATGTCAGTCAGCTTGAGATTCGCCTCGTCTCTTGTAAGTGTTTATAATTGTCTTGGTTTCTTGGTATTGGTTTTTTGCTCTCTTCAGTCCCTATGTTTGTTATGATTTTGTTGTCTCTCTCTTTCCCGCAAACGTCCTGACCCTTCCTTTCAGGGCTATCCAAGTCTGAACTGGATGAAGTGTTGCAAGAATGGGATGTGCACTGGTAAGCAATGTATGACAGCCATGTGTGACAAGTAGACAAGAATGCTTGGAATTTGTGGCTCCTTTCTTACCTTTTCTTCTCCCATTTTTTCTGCCTTTCAGAATGCTTCCTTGTAGTGAAGGGTCCTGCTAATCACAGCATCCAATGGTGAGTGAGTCTGTCTTTCATTTTTTTATCAGCATTGGCTGCTGCTTTTTCCTAATGTTTTTTTCTCGTTCCTCTCAATGCCTCCCAGTTGTCCCTTCTGTGTGACTGCTGGAGCATCTGTGGAGTACCGGGGCATGCGCACTGGAGAGGAGAGGCTGATGGATATGGAGGTTGGTAGGCTGTGACTATGGCTATGGTTGTGGCTGTGGCTGTGGCAATGCCGATGGCTGTTGTGGCTATGGCTATCCATCTCAGTTCAACTTCATTTCGATAAACAGGTTGCTTGTCTACCATACTTCGTTCGATCCATCCATCTGAGACCATTGTGCAGACATGTTCGTTGTCAATCTTTTACAACACCCCCTCCTGCACTTATACCTGTCCCCCAGTGTGGGACCTTTCGGATTCACCATCTGCTTACCTTCAACTCTCTTGCCTTCACCCACCTACCGGTATCTGGGTATTTCACAGGAAGATCAGAAGGCGATTGAGGCAGAGATCAATGCAAAGCGAGGAAAGACGGATGCATTGGCTGCTGCTCTTTCTGAACATAATCACGCGGTATCCATGGCTGAAGCAGGAACCGAAATGCATGACCACACATCCTCCTCTGCTGCAGACCTATCCAACGAGGAGGAGCAGAGAGCAATTGAAGAGGAGATCAGAAGAATCCAGGAGCAGGAGGCGTACGCTGCGAGCCTGGTTGATATGGACGAGCAGAGGATGATAGAAGCAGAGATTCAACTGCGCCGGGAAGAGGAAGCATATCATGCGCTTCTAGCTGGCCAGATAGCAGCGCTGGATGACCCTGCTAGCCCGTCTCCAGCAGTACCACCCAACGGCTCTGACAACCCCCCTGCTTCCACCTCAGCAGCACAAGCAGCTGGTTCTAATGGCACAGACGCTACATCAGTTGCCGCTGCTTCTTCTGCTGCTGCTTCTGCTGCTGCTTCTGCTGCTGCCGGTGCTATTGTGGAATTATCGGACGACAGTGAAGATTCTGACCAGGAAGTTGATGAGGATCAAGAGGAGGCGTCATCATCGTCAGCACTAGCAGTGGCGAATGCAGACTCTGTACCATCAGGCTCAAATGATTCTGCAACATTACCAGCACCAGCAGCTGCAAGTGTACCTGCTTAGATGTGGAATTGTAGAAAGCATTAGTGATGTTACTGTAGCATGCCGTGTTAAAGGTGAACATACGGTAGTATTTGGCCGCAATTTTGATTACTGTGCTAGATGCTAACCCCTTCATATTTTACTGCTATCAGTAGGCTAGGATTTTGGCAACCCAGGATTCTTATAAACAAAGTCAACACTTGATTAAAATAAAGTAACATGTAGAGCCGAGACAGCTCCACTGACATCTAGCAATCTACCGGTAGTATATGTGGGGATCAGAATCACTTCGACGGGACAAGCAAGCCCTCGAGTGAAACCCACCCACTCTAGTTTCTCCACCTCCTATCCACATCCCCACTAACAGCCCCTCCCACAGGTCTCTGACCTACCCTCCCGGCACCACTAGCCCTCACACCCCTCCCAGGCGTGGCAGCCCTCACAGGAGTCGTGGGCCTGGCAGGGGTCCTGTCTACTCCATGCAACCCCACACCCTTCCCAGCCGCCCTCTCACTGCTACTAGACCTTGCACCTCCTGCTCCTCTCTGTGGTGTGGCCGCCCTTCCCATCCTCCCCGCACTCCCAGACCAGACCGTTGTCCTTCCAGAGACATTGCTAGCCCTGTCACTTCCAGCCGCACAGGCCCTCCCTCCAATGCTCCACCTCCGCCTCTCCCTCTCCTGTTCCTCTTGAGCCGCTTTCCTCTGCAGCTCTCGCACTTGCCTCCTCTCCACCCGATCCCTCTCAGCCTCGCTGTACTCCTTACAAGCAGCCTCAACAAGAGCGTCTAAGATAATATCCTCCAAATCAAACGCCACTGTAGCAGCCTCAGAATCTCGTATTTCTTCCTGCGACCACCGATCCACGCCCTTCTGCATGTCCCTCCTCGCTGCGTCATCAAGCACATCGTACACGTCAGGTGAGGGCGGAATCGGCCAATCATGGATCTCCACCCAGATTTTCTTCAGAAGATCTTTCCCAACGGGCCGCGGGTGCAGCTTCCGGAGCGAGACTGGCCGGGCGGCGGAGGAAGGACACGTGTCAAGGTCCCATTGGGGCGGGTTGAGGAACGGAGCAAGTGTGCGGCCGATGGCTTCATTAATAGCATCGAACAGCAGCATGCGCTGCCGCCGCTCCTCCGAGTTCTTCGTGCTCCTCGTGTCGCTGCTGCTGCTGCTGCCGCCGTTGCTGCTTTGACTGCCAGCATCAGTTGCTGCATCTAGAGGAGTAGCACGAGGACTGCCGGTCCCGCTGTCTTGACAGATGCTGCTGCTGCTGCTGCTGCTGCTGCCGTTGATTTCTCCTGTGATCTCCCTCTCAAGCTGTTCAAACACCTCTCGCCGCACGGGGAGCCTGACGGATGGGATGTCGCTGCGGAGAGGCAGGGATTCTCCTGCAAACCCGGACAGCAGCAACACGTGGCGCACGTACTCCAGGTCCTGCTCGATCCCCGCCACGTCAGCGAGCCCCTCGGCTGCTGCCACGTCAGCCAGTACGGATTGCGTGCTTGACAGGTCCAGAAGAGCCAGAGATTCGGCAGGGCACGGCGAGAGAGGAGGAGGAGAGGGAGGGGGAGGGGAGAGAGAGGAGGAGTGGAGAGGTGGGGAAGGGGAGGAAAGAGGAGGGAGGGAGGAAAGAGCAGGGGGAGGAAGCAGATTTCTAGCTTCAGTTGACGGGGAGAAGGGTGAGAGAGAGGAGAGGGAGGAGAGGGAGGAGAGGGAGGAGGAAGTGGAGGTGGACTGGGAGGGGGAGGAAGACGGCTTTGCTGCAGTCTTACTGTCACTGATGTTACTGTTACTGTTAGTGTCACAGAGTACCAAGTCCTGTAGCACCAACGATGGGTCCAGCTCTCCACTGTTTCCGCTGCTTGTTGTCGTCCCTGCATCCGAGTCGTATTCCTCGCCTCGTTTTTTCATGCCCGTCACCTGCTGCTTGAGGTCCAGCACAGAAACGGGGCTCGCAGCAAGCTTATAACGGAGATGCTTCACGCGCGAGAGACTGTCCGCGTCGTCCGACTCCCACTCGCCACTCCCCGACGACGCTTCGTTCACGGAGCCAGAGTCGTTGACGGAGCTGGAATCGTCAGACTCCGTCTCGTCCGGCAGCTCCACCGTCATCTGACGGAGCTCCGTCAGTTGCGCCGTCAGTTCCGCTGTTTTCTCCATTCGTCGGGAAACGAGCGGCTCTTGCCTTCCGACTGCCATGAGCGTGATTCGCGGTGAGCCGGACCAATCCGAGCGCTCGTCCGAACGCCTCTGCTCCTCTTCCAGCGCCCGCCGCTGCTGCTGCTGCTGCTGCCGCCGCTCCTGCCGCTGCCGCTGCTGCTCCTGCACCTGCCGCCGCAAGCGCATCGCCAGGCTCTCCCCCGAGTCTGCGCTCTCACAGGCGCCGCCAGGCGGAGAGTTGCGCCTAGCAGACGGCGCGTTCCGCTCGCCCCAACCGGGGGAAGCGGGGGAGCTGAGAGGGGGTTGGGTTCTGCTTCCCAGGCGGTTGGGGGAACCGGGGGGGCTGAGCCGCCGAGGGGAACCGGGAGAGCTGAGACGGCGAGGGGAAGTGGGGGGACTGATCGGCGGAGACGGGTATTGCGAACCATTCGAAAACGGGGAGGTGGAGCCTCGGCGTCTCACGGGCGACGATGGCGACGAATTCGGAGACGTCGCAGCGGGCATGCGCTCCAGCCCTTTCGCCTCCGACGGGCCGTGCGCGCGCGACTTCGCGAGCGACGAGAGCGTGGGGGTGTAGAGACGACTGGACGGGGAGCAGCCCGTATGCCGTGGGGAAGCACACATCTGCGACGTCGGCGGGGCCATGGCGCCGATATGTCCGGATTCCACGGTAACTGTTGAAATATAACTCTGGTTCGAATTGTCGTGACTTGGCGACGGATTGCGTGGCTCGAGTGTTAGAAGGCGTATATTTGTTGTCTCGCTTTGAAGGTGGGACGCCAAATGCGATCACTTAAGCTCTTTCTGAAAGCAAGAATCTACGAAAAGAGTGAGACTCAGGACTTATGTGAAGGTCGAAAGCTCTATGTACGGCTGGGGGTCGAAGGACGACCTTCGGCTGTTCGGCCACAGGTGTGGGGGCTCCGCGCTTCGGCAGTTCTGGCGGCGGTCCCTAGGGCTGACGGCGAGCAGTGTGCTGCAGACGACCGGCCGAAGCAGCCTAACGCACAGCCGTTACGACTCAGCTCAGCCGACGAATGAATGACGGTGAGTATCACGTGGATTGAATCTACTTACGGATAGGGTACGTTCAGCAGAATATTGAACGGAAAATGCAGGCGAACCAGGAATTCAATCGACGACAATGACGACGCGGGGCTTTTGGTGATAAGGCATGCTGCTTCGGTGCGTAAAGCGTGTGGCGGAGAAAATATCTGAGCCCCGGAATCTCGGAAAAAAACGTTGCAGCTGTAATCACGGGAAAAGCGCAGCGGACCTTGGGTAGAAACGGTCAATCCCAGCGAATTCGCAATTCGCCTGAATCACGTGTCGAAGGAACCTCACGGGTATTACGGCCGGTTCTAGTGTATACGGAACCCTTCGTTTCGAATGCGGCTGCAAGGAAACTCACAGGTACTACGGCCGACGGAGTTTGATGAACTCGAAACGCGTGCTCTGGATTTTTGAAGTATTATCAGCTGCAATGAAATCTGTTGGCACTACAGTCACCAAGGTGGAATCGAGAGACGGTCGAATCGCGTTCCATAGCGAAAATAAACAGACGAGGGGAAGGGAAAAAGGAGAACTAACGAGACGGGCTATCGAGCAAAGAGGAGTCGGCGGCGGTGGTTGCGGTAAGCTCGTTTGCGAACCGATGGTTCACGGAAATTGTCGATACTGACAAAGCGTGCGTTGAATCTGAGTTAAATTCGATAGACGTTGAGACAAAATGGGCAGTACCCGTAGCCAAGGCTCCAGCCGGATTCTACTATGCGTTATCTCTGGACGGCGAAACGGGATATAAAGTGGAGGGTGCGGCAGGCGAGCAGCGCCAACCGCAACTGACGTTGGGGGGTGTGGGTGGAACGAGCACAGAGGTTGCCTTACTGTTTGAGTGTGGGAAAAGAAACAGCAACCATGAATCAGAGAAATCAGTCAAGCTGGGTCCCTCGTATGAGAACCGAGAAAAGCACACCCCTCACCTCTCATCTCTCCCTCAACACGATTCCTCCCCGCATTCCCTCCCTCCCTCCCTTTACCCAGTGCACTGACATCAATGTCGGCCGAGGCGCGTAACATCTGCCCCTCTTGGCAGACTTGACGAACCGCCTAGACCACACGGCGGGACCGCGAAGCTGAAATGCAAATGCCGCGGTCCGAAAGCTGGTGGGGGGCGGACGGCCAACATTCATCCAACAGCTCGAATTCGGAGAAGAGGAAGGCAAGGCAACCCCCGCCTTCTAGGAAGGTTGGGCACCTGGGCGGACGGGAGGTTTGGTTCGGCTCAGTTCGGGGGAGGGGAGGTGTTGGGGGGAAGTCTGAGCGGGAGACAAGGGAGTGTTGGGACGAGAGGGGAGGGAGGGAGGAGGTTGAGGAGGTGAGGTGATCGCAAAAAAAGGACAAGTGACCATGAAAGGCGGCTGCGGAGCGGAAAGGGAGGCGTGATGCGCGCCGATGGAGCCTTGTGGTTTATCCTCGCTGTTCCGTCCTCCCTCTTTAAAGCCAGGATCTCAAGTAGTTCAATTGTTTTGCAGTTGGTGAGGGGAGCTGGGCTGCGATTGGTTAGCGAGGTGAACAATCTGACGAGGTGTGAAGCGAGGGGTGCGAAGTAAAGACAAATCGCAAATTCAGTCCGAACCAAGCAAGGCTCGGAAACTGGTTCGGTGACGAAGCTCCAATGCCTGCAATTTCTCGTCACACACAACAATCTCATGTACCAGCAAAATGTTTTGCATTTGCTCTAGGGGCAAAATCGTGGGTGTGCCGCACGCTCACTTTCCTAACCAGCCAGTCGATTCGCCTACAAAAATAGGGTAACAAGCGCTGCAAGTGTTTTGCAATTGAAGGCCAATTCTCTTACTTGAGATCCTGGCTTTAACAATGACCACTATGCGAAAACAGACCTACTACATTTAAATAACACCACACCCCGCACATAACATACATATGCAGCAATCTGTTAGAGAAAGCAACTCTTAAAACAGAATTAAAATCATCTGTGCGTTTTTTATCACTTAAAATCAGTGTATTCAATATAGACGTGATATCTCGAGTGTGCCTTAGCAGTCCACAAACAAAATAAATCCTGAATCACCCATTATACCGGGGCAACTTCTGTACCGACATTATGTGTCCACCACACCAACTCTAGGTTCTGCACCACACCACACCACACCACACCACACCGACGAGTTACGATACGACGGTCACAGTTGCAGACAATTGGCTCGCGGAGGTCGGCGGGAATGTCGCGAAGGCGCGAGGAGTTCGTGCCACGACTCCCTCCCTCGGGTTTTGAAACAGCCCAGATGGACGGCTGGATGGTGGAGAAATTGGTTGGATGGCCACGATTCCTCCCAGTGCCCGTGCTGCTCACTCCATTCTGCTGGAAGCGTGCTTCCTTGCTCCTCATCACGCATCTACAGAACTGCAGTGTGATACCTTTCACTTTCAGCGTCAGTATCAGCGAATTCGTCTTTACGTTGAAGAGACGCTAGTCGGGGTCCAGGGAGTGTCATGGCAGGACGTTTTAGGACGCGGTGAAGTGACAAAATTGGAGGATCGTGAGAGAATATCGATTCTCGCGATCGCTTTGGGGAATTGATCGGTGAAACGATGCACACCCGGCGTTGTAACGATCGGAAAAAAATGTTGAGCGCTATGTTCCATTCGCCGGGATCACTTTGGCGCGCAGAGGTCACACGCTTAATAGGGTAACCGATCCGCACATCGATCGCTGCTGACGATCGATCGTCTACTTTAACCGCGTCCTTAGGGCCATCCCCGGTGTACGATAAGATAGCTCGACACGCTGCATTCAAAGGTAGCACGCCGTGCTGCACGTCTGTGTAGGTTGTATGTTCCTCGCTTCCTAACAGTTGTTTCTAACTCCACAAACATCCGAATAGTTTCTTGTTTGATAGGATGGGAGACCGTCGACAACGAGAAGTGGGTTGTGTCGAAAGATTTCTCGTCGCAGAAGGGTCGCCTTTAGACGTCGTTATTCCAGATTCTTACACTGAGTCATCATGCGAATTGGCGACTGTGCGCGAGTCGTGCGAATCTGCGACTCTCTGCGAGCCGTCTAGAGCATGCGACGGCACGATAGCACGCAGCGCCTGCCGCCATCACGAAGCCGCAACTCTCCTTACCCGCGAAACTCTAGCCACGTCAGCCTCTACCCTGGAGCCTATGGTATCGTCAGCAGTATCGCGAACGCCTTCGAATCTGGAGACGTTGTCGTGTTTAGAGACACAAGCGAGGGAGAAATTATTCCAGATCGAGGCTATGGATTCACAGGCTGTTACGGTAAACGAACGGTCCAGATTACGCTTGCATGCACACCGATGCATCTGGGTGGCGGCTGTCGTCGGATTGCTGATGCTGGTCGGAGGTCTCGTGGCCGTATTAGGTCCGTTACTCTTCTCCAAAGTCATCATACTTATGCTAGAATGGGAGCAGAAGAATCTAAGTCCTCCAGTCCTTGGCGTCGCAGCTGTTGCCAGTATGGGTCTCTTCCCGGTAGTTCTCCTCCCCACGGGTCCGTCCATGTGGCTTATTGGGATTGTCTTCGGTTACGCTTGGGGTTTCATCCTCATCATGGTTGGCTCCTTTATCGGCCAATCGCTGCCGTATTTCATTGGTCACTGGCTGTTCCACGCACGTGTGCAAGCGTGGTTGGCTGAGCACCCACGGAACGCTGCTGTGCTGCGATTGGCTGAGGCTGGAGGCTGGTGGCACCAGTACCGGGTCACCTTGCTGCTACGCTTCTCCCCGTTTCCGTTCCTCCTCTTCAATTGTGAGTAGGCTTGCATACCTTGTTTCAGATTTCTACCCCTCTTCCCGTGGGTACGTCAGGGTTGTTGGGGTGTTAGTTCCATTGGAGGCAGGCTTCGGATTCTGTGGGCATTCTGTTGAGTACCACCATCTCTTTGTTGTTCTCCCTGATGGTGTGCAGACGCTGTGACGGCTACTCGCATCCAATACGCTCCGTACATCAGTGCGTCAATGACTGCCATGATTCCCGAGGCCTTCTTCACCATCTACTGGTGCGTCTCTCTCACACACACGCACACCCTGACATGGTTCTTGTCACACTCCATTCTAATGTACCATGCTTGTTGATGTGGCTCGTTAATGTGGCAGAGCTGGATTATTACATTGCAATGCTGGCCCTTGGTTGCGTTCTCTGTCATATCCGTAGAACCATTTGAACCTACAGTGGTGGAGCTGGTGCATGAGCTGGTGGGGCTGGATACGTGATCAAATATTGTTTTTGTTCAAGCCCTCAGTTTTTTTTTATCCATCCGTTTCCCCTCACTGCTGCAGTGGTCGGTTGATCAGCGATCTTGCAGAGGCCCACAAGAGGCACATCACAGCGGTGGAGCTGGTGTATGAGCTGATAGGGCTGGCAGCAGCAGGAGTGGTGCTACTGCTGCTCATGGTGCACGGCAAGAGGGCTCTGCAACAGCTGGAGGAGGAGGAGAGAGCCAAGCAAAAGGGGCTTGAGATGGAACAGATGCCTGGCGCAGGCACAGATGGGTTGGGTGCGGTGGAAACGGGTGCTGCTGGTGCTTTTGTTGGGGTGGAAGTGCCTGCTGCTGAGGTGGCACTGATTGCTGATGACTCTCAGAGTGCATTTGGAAGGGAGGGAGAAGCTCAGCAGGGGAGGCAGGCTCATTGTCAGAGCATTCAGGTGGATTTCCCTCTGGCTGTCAAGAGCACACAAGGGGCTTCACAGGCAAACATGAATCCCTCTTTGGTGCAGGTCAAGTGCAGGCGAGTCAAGTCAGAGGGAGCTGGCAAACCAGGATGTTGAAGTGGGACTGCAGAGCACCAAGCTGCAAAGCAGAAGCCCTCAAGGGTAAGGTCACTCTGGTGAAAAGGAGGCAGTTTCGTAAGGTTTTTATAGTCGAATCAGTGGTATAGTGTATATGCCAATGGTCCCATCTTCAAAGTTTGATTTCATGGAGTGTAAGTTGTTACAATTGTCATGCCATATCTTTTCAGAAAGGCACATAAATTTCAAAATTGGCCCTTCGCGTTGATGTACACTGCTAGTAGCGAAACAAGCAGACAATCAATTCCGCTGAGGGTGAACCACTTCCGTGCACCCACACGAGCGACCCCACCTTGATGGGGAGAGGCTTTCCCAGCCCATTCCCATCAGCCCCCATCCTGCAGTCAAAGGGTGGTGGTTGGTGCGTGGTTCGGTATGGTGTGTGGTAGTTGGGAGGGAGTGGTAGGTTGATTTGTGCAACTTTTTCTGCAATGCTAGTTTATGAGAGCTGGCTGGAACTAATTTCGCATTAGTAGGCCGGCAGCTGCGTTCCAAATAGCTGCTGCTTCTGCGGCGTCTTGCCTGGCGTTGCGTTGGGAGAAGATGAACCTGGACTAGGGCTCGCAATAACGCCGATAGCTTAGTGTGTATCAGAGGCTGTACATTTCCGCAACAGAAGGATTGGCTGGAAATATATACGTGAGTGGTTGCTACTTTGCTGAGTCCGCATTTTCGCACAACTTGAAGCGCTTGTCATTATCGAGCATCGCTCTTTCTTTAACATAATAAACGCAGGAAAAGTAGGGTACTCAGGCAAATTTGTCCCGTGCGTCATGGAAGCTACTTTTATTCGCATTAGGTTAACAAGGTTGTTTTCCACGCAATTTCATTGCAACAGGTGTGCTAGGTCGTCTACTTGTAATGATGTGTTTATGATAAGCGAAATCGTAAGACATTACTAGACATTGTCTACCCCGGTCGTCGCATTGAGTATCTCTCTTGGCGGTCTGCAGGTAACATTGTGCACTCCGGTCGTCTCCGTGTCTATCCTTGTCAGCGGTCTGCAGGTAGCATCGTCTGACCATGGCGGCGATGATGCAGCGATCGCTCTCAGCTGCCACGTCGGAAGACGACGAGTTCGACGAGGAGGTGAGCATGGAAAGAAGAGTTTGACGCATTTTTATACCAGTTGGTATTTTTGTACGAGATTGTTAAGCTGGCGTGGGGAGAGGAGCACATGTAAATGAACTACCCGTGTTGCCTGTTCCGGAAATTTCTATGCATTGGAGAGGATCGCATGTAAATAAATCTCACCAGTCGATCTTGATAAAAACCGGATTGCATCTGCAAAAACTACTCGCTCTCTCTTGTCTGTGTGTGTGTGTGTCTCCGCGCGCGCACGTGTGTCTACAGCTCGATGGATTCGACGACTTCACGCTGGCTTCACCATGGGAGAGGTGCGTGCTGCTCATGCAGTCCCCGCACGTTCGCCAATAGCACATTGCAATTCACAATGCAACACCGCTCATTCATCACCCGCCTGCTTGTACACTTGCACGTCATTGCGCCTTGTTCTGTGCCATATGCTGTACACTGTACGCGCATTCTCTGAACTCTTTACGCTGTACGCTGTTCCCCGTTCTCTGTTCGCTCTGCGCATTACCCCATCCTCTCCACGCGTGTCCAGGTTCATCGCTGCAGTGGAAGGCAGTCTGCGCCAGTGGCTGTCGGAAGGCTCTGCTGCCCTCGTGCTGGTACTTGTTTCAAATTATAACACGTCTACACTTACAATCTGATTCTTACAATTCTAACTCATCAGAGGGCATCTCTCTGTTGGTGTACGCTGACGTTGCCCAATGGCATAAGCGCTCTACCTCCCCCCTAATTTTCAACCCTTCTTCCCCACTGTCTCCCGCCGAGCAGTCAGGAGCGGCGCGGCCAGTGGAGGGCATGCCGCTGATGGTGTATGTGGAGGCAGAGCACGCGCAGGGCCACAAGAACTACCGCCTCACCTACTACTTCCAGGTCTGTGCCTCCCACAGGAAATGACTGGTCTTTTGTTGCTTACTCGAAACTCACCACGCTCAGGGGCATAACATTTGCCACCTCATGATTTTGGGGGCAGCGCTGAGCATGCATGTGCGTCGCTGGGCATGCATGTGCGTCGCTGGGCATGCATGTGCGTCGCTGGGCATGCATGTGCGTCACTGGGCATGCATGTGCGTCGCTGGGCATGCATGTGCGTCGCTGGGCATGCATGTGCGTCGCTGGGCATGCATGTGCGTCGCTGGGCATGCATGTGCGTCGCTGGGCATGCATGTGCGTCGCTGGGCATGCATGTGCGTCGCTGGGCATGCATGTGCGTCGCTGGGCATGCATGTGCGTCGCTGGGCATGCATGTGCGTCGCTGGGCATGCATGTGCGTCGCTTGGCATGCATGTGCGTCGCTGGGCATGCATGTGCGTCGCTGGGCATGCAGATGTCCCCTGTTGTCATTTATCTATCCCCCCGTGGCCTCCAGGTGACCCTGGCGAGCAGCAACAGCGTGCATCCGACCGTGGCGGCGGAGACAGCAGCAGCGCTCAAGCGCATTGCGTCCATCTCAGCCACGGGCCGACCCAGCCCCTGGGAGAAGGCCGTGCACCCGCTGCAGCTCTGGTTCGGTATCCAAGAGTTCGTGGTGAGCTGCCGGCGCTATGCTCTAGGCTCGGAATGTTTGATCTCTGGTTCGGCATCCACAAGGTCATGGTGTGAGCGACCTGCTGCTCGTAGTGCTCTGAGAGTCCGAGCTATGGCGAGCTGTTGCTGTGGATCTTTTGTACTCGTGCAACCTGGTTTATCCTCTCACCTTGCTCACTTCGTCCCGTGACGATGGCGAGCTATGGTGACCTGTTGCTTCTCTCAATTTCTCTCAATCACAGGTGCTGGCACCCGTGACAGCATCTGGAGTCGTGCTGGACTCACCTGAAGCCTCCATGCTCCTTAGCACGCTCGCCATCGCCTCGTGTAACACCGAGTGGTAATTAGCTGTGATGAATTTGTGACGCTGGGTGGGGAGGAGGGGGGGGGTTTGTAGATTGGGTATTCAGTCACAACATTTTGTGGCATATAGCTCATGGTCAGCATTAGGTCGTGCAAAACCCTCTGGTTGTCGCATTCTCTATATGCTAGTGCCTGCAATTCAGTCCCCCCTCTTTGCTTCTTAGATTCAAAAATCCTGCTTTATTGTCACCTCTGTCCAATTGCGGAATCCTTTCCTTCCCTCTCCCCCCTTCATCCACCCCATCTTCCCCCCCCCACCTCCCCTCCTCTCCCTCTCCTCCCCACCCTTCACACCTCCCAGCTCCCTGCCATCCTTCGTCCCAGTGCACGACCCCTCCCGCAAGGCCTTCATCGGCTTCCAGCACGGCCCCCGAGCCACCCGCACCGGCGCGGGCTCAGGCTCGGGCCGAGGCATGCGGACAGGTCCGGGTGCGGGAGGAGGCACGGTGGGAGGGGTGGGCGCGGGGGGCGTGGGCGACTATCTGTTTCACTACGAGGCGGATCGCATCACCAGCAACGTGCCGCAGAACCTGCTGTCCCTAGACGGACTCTACTATCTATTTGCGTTCAAGCTGGTGAGACATGTTTTTGAGGCGCCTAAAAATTGGGGTGGGGTGTGGGCGGGCGACTACCTGTTTCACTACGAGGCGGATCGCGTCACCAGCAACGTGCCACAGAACCTGCTGTCGCTTGATGAGCTCTACTACCTCTTTGCGTTCAAGCTGGTGAGGCATGGGTGGGTGCGGGAGTAGGCACTGTGAGGGGGGTGGGGGGGCGGGCGGGCGTGGGCGACTATCTGTTTCACTACGATGCGGATCGCATCACCAGCAACGTGCCACAGAACCTGCTGTCGCTTGATGAGCTCTACTATCTCTTTGCCTTCAAGCTGGTAAGTTGATGTGCGTGCGTGCGTGCGTGCGTGCGTGCGTGCGTGCGTGCGTGTGTGCGTGTGTGTGTGTTCTTGTTTACGAGCGCAAGTGCTCCCACCTGCGCCACTGAGGCTGCCCTATCACCAATCTTCTCATCCTTTCTCTCCGCCTCCAGTCTCCCACCCCCCTCTCCCTTTCACCCATGCTCACAGATAGCAGAGCTCCCCAGCACGGTGGCGTCAGTGTCCCCTGACGTCACCGTGGCCATGCGCATCCGCTACCGCCTGCGCTACTGGGGCTCCCCATTCACTCCTTCCCTCCCTCCCTTCCCTTCCCCCCACCCCTCCCCTCTCCCCCTGACCCACGCGTGCAGATAGCAGAGCTCCCCAGCACGGTGGCGTCCGTCTCCCCTGACGTCACCGTGGCCATGCGCATCCGCTACCGCCTCCGCTACTGGGGCTCCCCGGACGCGCCCCCGCCCCCCAAGATCCGCCCAGCAGAAGCCGGCACAGGGGCGGGGAGCGAGGAGGGCGGAGGAGGCGCAGGGGGCGGGGGAGGCGGAGGGGCGGAGGAGGAGGACGAGTTCTGGGGGCAGGAGAGGGCGTGGGACGAGGGCATGGCGTGGAGCGTGTGGCACTCGGTGGATGATCCGGTGAAGGGGTTTGAGCTGGTGGCCACGTGGAAGGAGCTCAGGGCGAGCAGCTCGTCGGGCATGGCGCAGATGGAGCAGCTTGACGCCACCACCGCGGATGAGTGGCTGCTGCGCGCGCTGCTCGCCGCCACCAGGTGAGGCGTCTTGTGTTGCCCCCTTCTTGCTCCCAGGAGCTCAGGGCGAGCAGCTCGTCAGGCATGGCGCAGATGGAGCAGATGGATGCCACCACTGCGGATGAGGACTGCTGCGTGCGCTGCTCGCCGCCACCAGGTGAGGCGTCACGCGTTGCACCAACAGGTGAGGTGAGGCCCCTTTCTCTTTCCCAGGAGCTCGGAACGAGTAGCTCGTCGGGCATGGTACAGAGCAGCTTGATGCCACCACTGCGGATGAATGGCTGCTGCGCGCCCTGCTCGTCCCCACCAGGTGAGGCGTCTCGCGTTGCTGCCACTGAGTGAGGCGTCTCTTTTCGCAAGACCCAAAGAGACGCGCCTAGCCTAGTCGTCCTTCCACAGCTGTCCTCTTCCCCTCCGTCCGTAGTTCTGGTCAGTTCATTGTGGTATACCTACTGGTCTAATACCACCTGTTGCTCCTTTTCCTCACCTCCACTTTCCTCCACTTTCCTCCACTCACCTCCCCTCCTCCCCTCAGGACTGACTTTGACAGTGACGACCCTCCTCAGGGCTTTGCTGGGCGGCTGCATGCACTGCTGGGGGCGTACGTGGTGTCCACCACAGGCCAGTACATGGAAGACTTTATAGCGGGTATGTGGTGTACATGGATAGATATATACATATTGTGTTATTTGTTTACCAAGAAGTTGCTGGCGGGTGTACTCGTGGACATTTCATACGGAGATGCTTATAGTAACACATGTCCCCCTCCTCCCGTTTCCGCTACTCATATCTCTTCCTCCTTTTCTCGCCCTGTCCCCGCCTCTTCTCGTCTCGTCGACCCCCATCTCCTTCCCGTCTCACAGCTCAGAACTTTGCGCGGCGCAACAACATGACTATCCCCCCGCCCAGTGTCATGGAGCGAGTGGTGAAGGACCTCTTCCACTCCAGTGAGTTGCACTTCTGAGCGCTTCCAGGCGCATCAAACGCCCTTTCATAGGCTGGAGGTGCCGCAAAAGCCCTCCCAGTGTTTTTCCGGAGCATGTAACCATCCTCTTCCACTCCAGTATGGGAGAGGCGTCAGAGCAGCAGTTGGCGAGTGTCATGCCCAACGTTGACCGTGCCACTGACATAACCATCCTCTCCCTCCTCTCTCCCCTCTTATTCCCTGTTCCCTTCCTTCCAGAGGAGGCACTGGCTGGCGTCAGTGGCGAAGTACTTAGGGAAGGGGGCAGAGCAGTGCTGTAGTAGGTCAGTTTCTCGTCTTCTCTTCCTTTCACACACAACTTCCCCCTCACGCCACCCCTCTGCCCTGCCTCCCCACTCCCCCCGCCCCTTTGCACCCCTGCAGAGGAGGCGCTGGCGTCTGTGGCGAAGTACATGGGGAAGGCGCCAGAGCAGCAGGAGGCGAGCCTCTTGCCTGACGCTGACCGTGGCACCACCATCACCACCCTCTCCCTCCTCTCCCTCCTCTTATACACTGTCCCCGTCCCCCCTCCTTGCAGAGGAGGCACTGGCGTCAGTGGCGAAGTACATGGGGAAGGCGTCAGAGCAGCAGGAGGTCACTTTCCCAACTCTTCACACAACCTTCTTCCCTTGCCCCTCCCACCCCCCTCCCCCCTCTCCGTTCCCTTCCCCCCCCCCTTGCAGAGGAGGCACTGGCGTCAGTGGCGAAGTACATGGGGAAGGCGCCAGAGCAGCAGGAGGCGCCTGACGCTGACCGCACCACCATCACCACCGCCAGCAGCGTCATCAGCAGCATCAGCGCCACCGACACCAGCGCCACCGGCAGCGCGGTGAAGGGTCCCGGGGGAGAGGGAGCAGCGGGGGCAGGTGGGGAGGGTGGCGGAGCAGGGGGGGCAGTGGGGGAAGGGGTGGAGGAGAATGGGCTGAGTGGGAAGTTTAAGGGGGCGACACACATTGGCAAGGCGGCCCCGGTGGATTCACTCTTCTCACGCCTCGCGCTGCATGTGCTGCGCTTTGGCACGTGCAACATCCGATGTGAGTCCCCGCCCTGCCCCACCGATTTATGAGGCGCCTCAAATATAGTATCTTCTCGCCCCTTGCGCTGCATGTGCTGCACTTCGGCACGTGCAACATCTGATGTGAGGCCCCCCTGCCCCCTCTTCCGTGCCACCTGTCGCCTCGCGTATCTCTCGCCCCCCACAACCTTCACTTTGCTTGCTCTTTGAAAACCCTTCCTTTCCTTTTCCCCTCATGTCCCCCAGCCGTGGCTGGAATTTACTCGCGAGCTGCGGTGGAACTGCCACGGGAGAGGAGGCGGCTTGTGCATATGATGCGGCTGTGATCAAGAGGGATGGCCCACATGCCATGAATAACACTACTATGTTTGGCTACCACCCGCCCCTTCGCCGCTCAAGTCGCCAAACATAGTAGCGCTAGTCATGGCATCTGGGCCATCCCTCTTGATTGCAGCCGCGTCATATGCACGAGCTGCATCCTCTTTTGTGAGAAATCCGTGCCTTGCCCCCTTGTTCCTTCACCTCTGTCCCCCTTCCAGCCGTGGCAGCGCTGTGGCTGGAGTTCACATCACACGTGAGCTGAGGTGTAACTGGGAACAGGACCCTTGCCGTGACCGTCCCCTCTCGTTGCTCTCTCATCCCTGACCCTCTGCCCCCTTGCACTCTCCCTTCTGGCCCACTTTCAGCCGTGGCGGCGCTGTGGCTGGAGTTCACCCGAGAGCTGAGGTGGAACTGGGAGCAGGCGCTGCCCATCCCTCGGGTCATTGCGGACGGGCCTCCCAACACCGCCACCTGCCTCATTCACCAGAAGCTGCAGCTGGTAGGTGCCTTCGAGGAGTCTCCTGCTCCCCCAACACCATTGCTTAGAAACTGTAGCTGGTGGTAGGGTCGCTGTCGCTCTTGCTGCCGCATTAGAAAATGCGTTTCAATCACCTCCTGCTTTCCTCCCACAACTGCAAGAGTGCATCAGGTGACGGCGCAAGCAGCTGGAGCAAGAGATGGAGGACCGTAAGTGACATGTTTCCCCTTTCCCCCTCCCTCTCCCCTCTTCTCTCCCCATTTCCCGCTTCCCCCGTTCTGTTCCCTGTTCCCCCTTTTCCCACAGCTGCAGGAGTGCATATGTGGCGCAAGAGCGTGAGATGGAGGAGCGTAATTGACATGCTCTCCCTTCCCCCCTCCTCCAACTCCCCTCCTCCCCGTTCCCCCCCCCACAGCTGCAGGAGTGCATCAAGCGGCGGCGCAAGCAGCAGGAGCGTGAGATGGAGGAGCGCATGCGCCACGCAGAGCGCATGCACCAGATCGCCGCCGCCAAGCTTGTAGGCGAGCGCGTGGAGGAGCTTGTAAGGGGTACAGCGCTCGACGACGGGCCTGCTCGCGCTGACTCGCCGCCAGGGAGGGGCGGCAGGAGGCGGGACAGCGGGAGGGAGAGGGGAGGGAGGGGGAGTGATAGGGACAGGAGGGGAGGGAGGGATGAGGAGGAGTGGGAGGGGATGGAGAGGTCTGGGAGTGAAGGAGGCGGCTGGCATGATGGAAGGGCGGGTCGCAGGCGGGGAGGGCGCGGATGGGATGATGGGGACGGGGCGAGCCCGTACCACGATGACAAGACGGCGTCAGGGGACTCGGACACGCACGGGTCGCATGACGTGGCGTTCTATGATGAGGGTGGCGTGGCTGATGGCGACTCGCCGTCCCACCGCAGCGAAGAGGACCTGGACGAGTGAGTGGAGCATGGAAAATGGGGTTGAGTGGATGGTGTCTTATGAAGAGAAAGGGGTTGTTCCCAGCCCACACATGGTGGTTTCTTTCACGAAGTGGTCAGGGAGGGGCTGCATGAGTGATGCACCTCTTTTAGGCGACACTAACACTCCATCATGTGCTCCTCGCTTATCCACCTCCCACCGTCCACCACCCACCCACCACCCGCCTGCCACACAACCCACAGATATTTCAGCGAGAGCGACGTATCAGACGACGACACGTGGGCGGAGAGGGGCCGCACAAGCCACGGCCTCACGGGGGCGATGGCGAGGGGGCGGCGCCGCGTGCGGCGGCGGGGAGTGGTGGGGCCGGTGAAGGGCAACATGTGGCTGCTGCGTGTGAGGAGGCGCATGCTGGAGCCTCACACACAGGACCCGGTGTTCATGAGCGAGGATATGATCGAGGAGAAGGAGCGAGCGATGGAGGCACTGGGGAGCACGCCTGCGGTGAGTTTATGGTTGGTTACTTGCAAGCAAGTTTTCAACGTCATGTTGTTGGGAGTCAGCTTGAGGCGCCTCAGATGTAGGCTCTCTGCGGGTGAGTCATTGTTTGGGAGGTGTGGTGGGGCCGGTGAAGGGCGGTATGTGGCTGCTGCGCGTGAGGCGGCGCATGCTAGAGCCACACACACAGGACCCGGTGTTTATAAGCGAAGATATGATTGAGGAGAAGGAGCGCGCCATGGAGGCTCTGGGCAGCACCTCGGCGGTGAGAGAAGGATGCTTGCAAGGAAGCAGGGTTTTATGGATGAGTGTTATCCTGACTGTAAAAAATCCTGAGTGTTATGTATGTGTGGACGTACTGCTGTGTATGTGCTCTTACATCTGCAAGTGCTGTATGCTTGTCTGTGATGTGTGCAGGGACGTGAAACTCGAGCTCGCATGCAGAGTGACGTCGTTGCTTCAGGTATAATCCGTTCTTCGTCTAATCACCTTCTCTTTTGTCTCTATAGTCATTCTTTCTTTTTCTTTTCTTTTCCATTTCCTTGTCTTTTGTTACTGTTTTCTTCGGCCGCGCTTCACACTAGCCTTTCTCTCTTTTGCTGCCCCGCATGATCTGCATTCTTCTCCCCATCAGACATTGAGCTTTCAAAGCAGTAACTTAGTGCCTCCCCACCTCGCCTCCGCACACACACGCCCCTCCTACCCTCTGTTCTCCAGACATGTCGGCTTTCAAAGCTGCGAACCCCGGGGCAGTGCTGGATGATTTCGTTCGCTGGCATTCGCCCAATGACTGGCTGCCAATCACAAGCGCGGATGAGGGCTCTGATGACGTGGACGATTACGATGATGAGTATGACGATGGGGGTAGGCGGTACGGGAGGGATGATGATGATAGGTATGGCCGGGGCGACCGGTATGAGGATCGGGATGACAGGTACGGGAGGGGAGGAGGGGACAGTTATGGTAGGGGAGCGGAGGAGAGGTACAGGAGGGATGATAGCCTGAGGGACGAGAGTGGGAGGTACAGTGACAGTGGGAGGTATGGGGAGAGCGGGAGGTATGGTGATGATGATTATTCAGACAGGGAGATTGATAGAGAGAGGGAGAGGGAGAGGGAGAGGGAGAGGGAGAGGGAGCGAGAGAGAGGGCGAGACACTGAAGAGAGTGATATTGACAGGGAGGTGGATAGGAAGGGTGGTGGCAGGGATAGGAGCAGGGAGAGGGAGGGGGAGAGGGAGGAGGGCGGAGTTTATGGTGGCAGAGGCAAGACTGCAAGGGAGGGGGACTCTGATTTCGACCAGGATGCAACGGGTGCTGGGAAGGAGGAGAAGGAGAGTTCTCCTTCTCGCCGCCGCAGCAGCAGCAGCCCCAAAAAGGACAAGGAGGAGGAAGAGGAGGAGTTTTTTGAAGCGGCTCAAGAAGAGAAGACGGAAAAGGCGGGTGATGGTGAGGGGGAGGCAGTAGGGGCGGGTGAAGATCCTGGGAAGGAGGTTGGTGTTGAGAAAGGGGAGGATGGGGAGAAGAGTGGCGAGGAAGAGAAGGGTGAGGAGGGAGGGAAGAGTCTGGGGGATGGTGGGAAAGAGATGGAGAAGGAGGAGAGTGTGAAAGAGAGTGAGGTTGAGGGTGGTGCACGGGATGAGCCGAGGGTGGAAGAAAGTGAGAAAGCTGCGGAGAAAGGAGAGAGGGAGGAGGAGAGGGACAACAGCGATAGGGAGAGGGAGAGGGAGGAGAGCGACAGGGAGAGGGAGAGAGAGGAGAGCGATAGGGAGAGAGACAGGGATAGGGAAGCGCTCAAGGGGAGGGAGGAGGAGAGGGAGAGGGAGAGGGAGAGGTACCGAAGCCCAGAACCTGACAGTGACCCGGAGAGGGAGAGGGAGAGAGAGAGGGAGAGGGAGAGGGAGAGAGAGAGGGGGAGGGGAAGGGGCAGTGGGAGGGGGCGAGAGGACGGGGAGTACAGTGACGACCGCGAGGAGTGGGACGAGTTTGGTGAGCGCAGAGGCCGAGACAGGCGCGACGACCGCGACCGGGATTACCGGGATGACCGGGACCGGGACCGGGATGATCGTGATGATTACGATGAGCGCGAGTGGAGGGACGATGACGTCAGGAGGCGGGGCGGGCGGCGGGACAGCGAGGAGCACGAGCGTGGCGGACGCAGGGGCGGGAGAGGGAGAGGCGGTGGCAGCGGGAGAGGTGCCGGTGGGGCTGGGGGGAGCAGGAGGCGGCGTCACCGCATGGATAAGTCAGGGTGGCCGCCCAGGGGCCGGCTGTCGGAGCGCATGGAGGAGGTGCATGGCAACCTGTGGCGCGAGCTGTGGGACAGCGCTGAGCCTGAACCCGCTCACGAGCAGAGGCCTATTTTCCACTTTGACCTGGAAGGGGAGAAGGTGAGGGTTTGGGGAAAGGGGGGGGGAGTGAGGGGAGCGAGGGGGAAGTGAGGGGAGTAAGGGGAGTGAAGGGAACAAGGGGAGTGAAGGGGAGTTAAAGGGTCGGAATCACGCTGGGGGCCGGCTGTCAGAGCGCATGGAGGAGGTGCATGGCAACCTGTGGCGCGAGCTGTGGGACAGCGCTGAGCCTGAACCCGCTCACGAGCAGCGCCCTATCTTCCACTTTGACCTCGAAGGCGAGAAGGTGAGGAGCGTGAGGGGGAGTGTGGGGAACTGGGGGAAGAGAGGGGAGCTGCTGAGGCAGCTTCTTGACATGCAAACACAACGCCCACCTGATTCACCCATCCCATCCCCGTCTTTTCACCCTGCCCACATTCAACCCCCCTCCTCACCCCCCTTTCAGATCCTGCACTATCTGGACCCGGTGGTGCTGGAGGAGCTGCTGGGGCAACTTCCGTATTCGGCTCAGGAGTCCCCTTCCCCGCACTCTTCATCCCCTCTTCCCATCTTCCCCACCTCCCACATTCCTCCCTCCCCCCCCCCCCAATCAGATCCTGCACTATCTGGACCCGGTGGTGCCGGAGGAGCTGCTGGGGCAGCTGCTTGTAACGCAGACACTAACCCTCCCGTACCTCTCTCCACCCCCCCCCACCCCCCCAGATCCTGCACTACCTAGACACGGTGGTGCCGGAGGAGCTGCTGGGGCAGCTGCTGGCGACGTGCTTCTCGTCCGCTGTGCTGCTGCTGGGCCGCGACAAGGGTGGGCGAGAGGAGCCTGTCGCCGAGCAGAGGCAGCGCGTGGCTGGCATGGTCTCCAGCATGTGGCAGTGGCTGGACGACCGTGAGTTGTGGGGGTGATGTGGTGGATGAGATTGGGGACTCAGTGGGTGGGATTGGGGATCTGGTGTCGTGCTGCTGCTGGGCCGCCACCTGGGCGGACGGGAGGAGCCTGTCGCGGAGCAGAGGCAGCGCGTGGCCGGCATGGTGTCCAGCATGTGGCAGTGGCTGGATGACCGTGAGTCATGGGGGTGGGCTGATTTGCTGGACAGGCAGAGGTAGTGGGCTGCTGGGTGTGATTGCCGAACTGATGCTTTGCTCAAATGGCAACGAGTGACGGGCACGGCCGCCACCCCTATGTACCCTTTCGACCCCTCCCCACCCATTCATACCCCTCTCCTCCGCCCCTCACCACCCCTCACCAGAGAGTGCTGGCAGCTGTTCTGATGAACGAGTGGAGGACCTGGAGGTGTTACTGAGGGCGTTCACGTGCATGGAGGCCACAGCCATGGTGGCAGCCCCATGGTGCTTTATCCATCCCCACCCCTCCCTACCTCCCCCAATCTCTATCCAGAGAGTGCTGGCAGCTGCTCCGATGAGCGGGTGGAGGACCTGGAGGTGCTGCTGAGGGCGTTCATGCGCATGGAGGCCACAGCCATGGTGGCAGCGTCTTGTTTTTCATCCATCCCCACCTCTCTCCACTCCATTCCACCCCTCCCAACCTCTCTCCAGAGAGTGCGGGCAGCTGTTCGGACGAGCGAGTTGAGGACTTGGAGGTGCTGCTGAGGGCGTTCACGCGCATGGAGGCCACAGCCATGGTGGCGGCGTCGCTGTGGAAGCGCCTGCAGGGCTGCTCGCGCCTGGTGGCCAAGCTGCTGTCTGAGAGGGCCCTCAACGCCACTGATGTGCCGTCCGTGCGCTTGCTTCCTGCTCCCATCCGTCTTCCGCACCTGCCGGTGAGTGTTGGAGTGAGATGTGTTGGGATGGGTGTCTGTAATTGGAAGCTCTGTTCTGGCACCCCCTGCCTCCTCGCCTGCAATACCTTCCCCCCTTCTTCCCTCCGCTTCTTTCCCTCGCTTGAATCCGCACTCCACCAATCACAGGAGCCGGACAGTCGAACGGACGAATGGCGGGTCGTGGGCAGGCTATGGCAGGAGAAGGAACCCTCTGGCAGCAGCAGCAGCGACAGCACTGGAGCAGCCAGCAGCACCCCTGGCAGCAGCGGCAGCAGCTCTGCTGCTCCACCCCTCCCCCCTGCTGCCGCCAAGGCTTCCGGCGGTGGGCGGCGCATGGGGAATCTGCTGTACCGTCACGAGCCGACGGAACGTGAGGTTATTTTTACGTCGCCGGCGTTTGTGATCTTCAACACGGTGGATGAGGAGGATGCGGCGACGGGCGCTGTGGCGTCGAGGGACTCGGTGGAGATTGTGAAGCACCAGCTGTATGCCAAGGCGAGCTTGGATGACCTCACTCTTGCGCTCAAGGTTGCTGCGCAGGAGTAGAAAATGACCTGTGTGGCGAGATTTGCTTGACCTGTGTGGCGGGCAAACTTGGTGACCACATTTATCAAGAGATTGTTGAGGCAATATCGGTAACTTGAATATGAGATGGTAGTTTTGTATTGTTTTATGGAAGAACTTCAGTGACAATGTGTTACTGTAGCGCCCGAAATAAGTTGGAAACTCCTGGAACATGGTCACCGCCAAGGCAGTATGGCACCGAACCAAACCGCCTGATTCGAGCTTTGACGAACATCGCTTTCGCGCGATTGTCGTCAGATCTCCCTACCGCCTAGCTGCAAAGTGGAGCTCACCGAAGCAACGGACAAAAATATCCACCCACTCCCCCACTTCCTGGGCTCCTCGTTTTCCCGCCGCACTGCCACACGCGTTCGAAACCCCCTCCCCAGCGGACATCTCCAGCTCCGCGACCGTGACCCGTCAGCGGAGCTCGATTCTGACGTGGCCTGGGCAAACCTTCTGATGGCGCGTCCGAACGACCGAACCCAGCTGGAAAAGGCGCGACTCCCTTCGATTTGTCCGCTGCGTGGAGAAGTGCATCTTACTGGTCAGCGGCTTGCTTACGCGGAAGGTGATGGGCTCCCCCAGAACGCGGCTGGCGTAAGATCTGCGCCAACGCGGAACTTGATGCCGCAAAACTCCGCCTTTCACCCACTTCCCGTCTCTTTCCGTCAGTTCTGTCCAGTTCTGTCACTCAGTCATTCCGTCAAAGTTCTTCTGAGCGTGAGAGCTGGAGACAGGAACAAGCTGCGAGCCCAGCATTTGACAGATACACAGTTGTACTGGTGACAGATGTCCGACGAGGTTGAGTTTGCCCGTGCCTTCTGAAGGAGCCGTTGGGGGAAATTATCGTTCATCAGACATGCTCACACTGATTTCGGAGATGCCAGATGCTGAAGCTGGTTATTGGTAATAATTTACGATGAAAAAGGCTGAGCATGAACCGTGTTAGCGCCTCGTCTCGTGCGAATGCTCGTGCAAGCTTCATAGTTTCCTAGTGATTTCTATCTCTTTGGTTCCAGCCCAGAAATCGTTGTATAATCTAGTTCAGTAGAATTAGTGTCTTCTAGATTTCTATTCCTGGTTTTAGTCCCTTTCCTGTAGCTACCACCAACATTAGATACACAAGGTACGATCAATGGTGGACCCTGAAGAAGTTAATCCACTCAATAGTAGCAGCAGTAGCCATGGCAGCAGAAATGTACCAGTTCCGTCTAGTCTGAGTCAACCCAGGGCCACAGGGCCTGGAATCCGTAGTGTTAACCCTCAGCATGATGCCACCAGCAATGTGTTGACCATGTTCGGCTCGAGATTTTCCCCCATCGAAGCGTTGTCTAGAATCCTTCGCGCAACTAGCGGTGAAGAGCCAAGCTCCAACGGACGACGCGGTAACCAAGCACCCGAACGAGCCAATCAGGAACGGCATCAGCTTCTTCCCCAATGGCTATCCGGCAGCACTGACGACCGTCAGCAGCCACGTCAACAGTCTCAACGGCAGCAGACGCACGAAAATGGTCAGTTTGTAAGCGCATCGGGCTCGGATCAAGAAGAGCAGCGTCTGTTCCACCGCGTTGTCGACGTCGCGGGATCTCCGCCGTTATCCGCGCTTAGTCTCGGTCTCTCCTCCGCGTTTTTCGGCTCAGATCAGCCTGCTGCTCCTGTGCGCCGAAATTCCGGCCAGTCCCCTCTTCTCGCCAGCCGACCCGTTACAAGCAGTCGATCCGCTACAAGCAGTAGTTCCCCGCTCATCCTTTCTGACTCAAATTCAGAAACTGCCAGAAACTTACCAGGTCTAGGAACCAGTGGAAACTTCGAAGAACGACAGACGGGAGAAGGGCCACATGTCACGAGTGGAGACGAGCCACGTGTCACGCGGCCGCACCCGCCACAGTTGCCGCCGCTACCTCCTCCAGCCATAGCAACCGCCTCTCAAAAACGCGCCGAGCGTTCTGCGACGGTGAAGGAGCAAGAACAAGCAGATGACTGCCACGTGGAAGGACGAGGGGAAGCGCGCGCGCGGGGGGAAACTCCTGGGGAAGGGGAAGGGGAAGAAGGACCAGGGGGAAATTCCGCGCACCCCAGCGTCTTCTCCGCCAACGGGGATGCCGTTTCAGGCTACCGTCCTTCTGAGACTCCGCCGCCAATTCAACGACGGCCGTACGATGCCCACGTGGCAGTATCGTCGACCAATGGCGAGCCGTTCGCTCTCCGGAGTCTAACTTCCCCCCCGACTCCATCCCAAATGGCGATGTTCCCCGCATCTTCCGCCGCTCTGCACGCCTCGCCTTCGTTACTGTCACTTCCGGGTAGCGTGGTAGAGGGAGGGGAGAGGCGGGAGAGCGACGCAGGCGGGGAGATACGGTTAGATGTGGACTTGGGAGGGGTGGAAGGGAGGTGGGAAGAGAGACGGAGAGACGGAGCGCATGCTGCAGCGGGTGGAGTTGGAGGAACGGTTGAAGGAAGGGGAACCTCAGGAGAAGCAGAAACAGCAGCAGCAGTGGGAGCAGGTGCAGGAGCAGGAACAGGAGCAGAAGGTGACGCAGGAGCAGGAGCAGCAGAAGCCGGGGCAGCAGGAGCGGCAGGACTTGCGGGTGTGTTAGCGGTAACAGAGACAGCAGGGAGCGAAGGTGATTCATCAGAGACAGCAAGCGACGCGGCAGGAGAAGCGGCGGCAATGGCAATCATAGGAGCAAGGGGGGGCGGAGCAGGGAGAACAGCTGGAGCGGCAGAGGGACGGTCAGGGACAAACGGGGGGGTTCCCGCGGGTGGCGACTCTGGTGATGGTGGTGGTGAGGACACGGACGGAGAGGGGAGAGGAGGGGGAGGGGAAGGGGGAGGTGAAGGCGGAAGCGGAGGCGGGGGCGGAGGGGGGGCGGTGACACGCGGGTCTGACATGCACCTGGCTGCGCGGAGCCTGGAGCAGGCCGTGCCGTTCGCCTTCCTGCTGCTCTTCGTGCAAGTCCGGCAGCACCTGATTGGTGAGTGGGGAGTGAGGCAGCACCTGATTGGTGAGTGGGGAGTGAGGCAGGTCTTGCCCAGCACAAGAGCTGATTCAGCTGGCGTTGAGCGCGTGGGCAATAGAAGAATACGCGCAATTGGCGTTTGGGCTTGTGTTGGCATGCATGCGTGGGTGTGTGGGTGGGGATAGTCTTACCAACTCACAGCACACCAACACGCCATACACGCCAACACGCCAGCACGCCAGCACGCCAGCACACCAGCACACCAGCACACCAGCACACCAGCTCAACAATGCACGTGTGTGTGTCTTTCTGTGATCACCCCTCCCTCCCCACACAGGCTTCTGCACCGTCGTGTGGCTGACAGCGACGCTCTTCAAGGCCAACGACTTCATCCGCAAACAGGGCGCGCTCAAGGTGAGTTGCTGTCCGTCTGTCACCCCTTCGCTATAAGAACCAAATTACATGGGTGTCACGCCCGCGTTATAACAGTCATGGTACTTAGGTGCCCCCCACGTTATAAGAACCGTGTCATTCCTTCTTGGTGACCTTCCTTCCCCCCGAGCCCTGCTCACTCCCTCCCCATCGCCCACTCCTTTCTCTTCCCCCTCCCCTTCCCCTTCACCCTCCCTTCCCCCCTCCCTTTCCCCCCCCCGTTCCACCTCTCCTTCCCCCGCCCTTTCCCCCGAATCTACTGCCAGGCTGATCGCAATCCGGTGCTGCTGGCGCTGGTAGCTGTGCTACTGCTTGCACACGTGGCAGTTGTTAATTGGCTCTTCTGGCCCGAGCAGCTGTGGAGACCGCTTCTGCTCATACCGCCTGCTGAAGTGCCTCCTTTCTGGCACGCTCTCTTCATTATAGTCACAAATGGTGAGTGTTGGGAAGCTGCATGTTTCGTGTGTATTTCTTACGTATATCTGGGCAATTAGTCACAAATGGGGAGCGTTTACAATTTACACTACAAAAGGATAAACTTGCATCAGTACATGAAACAAAATTGGAAACCTTAATGTAAACACTTCAAGAACACTTTAGTCCAGAACACAGAACACTAAGGTTTACACTCCCAGCTTCCACCCCCTCCTACTTACCACCATCAACCCTCCCCTCTCCTCTCCCCCTCCTCTCCATGCATCCCCACTCCCATCCCTGCGTGCTCTCACTCGCACTCCCCTGTGGACCTTCACTCCATTGCCTCCCCTACGTGTTCCAATTCCCGCCCCCCCCCTGCACGTCCACCCCCTGGGGTGAATCCTATGGTGGTTGTTAGACGTGTTAGTGCTTCTCATGGCGATGGCAGGGAATTCAACTCACCCCCTTCTCTCCCCCACGTGTTCTTCCCCACCTGCACCCTTCCCCACGTGCCTTCTTTCCCACCCCCAATAACACCTGTCCTGGCCATCAGACGTGCTGGTGCGGTTGATGGCCATGGCAGGGAAGTCAGCTCACCTGTTGAGGCAAATCATCCTCTTCCCTCCTCCGTGCGTCCTCCTTTCCCCCCACCGTGTGTCCCCACCTGTCGATCACCCCTCGATCAATCATTTGGTGGCCATCAGACGTGTTGGTGTGGGTCATGGGCATGGCAGTGAAGTCCGCTCAACCCCTTCGCTCCCCCACATGTTCTCTCCTGTTTGTCCCACTCCCCCACCCCCGCCCTCTACCTGCCCTGCCCATCAGACGTGTTGGTGCGCTTCATGGCCATGGCAGTCAAGTGTGGCATCCTCGTTGCTCCTCGTTGTTTGTCCCACTCCCCCATCCCCCCTGTTCGCCCTCCACCTGCCCTGCCCATCAGACGTGTTGGTGCGCTTCATGGCCATGGCAGTCAAGTGTGGCATCCTCGTTGCTCACCGCCGCAGCAAGGGGCTGCACAACCGCCACCAGGTACGCTATGCTTTTCAAACGTGCACGGGATACGCAAGGCACATGCAGCACCATGCAGCACCATCCTTGTTCATTGCACACCGCGGGTGCCAGTGCCAGTGTGGCACTGTTCCGTGCGAATCTGCTTTTGTCTGTGCCATTCCACTTGTGTGTTCCCCTCCCTCCCTCCCTCCTTCCCTTCCCTCTCCCTCTCCCACCATCCGTAAACACAAACCCTTGTTGCACATCCATGCTCTACCAGTGGTGTCGACACCTGTGTGGTTACCACTTGCTGTCAATCAGTTCTTGTAAATCTACCTCTCAATCTCCGTCTCTCCCACCATGCTCAGATCCTTACCCTCGTGGAGTACACATCTTTCCTCTATCGCGCCTTTGTAGCCGCACCCCTGTGATTCCACTTCTTCCCAATCTGTTCTCAGCTGTGTGGTTGTAACCCCCTCTTTCCTTCCCATTCCTCCCCACCAGGCCCAGGTCCTAACCCTAGTGGAGTACACATCGCTTCTCTACCGTGCCTGTGTGCCGGCACCAGTGTGGTTCCAGTTCTTTCTCAACGACCAGGCATACGGCCGCCTCACTGCCTCCCTCACTGCGGGGCTCTACCTCGCATTCAAGCTCTCCACCTCGCTCGACAGGGTATGCCTCTCACCTCACCTCTTTTTAGGCTCATAAAACAATAGACTACCAGGCCGATGGCCGTTGCGCCGTGTCCCTCGCAGCGCCTTGCTCAGTGTGGAATGCTCTTCACGTCAAGTGATAGGGCCTCTCCTTAGGCGCCTCAAAAGTAGACAATCAGGCGAATGGCCGCCTCACCGCCTCCCTCACTGCGGGGCTCTACCTCGCATTCAAGCTCTCCACCTCGCTCGACAGGGTATGGCATGCTGCTCTCCTCATCGTTCCTTAGGCGCCTTAGAAGTAGACAACTAGTTGTATGGTCGCCTCACCGCCTGCCTCACTGCGGGGCTCTACCTCGCATTCAAGCTCTCCACCTCGCTCGACAGGGTATGCTGCTCATATCGCCTGGCAGGATATGGTCACGTCACTTGTGCGCAATCATTTGTTAAGCGCCTCGCCTGGCGCCTCAGAAATGTCACTCGTTCTCTATGGCTTCTTCTCATTGGTGTACTGCTGTTTTTGTGTTTTGAGACGTCTCAGGTACTGCTGTTTTTGTGTTGAGTCTCCCTTATTCCCTGTTTTTGTGTCTCGTTGAGCCATGCTCAACAATTCGTCAACTGCTGCTCAGTAGTTGAAGGTCCTGGACGGTCACTCCCCTTGTTTATCTTAAAACCATTCTCAATAGTTTCTCAATAGTTGCCGTTCTGCTGACTGTCCCTCGAAAGTCCCTCACTCTCTCCGCTTGTGCGACAGGTGCCGCTCTTTGTCTCCACGGATTTACAAGCTGGAGGATTTTCGAGTTAATTCAAATATTGATTCAACCCTTCTTCCCTTGTGCGCCAGGTGCTTCTCTTTGTGTCCGCGGTCCGCCAAGCGGTTGGGAAGGGCGAGCAGTATGGGACCGAGGCCACGCCTGACGAGGTATGCTTTCTAGTGAAGGGGAAAGATTCCAAAAGCCGCATGGCACCGTGGCCACGGCTACTAGGTGTGTATGGTCACAGCAGAGTCGACATGGCCATTCTAGGGGGGGAATGGCCATGTGGACTCTGCTTGCAGGCAGATGAGATAGCAGAATGATACGGCTCCGGGTGAGTGAACAGAGAAAACTGTTCCCGAGACGGTAAGGGGGTTGTGAAACATTTTTTTGAGAAATCGTGGGAAATTGAGAAGTGCCAAAGCAAGACTGGTTCTGACTGCAGGCTGCTGTCTCAAACAAGCAGAGCCACACGTTTCACAACCTCCTTTCACACCCCCCTCTCCTGCTCTCTCTTCCAATTCATGCTGATCGTGAGCTGATCAGCGTTCATACTCGAATATTTGCGTCCTCGCACCCCCTTCTCTCTCCTCCTTTTTGCCCCACCAGGTGGCAGCAGCCGGCAGCATGTGTGCCATATGCCAGGAGCACATGACAGGGCCTGTCACGCTGCGATGCCGCCACGTGTTCTGCGACGAATGCGTCTCTGAATGGTAAGTTATGATTGACTGGTTACCTAGTAATAATCAAATGGAAGCAGCAGTTGTACCCGTATCATTGATCGCATTCGTGGCGACTTTAACCGTGCTGTGAACCTCATTCCGTTTCACCAGTTTCCACGACTGTTGTTACAATGCTTCGTAACTTGCAATTTCCATAACCATCCGTGGCAGGTTTGAAAGGGAGTGCACCTGCCCTCTGTGCCGCATGGTGGTCAAACCAGCAGGGCTTCGCTCATTCAGTGATGCCAACACAAGCCTGCTAGTACAATTGTTTTGAAATGCCACCTTCATAGCAGTAGGTACAGTTGTTGATTCTTTGCAGCACAATCATCCTGCTATGTATCAGCACATATGTCTAGTAATCATGTCAGACAACCAAACAGGGAAAATAAAAAAAAGGATCATGCAAGCCAGAACTATTCAGTAATATCAAATCTTATCCACTTAAAATTTTATTATAGTGCCACTTGAGCCAGCAATCAGTGCCACTCACATTTCTCCAGCTTTAAGGCCTGCTAGGCCCACCGTCACCACCTGCTGCACCTCCACCCGCACTACCACTCCGACCCCTGTGAAGGAGAAAGTTCAAGAATAAAAATAAAACGGGAGCAAGAAAGAAATACAAATCAGCAGCGACAAAACTAGAATGTCTACCACGATTCCCCAAGGCTGTTACAGGAAGAGACATCCCAACATTACCGTACGACCCCAGCATGTGGAAAAGGGTAACAGCACATGTGGAGAGCACACTGGCATTTATGTGGAGGGCACATGAACACACATGTGGAGTAAGCACCAGCACTGTGAGCCAGCAGTTGTCAGAGGGAGGGGGGTGTTAGGATAACCTCTAACCACCTGCCTAGGCGGAACACCAGAACTTTGTGGAACCTCGAAACTCAAGGGAGAGGGGGGTTGGGATAGTCTCAAACCACCTGCCTAGGAGCCCCGGCACTGCCATTGCGAGGCGGCGGAGGGGAGCGACCACGGCCACGGCCACGGGGTGAGGGCGAGCGGCTGTAGCTGCGATCCCGATCTTCATTGGAATAGCTGGGCGACCTGGCAGTGGAGGGGGGTGGGTGGGAGGGAGGGAGGGAGGGATGGAGGGAGGGAGGGAGGGGGGGAGTGAGGGAGAGAGAGGAAAATGTGGGTGAACGAGAGGAAGGCGAACGAGCAGCAGGGCGCACTACGGAATGTGACCTGAAATAACCCTGCATTAACCCAGCATTCAAGGAGGACAGGACCGAAGCGAGGATAATGAACAATACAAGGATGGTTGCAGTGGAGGATTTGTCAGCAAACGGTTGCAAAGAATGGTTCATACGAGTGGCCAAACCTACCTGCGCGGAGGGCCGCTGCGTCGGGGGGGAGGGGAGCGAGAGCGGCGGCGGGGAGGAGGCGAGAAGGATCGTCGGCCTGGAGGGGAGCGCGAGCGTGATCGTGCTGATGGGGTGGGAAGAGATGCGAAGGGCGGAAAGGAAGGAGAGGGTCAGGCTCCGAAAGGGTAAGGCACGGAAAGGGTCAGGCATGGAAAGGATCAGGCACGGAAAGGGTCAGGCATGGAAAGGGTCAGGCATGGAAATGGTCAGGCACGGAAGGGGTCAGGCATGGAAGGGGTGAGGCGAACAAAGAAAGGGAGAGATATGCAACTGATGGTGAAAATGGGTGCAACGACGGAGGAGGAGAGAAAACAGCGGAAGAGGTAAAGGGTGATGGAGATGGGAGAGGGAGGTGGGGGAGTGGGGGGGATGACAGACATTGAGAGCTTCAAGTTGATCTAACAAAAAGAAGCAGCAAGAAAACCGATCCATTGCAATTATAATGCAGAGCGTGCGCAAAAAATTCAATACAGGCCTGTCACTCCATACTCACAATGGCCTCGGCGCCTCCCGAAAGATGGACGGTCCCTTGAACTATAAAGGAAACCACACACGAACATACACGCAAGCACACACACGCATCCGCAAGCACGCACGCACAAATGAAGAGAACAGAATTAGGTAAATAGTATGGCTTATGTTACAATAATCAAATACTTGATTTCGTAGCAAAACTCGTGCACATTTGCGAAACTTATATGAACCTGATCAAAACATCGACAAATTCTCATGGCAGACTGACCTGTATCGCTCCCTGGTGCTCATCTCGTCAGGCTTCTTGCGATTCTCCTCCGCGAAGACAACCGTGATCTCCCTGCCGTTGAAGTTGGTCCGATCCAGCTCGTACTGCGCGTCCTCCGCATCCGCCATGTTCACGAACTGGTAACCATGTTGCGAAATCACAACACCACCACCACCACCAAAAACAGTAACAACATTGGAGCCCGTTCAGAATCAATATATAAAAACTAACTAAGACATGTTCGTAATTTGAGGAGAAAACAAAGGGTGGTAAAGAAAAACTACCTGCACAAATCCGAATCCACGTGGTTCTCTGCGACAGCCAGGAAAGCAAGGGGATAAGGCAAGCGGAACAATGTCAGCGCCTGTATGATATGACGATTTCAATCAAAGTCTATTGCTAAAGCAAACCAGCACATGACATGGTACAATCGAGAAACTGGGGGGAAACGAAGACGGATCGAAAGAATAATGAGGGAGAGTGAGAGGGAGCAGGCTGCGGGAAATATAGGATAAAAAAGGAAATGAGAAATACGACGGTCAACATGACACGACGATGACCGACCTGCCATGTCAGACCGTGACATGCAACCTGCGATTGACGTCCTTGTGTCAAGCTGGAACCGCCATGAACCGCCATGAGCTGAACAGATCGCACTTCATAGCGTGTGCCCTTCAAGTCACGTCTGTTGTGCAAGCCTCTCGTTGCTTCAATTGCCCTTCTAGGTTTCTCGTCAAATCCCTCGTCAAATCAGCAAGATTTCTGGCAACTCCGTAACTTCGCTTGGCTTGGCTTCACTTCGCTTCAAGCTCGTCTTTCCAGCCTCGAAACTTCAGAGACTTGAAAGCTTGACCAAATTAAAAATTGCCTCTTCCCTTCCCTGCCGTAATTCCCAAGAACCCGCAAAGGCTGAAGTGTGAACAGCGAGGCAAGCAGCATAAGCTTTCTCAGGTGGTTCACTTCACGCAAACAAATAACTAGTACAAAAATCCGCAAGTGGACACAGCCGTTAAGGGTTACGGAGTTACCAACATACCCTGTGTGATAGTCCTTTGGTAGGTAGACATCCTTGATCTGGCCGTATCGCTCAAAAGGAACCCGCAAATCCTCTGGCCTGAAACATAGAACCCACAAACGTTAACGCTTCAAAAAAAGGAATCCGATTTTACTGAACGCTATCGCTCATCCCACGCTCTAAGGAGAAAAATATGTAGACATGCACCATTGAAGATTAGATATTCACCTGGTATCCCTCGGAATGTTCCTAACCAGGAGACTAACACGCTCCTTCCGTGGTGGAGGTCCACGCCTATAAGGCGGGGGGCTGCGGCTCCTGCCTCTGTCAGCCGGGGGACCGCGCCCGCCGGGGCCTCGACGAGGCTCCGGGCTGTAACCGCGGTCCGGACTGTATGGTCGCGACATGGATGATTAGATCGCAGGCTAGATAGAGAGATAAAACCGACCAAGCGAGTAGGCAGTGAAGCGTAAACCACAAGCCAATCTGAGAAGCTTAGAAACCCTAGCTTGGAGAAGCAGCCTCATAAAACTCGTTAGTGATTGTGGCTTTGTGGAGTGGGGAGGGGAGGTGCACGGTTGAGGTATCATAACTCAAAGAGGTTCGTAGCGGTTGGAGACGGTGATGTCGATGACCGCTGTGAGTACACAGCATCGTATTCAACCGTTTTGTCCAGCAGAAATTGGTTGGGGAGGGACCAGCAGGTGATCTGGATGGAAGTGGCTCTGTTGTCAGTTTGTCAGGGCCATGAAACTCATGTACAGCAATGCGCAACTTCGGCAGAATCGAAACTCGATGTAACAGTGCTCAACATCGCCACAATCAACTGCACACATTCAAAATTTCAAATATAGACACGGCTGTTACCATTTACAAAGGGCATCGTTACCCGGTCGTCAAGGCTGGTGGTCTCTCTATGTGCGCTTTCGTTTCAATTCAGACTGAGTAACCTCCTCTGCGTCCTGCAAGCTCACAAAATCAGGCGAAACTCGCGAACGACGAAATCCAGAAGCAGGCGAGGACGACGAATTCACGTGAGTGTTTTCGCATTTCTCCTCGCTAAGCCTGGGGACTTTCCAAGTCCCATGCACGTCGCATTTCGCAGAGAGCGAATCGGCACGTCGAGGCGCAATGTGACCCTTGTTTCCAATTTCCATTCGCAAAGCCTCCACGTCCCCTCTTTTCTGCACATCCTTCTCATGCGACTTGCTTCTGTTTCGTTCTGTCTCTGCTTCCTGCTCTTGCAGAGGCTCCTCCACTCCAGCTCCAACATTCTTCATGTGCAGGTCCTCTCGCAATTCTCCGACAGGAGCGTCTGCATCATTCGCATCTCCTCCCGTTTCACTTCCACTCCCTTGGACCCTTCGCGAACCACCAGCAACAGACTCCCGAGCCGTTTCCCTCTCCAAGCTCCGAATGTACGATGGAATGAGCAGTCCAAGGCAGTCATTACACCCGTGGACTCGCAATTTGAGCGTCCGTCCTAGTCCCTCAGGCCCCACGTAGTTGGGTAACACCCTCGCTGCCGTCGTGTTATCCTTGCTAAGCTCCGAACCGCACACCAGACAGCGCAGTCCATCCCACGGCGGCGGCGTGACCGGCTGGGGAGAGAATCCTGGAAAGCCGTCGATGCGTACTGAATCCAAATCTCCAGCGTTCCAAACTGGCTGATTCCCATCCCAAAGCGTCCAGGCACCTGCGTCATTAATTACTCGTTTCCCGCCAAAGCCGTGTGACGATTCAGGGTGGTGGTATTGCTGATCCTCTAGCGTAAAGGCTTTTGCGGGCACGGATACTGACACTCGGCTGGATTCGACACTTGAGCGGTCGACCGTGGTGGGCACTAATAGTGACTTGTCCTCCGCAGTCCTCATTGAAGGAAGTAGCGCAGCCGTATTGTCCCCACTCGCACCGATACAAGCAGCACCGACACTAGAAACACCAACGGCGGTCACAGTAGGACCGCTCGCGCCAACAGCAGTGGTGCGAGGACACGTGGCTCTAGTACCACAACCAGCACCGCCGCCTGTGGTGCTGCTTCTAGATTGGTTGAAAAAGAGCTGAGCGCCTGTTGCTGCGGCAGCTGCGGCTGCTTCTCCCGCGGTTTCTGCTGCTGATGTGAGACCGTCGTCCGACGGAGACGACGACGATCCAGCCACCACGGCTCGAAGCTGCTTGACGGTGTGATGGACAGCGCCTTGCTCCGCACCCCGCGTGTTTCTCCTCGACAAATCTCGCTCCCCTGCCATGCCGCTGCTGCGCTGCGCTTCGGACTTGGGCGCGCGACGCTGGGGCTGCTCGAATGTTCCCCGTGGGAACTCCGCGCTGGACGCCGACGGCCGCGTGGCGAAGGGTGATGCCAGCACGTCTTGTAATAGCATCATCTCCTGTCGAGTCAGCGTCGACTCTTGAAACGGCTCCACAGCTGCCGCTTGAAATGCCGCTGCCGCTAGCACGCCCTGCAATGGCATCGTCTCCTGCTCGGTGACCATCAACGGGACTTGGTCGTGGATCAGTGTGTGCTGCGGTGTTGCGCGCGGTACTGCTGCGTGGTGCCGTGTTGCGTGCTGTACTGCTGTGTGGTGCGGTGTTGCGTGCGGTACTGCTGCATGGTGCGGTGTTGCGTGCGGTACTGCTGCATGGTGTGGTGTTGCGCGCGGTACTGCTGCGTGGCGCGGTGTTGCGTGCGTTGCTGCCGCGTGGTGCGGTGTTGCTTGCTGCGGTATAGTGCGATGCGGTAGTTTATGCTGCAATGTTCCCTGCTGCTGCGGGAGTGAGGTGCTACCTAGTAATTGCGACCCTGAAGCTTCCCAACCAGAGCTTCCGCCAACCACGCCCTTCCCACCAGCCCCATCCAGCGCACCCTGTAAGAAGCCATCCGCTTCCCGTGCTCCCGCGGAGAACAGCAAACTGCATATCTCACGCAGCTCCTGCTCGTCGGCTTCCCGCGCCGCTTCCGTTGCTTCCCTCACAGCTCCCGTTGCTTCTTTCTCCCCCTCCTTCTCTTTCCTCACTCCAGCGTTCCCGAAAGGAGATCCGGGAAAACATGCACCGGAGTTGGCGCGTGCTTGCGGTGAGAGTGTAACGATCCCCAGGGGCGTCAGCATCGCAGACTGGACCATTGCGGACTGGACCATCGCGCTCCGCCCGCCCCCACCTCCAACCCCCACGCCCAGGCACGCGACGTCCCCCGCAGTCGCAGCCTTGGCCTTTCCAGGGACCACCGCTGCCCTAGGCCGATTGTTGACCGTTCGACCACCGGGTGAGGTCACGACTTCTTTTGACGGTGCCTCAAGAACCATCGCTTTTTCAAGGACCGCGTTCCCGGGGCGTTTGTTGGCCGTTTGATCACCGGGTGAGGGCGCGTGCTCTGGGAGTCCCAGAGAAGCGGTGGCGCCACGAGAAAGCATGGACGCGCGCGCTTTCCGAAGTTCAGCCAGCAGGTACTGGCGGTAAATGTCGTTCTGCTGTGACCGCCCTTGTCGTTGCTGCTGCTGCTGCTGCTGTGGGTTAGCTTGCACCGCAAATCTCTGGTGGGGGTTTCCCTGACTAGTAGCGGCGGCTGCTAAGAACATTTCAGCCGGGTGGGGCGCGGGCGGGTCGCCGTTGCTCCGCGAAACGGCCCTCCGCGAACCATCGTGCTCCGCGCGCTGCCCTGGTAGCCCCGCCTGCTCGGCGCACTGCCCCAGTGGCGCGCTCTGCGTTCCGGCACAGCCGCCGCCGTCGCCACGGTCGGCATCGTCCAGCAGCAGCGCTTTCAGCTGCGCCATCTCTTCTGCGCACAGCCGCCACTCCGCCTCCCTTTCTTCCGCCTCACTCCGCCCTACCTCTGCCTCTCCCACCAACGCACCGACAGCAATGGGTCTTCCCGCTGAGCCAACACTGGGAAGGTCGGGGGGAAGGTCAGGCGGAAGGCCAGGGGGAGGGGTAAGATCTGGGGAAAGGTCGCGGGGAAGGTCGAGGGGAAGGTCGAGGGGAAGTACAGCAGCAGTGGCTTGACGGTATGGCGGCGGGCTTAGCGCTGCGCCAAGAACGGCGGGGAGTGTGGTGCTGGTCGTGCTGAGGCTGCTGGTGGGGGAGAGATTCGGATGGGTGGAGTGCGACAGAGGGGCCGATTCTGCTGCGTTGGGCGAACGCGGGAATAGCAATAACGAGGATGAACCAAGATCGCCAAGGTGGGGGGCGGATAGGGCTCGGTTTCGAGAGTGGGCGATAGTAGTGAAGCGGAAATGCGTGGTACTACCGCCGAAGTGGGCGGTGCTTCCACTGATGTGGGTGGTCGTGGTGGTTTGCTGGGGTGGCGATGCTGGTGAGTAGAAAACGCCGCTGGAGCGAGCCGGGATTGAGAATGGTGAAACCAACGACGCGTCTGCTGCAGCTGCGACAATCGCGCTGTCGCCAGGAGCGGGCGCTGGAGCAGGATTAGCTGCTATGACGGTGGCAGTAACGTTCGGAACGGGCGATGAGGAGGGTTGTTGCGTGGAGAATGAAGGTGATTTCGATGTCAAACCCGCCGAGAGCGGGGACGATCGAGCCAAATCCCTCGCCACGTGATGGCGTGTCAGCAGTGGCGCCGCCACGCTTTCCTGTTCTGGCTGCAACGGTGGTTGCAACGGTAACTGCAGCGGGACTCGCGGCGTTTGCGGGGAGGGGGGGGAGCGACGAGAGGCATTCTCGTGGAACATCTCCCTCGGCGACGGAAGCTGGCTCAGCTGGTCGAAAGCTTGGTCGGGACGGCCAGCCGCGGTGATTGCGGCGTCCGAAGGACGGCCAGCGGCTGTTGCAGCGTCAATGGCGCTAGCTTCTCTCACCGCTTGCATGGCGTTAGGCAGTGAAGCGCCAGCTTTACTGGTGCTTGTAGAAGCAGAAGCAAGGGCCGCGCCGACATGGTCAATTGCGTGGCTATTGGAAGCGCGACGGCGCAACACCTCCAGAACAAGAGCCTGACGGATGCTTTCTCCTCTAAGCTGCTGCTGAGGTGCGGGTTGAACGGATTGCGACGGGGAAAAGTTGGGGTGAGAGAGGATGTGTCCTTGAGAGTTTCGGAATGTCTCAGAGGCGGAATGTGGATGAGAAGGGCGACCTCCTGCCTCGTTAGCCATCGCAGCGCCGCTAGGAGGTTAGGATTCGTAAAGTATTCAGCTACATAAGATTGTGAACGAAGACTGTCTTACGATTCTGAAGCTCCAGCAGCTTCCTGTTCGCCGTCACAGATGCTTACAGGTGGCTTATCTCATTTTTTTTTATCCGTCGGAGATGGGTGCTGCCTCTTCGGTAATGAAATGCGACATTGGAGCCTGGACACATCTGGAGCTACTACTACTTCGAGATATGCGTCGCTGAGGGCGAATGTCGAAATGTTGCTGCAGGCAGGTTGAATTGAAGGGGTTGGGTTGGGGGGGGGGTCTCTGATTGATCTGAGCTCAGAGGGCGTGCTTTGCAAGGTGGCGTTCTGTTCGGGTTTCGGAATGCATGCTGGTTGCACCTTTCGCGAACGTCGCGATGGTCTCTCGCGAACTTTCTTCTTGGCCGAAAATCTCTTCTTCCGGGTACAGTACATCGTCCGTTACAGCTGCGAAGCGAGTTCTCTCCGTCGACCCATTGTCAGGATGGCGCCCGCAAAAATCTCATCAGCAACAGCAACAGCAATAGCGCATGCACAGAGGGATGTTGGGGCTTGAGTTGAGTCGAGTGATGGTGGTGAAGGAAGGAGTGGCCTGCCGCGGGTCCCTGCCGGGTGGGACTGGGAGGGACCGGTGCGGCCTGGTCGTGGTCGTGGTCCGTGGATGGTGCAGAATGAGAGTGCCACTGTGCACCACGCGAGCTTGCTTGGACAGTGGGCTGAGCGCACTGCAGGTAAACACGAGACGACAGGAGGACAGGACTCAGGACTCAAAAATTGTCCTGCTTTTACTGTATCTTTGGACAACAGCTACAGTACGGTTAGAATCTTTCGTGTTGACGGCCCGTTAGACCACAGCGAATGAACGAGCTTGACTGAGGCTGCTGTGTATCCCAGAAGGCTTCTTGGATTGGGATTGAGCAATTGCAGGGAACGCAGTGTAAAAAAAAAGTGTCTGCATAATGATGGCTCCATGTCTTTTCCTGGAGGCTTGGCTAATCCAGCTCAGGCTGCATGTGAAGTATTGATTGGAGTGGTATTGCCGCATTCGGCGCAATGCCCCCCTGAGTGTGAAGCTGAGCACTGATTGGGCGGTTGAGTTAGACCGACAAGGGCGCGGCTTCATCTTGCCACCCTGCTTCGAGAATCCAGAAGGTTCCATTATTAGCTTAGCTTAGCTGGCTGCGCATGCTCCAGGCCGATTTAACATCAGGCCAGCATGGAAACAGAAACAACGTTCGAAATAGTCAAACATTCCTCCCAAACATACTGGTAGCTGCACTTCCAGCATTTTGTTAAAAGGACAAAAAAACAAGGCTTTCTAGAAAGTACCACTTGGTAATGATTGGGTATGTTCAGTGGAGTCCCTGACCATCACTTGCCAGCATATGATTCTGCCCCTGTGGAGTATGATTAGCCAAGGAAGGGTAATCAGCATTGAATTGCCTATTGGTGCAATCTATACAACCAGGGGACTAATCATCTAGCTGGAGCAGTGGTGGAAGGGAAAGCAAGGCTGTAAGAGGAGAGAGCAGGACTATCAGGACCCAAATGAGCTGATAAGGCTCTTTCAACTGCTGCCAGCAGCTCATCATACTGTGATGCATTTGGTTGAGCCTGCAAAAAAACAAAACACACACACACACACACACACGCACGCACGCACACACACACACACACACACACACACACACACACACACACACACACACACACACACACACACACAAAATAAGACAGTACATACCAAAAAAATCAGGGGATGATGTGAGGAAGCAGAGAAGCCCGCGGACATGGGTGGGCTGGGCTGTTCGAGCTCATCCCACTACCAGCAGCCCATCATGCAGCGCCAGTCAAGCACAACTCATGAAGCTGCGCCTGGTGCTGGGCCGGCCAGAAGGGATCATGTGACAATTTCTAGTTAACCTGGGTCTGTATGCACGACTGCGACTCTGTGTGAACAACCATGAATGGCCTTCAGAGGAAAGAGAACACAAGAAAAACAAGCAGAGAAATTGTACCGGACGCCAGACATACCTTGAGAGCTCTCACATAGGCAGTCCACAGCTTCATGTCGTTTTGGAACAGCTCTGCCAGCACCTGAACGGACACGCATACATAACACACATAGGACACACATAGGACACACATAGGGCACACATAGGGCACACATAGGGCACACATAGGACACACATAGGAGACACATAGGGCACACACACGGGGAAACAGGGATTATCATCGTCAGAAATACGACACCTGGAAAGAGCTCAAGCGAAGCAGTGTCCTTTACGCGGATGTGATGGAAGGCTTGGGTGAGTAACTTATCTTCTGCACAAGAGCACCCTACCGCATGATTCCTGGTAAAGCGGGTTGCAACCACAACAGCCCTTCACCAAACAGCCCTTCACCAATCAGCCCTTCACAAACAGCCCTTCACCAAACAGCCCTTCACCAAACAGCCCTTCACCAAACAGCCCTTCACCAAACAGCCCTTCACCAAACAGCCCTTCACCAAACAGCCCTTCACCAAACAGCCCTTCACCAAACAGCCCTTCACCAAACAGCCCTTCACCAAACAGCCCTTCACCAAACAGCCCTTCACCAAACAACCCTTCACCAAACAGCCCTTCACCAAACAGCCCTTCACCAAACAACCCTTCACCAAACAGCCCTTCACAAACAGCCCTTCACCAAACAGCCCTTCACCAAACAACCCTTCACCAAACAGCCCTTCACCAAACAGCCCTTCACCAAACAGCCCTTCACCAAACAGCCCTTCACCAAACAGCCCTTCACCAAACAGCCCTTCACCAAACAGCCCTTCACCAAACAGCCCTTCACCAAACAGCCCTTCACCAAACAGCCCTTCACCAAACAGCCCTTCACCAAACAGCCCTTCACCAAACAGCCCTTCACCAAACAGCCCTTCACCAAACAGCCCTTCACCAAACAGCCCTTCACCAAACAGCCCTTCACCAAACAGCCCTTCACCAAACAGCCCTTCACCAAACAGCCCTTCACCAAACAGCCCTTCACCAAACAGCCCTTCACCAAACAGCCCTTCACCAAACAGCCCTTCACCAAACAGCCCTTCACCAAACAGCCCTTCACCAAACAGCCCTTCACCAAACAGCCCTTCACCAAACAGCCCTTCACCAAACAGCCCTTCACCAAACAGCCCTTCACCAAACAGCCCTTCACCAAACAGCCCTTCACCAAACAGCCCTTCACCAAACAGCCCTTCACCAAACAGCCCTTCACCAAACAGCCCTTCACCAAACAGCCCTTCACCAAACAGCCCTTCACCAAACAGCCCTTCACCAAACAGCCCTTCACCAAACAGCCCTTCACCAAACAGCCCTTCACCAAACAGCCCTTCACCAAACAGCCCTTCACCAAACAGCCCTTCACCAAACAGCCCTTCACCAAACAGCCCTTCACCAAACAGCCCTTCACCAAACAGCCCTTCACCAAACAGCCCTTCACCAAACAGCCCTTCACCAAACAGCCCTTCACCAAACAGCCCTTCACCAAACAGCCCTTCACCAAACAGCCCTTCACCAAACAGCCCTTCACCAAACAGCCCTTCACCAAACAGCCCTTCACCAAACAGCCCTTCACCAAACAGCCCTTCACCAAACAGCCCTTCACCAAACAGCCCTTCACCAAACAGCCCTTCACCAAACAGCCCTTCACCAAACAGCCCTTCACCAAACAGCCCTTCACCAAACAGCCCTTCACCAAACAGCCCTTCACCAAACAGCCCTTCACCAAACAGCCCTTCACCAAACAGCCCTTCACCAAACAGCCCTTCACCAAACAGCCCTTCACCAAACAGCCCTTCACCAAACAGCCCTTCACCAAACAGCCCTTCACCAAACAGCCCTTCACCAAACAGCCCTTCACCAAACAGCCCTTCACCAAACAGCCCTTCACCAAACAGCCCTTCACCAAACAGCCCTTCACCAAACAGCCCTTCACCAAACAGCCCTTCACCAAACAGCCCTTCACCAAACAGCCCTTCACCAAACAGCCCTTCACCAAACAGCCCTTCACCAAACAGCCCTTCACCAAACAGCCCTTCACCAAACAGCCCTTCACCAAACAGCCCTTCACCAAACAGCCCTTCACCAAACAGCCCTTCACCAAACAGCCCTTCACCAAACAGCCCTTCACCAAACAGCCCTTCACCAAACAGCCCTTCACCAAACAGCCCTTCACCAAACAGCCCTTCACCAAACAGCCCTTCACCAAACAGCCCTTCACCAAACAGCCCTTCACCAAACAGCCCTTCACCAAACAGCCCTTCACCAAACAGCCCTTCACCAAACAGCCCTTCACCAAACAGCCCTTCACCAAACAGCCCTTCACCAAACAGCCCTTCACCAAACAGCCCTTCACCAAACAGCCCTTCACCAAACAGCCCTTCACCAAACAGCCCTTCACCAAACAGCCCTTCACCAAACAGCCCTTCACCAACAGCCCTTCACCAAACAGCCCTTCACCAAACAGCCCTTCACCAAACAGCCCTTCACCAAACAGCCCTTCACCAAACAGCCCTTCACCAAACAGCCCTTCACCAAACAGCCCTTCACCAAACAGCCCTTCACCAAACAGCCCTTCACCAAACAGCCCTTCACCAAACAGCCCTTCACCAAACAGCCCTTCACCAAACAGCCCTTCACCAAACAGCCCTTCACCAAACAGCCCTTCACCAAACAGCCCTTCAAGCCTTCACAAACAGCCCTTCACCAAACAGCCCTTCACCAAACAGCCCTTCACCAAACAGCCCTTCACCAAACAGCCCTTCACCAAACAGCCCTTCACCAAACAGCCCTTCACCAAACAGCCCTTCACCAAACAGCCCTTCACCAAACAGCCCTTCACCAAACAGCCCTTCACCAAACAGCCCTTCACCAAACAGCCCTTCACCAAACAGCCCTTCACCAAACAGCCCTTCACCAAACAGCCCTTCACCAAACAGCCCTTCACCAAACAGCCCTTCACCAAACAGCCCTTCACCAAACAGCCCTTCACCAAACAGCCCTTCACCAAACAGCCCTTCACCAAACAGCCCTTCACCAAACAGCCCTTCACCAAACAGCCCTTCACCAAACAGCCCTTCACCAAACAGCCCTTCACCAAACAGCCCTTCACCAAACAGCCCTTCACCAAACAGCCCTTCACCAAACAGCCCTTCACCAAACAGCCCTTCACCAAACAGCCCTTCACCAAACAGCCCTTCACCAAACAGCCCTTCACCAAACAGCCCTTCACCAAACAGCCCTTCACCAAACAGCCCTTCACCAAACAGCCCTTCACCAAACAGCCCTTCACCAAACAGCCCTTCACCAAACAGCCCTTCACCAAACAGCCCTTCACCAAACAGCCCTTCACCAAACAGCCCTTCACCAAACAGCCCTTCACCAAACAGCCCTTCACCAAACAGCCCTTCACCAAACAGCCCTTCACCGAACAGCCCTTCACCGAACAGCCCTTCACCAAACAGCCCTTCACCAAACAGCCCTTCACCAAACAGCCCTTCACCAAATAGCCCTTCACCAAACAGCCCTTCACCAAACAGCCCTTCACCGTGCAGCTCTCATCAAAACAGCCAACCAACTTCAGAAAGTGTTCCGAGTTGCTCAGAACCCACCATCCCCACCACACACACACCACATCGAACCATCGTCTCACCTCGAATCGTTGCAGCAGGGTGGCAAGGATGACGGACCATTCATGAAAGCCCACGGTGCGCATGTTGAGCCGAGCTCAGGTGACGTCTGAGTCGGCTTAACATTCAACCTTATCTCACTCACCTCGGATCGCTGCAGCAGCGTGGCGAGCACGACAGTCCACTCATGGAAGCCCACGGTGCGCACGTGAGCCAATAGGAACTCCGCGTCCAGCCGGCTCTGCAGATTGCCCTCCAGGGCGATCTGGGGGTGGGGAGGGGAGAGAGGAGAGGCGAGAGCGTGTTGTTAGGGCAGCGTGGCGACGCGAGCACGACGGTCCACTCATGGAAGCCCACGGTGCGCACGTGAGCCAATAGGAACTCTGCGGCTAGCCTGCTCTGCAGATTGCCCTCTAGAGCGATCTGGGGGTGGGGAGGGGGAGGGGGTGTGGGGCGAGGAAATGGAATTAAACCCGAAACCCTAAATTGGATAGAGATTCGGCGTCCAGCCTGCTCTGCAGATTGCCCTCTAGAGCGATCTGGGGGTGGGGAGGGGGAGGGGGTGTGGGGCGAGGAAATGGAATTAAACCCTAAACCCTAAATTGGATAGAGATTCGGCGTCCAGCCTGCTCTGCAGATTGCCCTCCAGGGCGATCTGGGGGTGGGGAGGGGGGATGGAACGGCAACAGGCGAGCGGAGAGGGGAGGGGAGGGGAGAGGGGAGAGGTGCAGTGGCGGGAGATGGAAGGAATGCAGATTGGTGGAGAGAGATTCCGCGTCCAGCATGCTCTGCTAATCGCCCTCCAGAGAGATTTGGGGGTTGGAGAGAGGGGAAAGGGGAGGGGCGAGGTGCGAGGGGAGTGGGGAGAGGAGCGGCAAGCTCCTAAACAATGTAGACTCAAAGGTCACCTAGGTACACATATCAGTGAATTCGAACCGGGTGCCTTACCTTGGAACGAGCTCTTGCAACAATCACCCCCCCGCACCCCCCTCTATGAGCAGGGGCAGGGCAATGGGGAGAACCTTGAAACCTTTTCTTGCAACAACCACCCCCTTCCCGACCCCTCTCCTCCCCCTTCTACCTTGAAGCGGATGGTGCGCAGGGCAGTGGGGAAGTCTTCCAGGCGAATGGACCTGCCTCGATCCGACCGCAAGAACTCCTGGCAGGGCCGTGGCATGGGGCATGGGTTACATGTGATGTTGGTGTGCATGCTGCTGGTGCATGGCAGAGCATGGCAGAGCAGTGCACAGCAAGTGCGCATGCACGTCAATGTCAGTCAGACTACAGGCACAGACAATGGATTACGGACTTTTGAGGCGCCTATTTTTTTTGGGAGCTTTGAGGCGCCTCAAAAGGGATACCAACAATGCCCATAAATATGTACACCACACCTGATGTATAGACACACAAACACAACACCCCTTACAGTGAAGTCGAACTGGGTGCCTTAAAGAATGCCACGAGGTTCCTTTTGAGTCGACTCAAAGGTCACCTAGACACACAAGCACAGCAGCACCCCTTACAGTGAAGTCGAACTGGGTGCCTTTAACGAACGCCACCAGCTGCCGGAGCTCCTTGCTGCTCATGAGAGCCGTAGCCTTCTCCCCCAGTATGTGCTTCACTGTCGTGTGCAACACATCCCCCCTCGCCTTGGGAGCTCTGCTTCAGAAAAGGGGAAGGAGGGAGTATGTGAGGCGGGGGACTGGGGGTTCAGAAGGGAGAGTCGTTGCCTTCTCCCCCACTATGTGCTTCACCGTTGTGTGCAGCACATTCCCCCTCGCCTTGGGGGCTCTGCGCCAGGAGGGGAAGGAAGCAAAACGAGAGGTGAGGGCAGGGTGGAAACGCCACGAGCTTCCGGAGCTCCTTGCTGCTCATGAGAGCAGTGGCCTTCTCCCCCAGGAAGTGCTTCACCATCGTGTGCAGCACGTCGGGCGCGAGGGGGAGGTTGGGGATGATGGGTGCATATGTGAGGCGGGCAGGGAACGATGTGGGAGACATGTGGGGCAGGCAGGAGGAGGGGAAGACTCAAGGGGAGCAGGGCAGGGTGGAGGGAGGGGGGTCTCAAGTGCGAGCAGCGAGTGGTGGAGAGACTCACGTGGAGGTGAAGCCGAAGGAGAAGAAGCTCTTGAGCAGACTCTCACTGGCCCTCTCGTCCTCCTCCACTGCCTGGCTGTACTCGCGCCCCGACCGCAGCAGGAACCGCACCTGGGGGGTTGGAGGAGGGGGGGATGGGGAGGAGAGAGGGAATGACCGCGAGGAAAGAGATGGAGGCAGCAGGGATGTCGTGTCGCTGGCCCTCTCGTCCTCCTCCACTGCCTGGCTGTACTCGCGCCCCGACCGCAGCAGGAACCGCACCTGGGGGGTTGGAGGAGGGGGGGATGGGGAGGAGAGAGGGAATGACCGCGAGGAAAGAGATGGAGGCAGCAGGGATGTCGCTGGCCCTCTCGTCCTCCTCCTCTGCCTGGCTGTACTCCCTCCCCCACCGCAGCAGGAAGCGAACCTGAGATGCAGGGGCGGGAGGGGAAGCATGGGAAGCATGGCAAACGGAAAGCACTGAAAAGATACTCAGAAAGAGGCATTAAGGTTGGTTCAAAGTCCACCATATGGGGAAAGGGGATTGAGCGTAGCAGGGGTTGCATGGAGAGGTACATGAAATGATTCTAGGGCTTACCAGTTCGCCTGCCAAATCGTACATAGACTCTTGCAATGCCACCTGTGGAGTCACATGGATGCATGCACACATGCACGCGTGCCCCAATGCACCCATGCACCCATGCACCCATGCACCCATGCACCCATGCACCCATGCTCCCATGCACCCATGCACCCATGCACCCATGCAGCACATGCACACATGAAGACGTGCACACATACACGTATGCATATATGCGCATGTGCAGACATGCACAAATGCCCACATGCACAAATCCACAAGCACACACACACCACAGGTTGTGAGTCAGCAAGGAGGGCAACACACAGCTGCAACTGCATAACCAACAATTTTCCTACTCCAACTGTCTAAAGGTATGAGAGGACAAACAGGCGTGGGGGGGGCAAGAAGGCGTGGAAAGGGGAAGCAGGTGTGGGAGGGGCAAGCAGGTGTGGGAGGGGCAAGCAGGTGTGGGAGGGGCAAGCAGGTGTGGGAGGGGCAAGCAGGTGTGGGAGGGGCAAGCAAGGGTGGAGGGGCCAAGCAAGGGTGGAAGGGCCGAACCTGCAAGAGCCGCAGGGCGCTTTGCTGCCCAATGGTTGGGCCTTCTAGCTTCTCCACCACCTGATGGGCGACGAGAGGGGCGCAAGGGAGCAGCAGAGTAAATGGGGGAAGCAGGAGGAAACAAGGAGGTGAGAAGGGTGATTCGTTGGCTGACAGTTAGGCCTTGGAGCTTCACCACCACCCATTGAGGACGCACAGATAAAGACAGGACCAACGGCAAGGACGGGCAAGCAAAGGCATGGCATGAGCACGTACCAGGATGTAGCACGTGGCGGTGCGATATTGCTTGTTCTCGAAGCACTCCTCAAAGAGCCTATTATGTGCGTGCAGTGCAGTGCAGACCACACACCAATGCAGGGGGGGGAGAGAGAGCCGGGAGAACGGAGTGCAGGGAACCGGAACGATCAGGAAACATGAATCACAATATGCAATGAATCACAACGATCAGGAAACATGATCATAGGCATCAATCAAGCCATAAAGGACACCAAATCAGCTCACAACCACCCACAGTTTCCTCTCATCATTCCCCCTCTTCTCCTTATCTCCCATCTCTTGATTGATCCCAAGTTCCACCGTCCACGTGTTTAATTCCCCCACCCTTCTAACGTGCTCAAATTCCTCAAGCCTATCACATGCTCACATCCCCAAGCTCTCTCTCCTGCCTTCAAATTTCCAAAGCCTCACGTGTTGGAGTTGCCTGCAGAGGCGAAGAGGTCGGGCCAGTGGCGGCTGTCGGTCTTGCGAGCCACGCTCACCACCACATCTCGATACTCCCCAAAATGCCGGATCAACTTCCACCCCACCTAATGCTTGCACCAATTACACCCAATCTCCTCATTGTTCGCACATTCCACGTGTTTTACAACCCCCACACGCCCCTCTCGTGCACAAATCCCACAGCCCTCTCACGTGTTTGAGTTGCCTGCAGAGGCGAAGAGGTCAGGCCAGTGGCGGCTGTCGGTCTTGCGAGCCACGCTGACCACCACATCTCGGTACTCCCCAAAATGCCGGATCAGCTCACACGCACGGTCCAGCAAGCTTGGCCCCTTCTTCACCTCCTTGCGCCGCCTCCGTGCGCTCGCACTGGGGGAAAGGAGAGGGAAGGGGGAGAAAGAGGAGCGGTAAGCGTGAATATTGTTTATGAGAGCCACGCTGACCACCACATCTCGGTACTCCCCAAAGTGCCGGATCAACTCGCACGCCCGGTCCAGCAAGCTCGGCCCCTTCTTCACCTCCTTGCGCCGCCTCCGTGCACTCGCACTAGAAGGAAGAACAGGGATGGAGGGAGGAGAGGAGTGTGAGGGAGAGAGGAAGAGACTCAGAGGGAGAGAGGAAAGAAATCTAGGGGACGAGAAAGGAGGATGAAAGGGGGAGAGGAGACGGTATCAGAACGGCAGGACAACAGATGGTGAAGTGGGTGTAACCTGCCAACCTGATCCCACTAGCACCGCTCTGCACCGCACTGCACAGTTCTGCACCCACCTGGATGTCTCGGCATCGAAGATGGTGAAGACCCCATCACCCCCATCACCCCCATCACATGAGAGGTGCATAACTGGCCCACCTGATCCCACTGGCACCACGTTGCACCGCACTGCACCCACCTGGAGGTCTCGGCGTCGAAGATGGTGAAGAGCAGCCACTCGAGGGAGTGGGAGAAGTGCGGCCGCGTGGCTGAGAGGTGCGCTAGCTGCACCGCCTCCTCCATCTTGTTGCGCTGAGGGGGAAGGGGGGAAGGGGGGGAAAGGGGAAGAATGGGGGGAGTGACAGGGGAAGGGGAGAGGGAGAGGGGGTGAGTGAGCGTGTGAGGCAGAGAGGTGCGCTAGCTGCACCGCCTCCTCCATCTTGTTGCGCTGGAAAGGGGGGAGGGGTGAAGAGCAATGTGTGCCGATACGCAAGGGTGGGCGTGGGAGTATATTGTTGTGATGTGACAAAGAAGGGAGTGAGTGAGGGTGTGGCAGAGAGGTGCTACCTACACCCACGATCACCCCCGCTGCTACCAACACATTACCTGTCGGCCGTACCAGCGCTACCAACAGCACCTGCTCCAAGAAGCTACGAGTACGACCACTACTGGACTGGCTGGCTATACCTGTACTGAGATTCCTCACCACTGTACCTGCAGCAAGTGCCGGAGCAGGCAGGGCAGAATCGGTTGGGCCTGGGGCGTGGGCTCGAAGCAGGGCATCTCGGCACAGGAGGAGAGCGACAGGCGCTGGCTCACACCCACGATCACCCCTGCCGCAGGCGACACCCCCAGCGGGTACACCTCGCGGTCGAAGTCGAGCTCTGGGTCTAACTGCTGCACCTCCGCTGGCTGCCCTGATGCGTCGTGGTATAAGGAGGGGTACCACACCTGGAGGGAGGGGGTGGAGGATGGGGGGTATGGGAGGCGATGAGGCAGGACGGGAATGGGAGGGAGGGGCGGTTTGTGTTGGCAGAGAGAGAAGGAGCAGGCGACACCCCCAGGGGGTACACCTCGCGGTCAAAGTCAAGCTCTGGGTCTAACTGCTGCACCTCCGCTGGCTGGCCTGATGCATCGTGGTACAGTGACGGGTACCACACCTGTTGAGGGGGTTGATTGAAGGGTATGAGAGGAGAAGGGGGGGATGATGGGGGGGGCGGTGCTGAATTGAATCAGAGAGAAGATGCATGGACGACCCTAGGCTGGCTGTATTTCCCTGCACCGCACCCTAGACTAAACTACGCCACACCGCACCGCACCGCACTGCACTGCACCGCACTCACCTGCATTCCCCTGTGGCCGTACGCCCACCAGGGCACCTCCTCGATCAGCGCAGCAGCAGCCTCGTCCCCTCCCTGCGTCAACCAGAAGTTTTCCACCCCCGCCACCAGCGCCCTCTCACTGCCACTGTCCAAGTCCAGCAGAGACAGGTCCCCATCCGTGCGCAGCAGCATGCACTTGGTGGGCTGGGCTGTGGGCACACCCTAGACTAGACTACGCCACACCGCACCGCACCGCACCGCACCGCACCGCACTGAACTCACCTGCATGCCGCGGTGACCATAAGCCCACCAGGGCACCTCCTCTATCAAGGCCGCCGCAGCCTCGTCCCCTCCCTGAGTGAGCCAGAAGTTCTCAACCCCCGCCACGAGCGCTCTCTCACTGCCACTGTCCAGGTCCAGCAGAGAGAGATCCCCATCGGTGCGCAGCAGCATGCACTTGGTGGGCTGCCTCCTCATTGCCTCTGCCAACGGGTCTTTATTCACCATGCTCGCCTTTCCAGTGCTGCTCGCCTTGCCGGATTTCACCGCTGCTCCCCTCCTTGCTGCGCCCTGCTGCACCCCTTCCTTGGATAATCTCTGCTCGCTGTTGTTGGTGCTGCTGTTGGTGGTGCTGGCGCCTTGGCCGTCCGCCTCTCGGGCTGGGATTCCTTCGCCATCCCCCTGCCCCTCCCCGTCCCCCTGCGCGTCCGCGTCCCCTGTGCGCGGCACAAAGCGCATGGAGACGAGGGGCTTGCGCGCTGACATGATGGAGAGCTCTCGCACCGTGCGCAGCTGGAGGGGGGGAAGAAGGGGAGGGGAAAGGGGGGAGGGGGAGGGAGGGAAGGGGTGGAGGGAACAAAACAAAAGGGAGAGAGCAAGGGATTGCGAGGGTACAAAGCGGCCTTGCGCGCTGACATGATGGAGAGCTCGCGCACCGTGCGCAGCTGATGGGAGAGTAGGAAGGGGGAATGGGAAAGCGAGTGGAGCTCTCAATGAAGGAGATGAGAGGTGTGGAGTTCGTGCAGTGTGGGGTGCCTTTGGATGCACATGTGTTCATGCATGGATAGGTTGTAACAGCACGTGCTGTCGCACATGCACCAACCCAGGCAGCCGCCCACCCACAACGGACCTGCACAGTGGGCAAGTGTAGTGGCGACACATCCCCCTCCACGTGCATATGGAATACTTTGATGTCAAAGGGGGGCGTGGCCACCAGGATGTAATCGCCCCACGCGTCTATCCAGCGCTAGAGACAGAGACCCCCACTCACTCTACCTTGCGCAAGCAGTGCAGCACAGCACACCTGCACAACCACCCTGTGCACACGCACCTGCACTGTAGGTAGGTGCAGCGGCGACACGTCCCCCTCCACGTGCATATGAAAGACTTTGATGTCAAAGGGGGGCGTGGCCACCAGGATGTAATCGCCCCACGCGTCTATCCAGCGCTAGAGACAGAGACCCCCACTCACTCTACCTTGCGCAAGCAGTGCAGCACAGCACACCTGCACAACCACCCTGTGCACACGCACCTGCACTGTAGGTAGGTGCAGCGGCGACACGTCCCCCTCCACGTGCATATGAAAGACTTTGATGTCAAAGGGGGGCGTGGCCACCAGGATGTAGTCGCCCCACGCGTCCAGCGCTAGAGGCCGCGCTGGGAGAGGCTGGCGGCACAGAAGGGAGGACTCGTCCAGGTGGAAACGCGGATAGAGGCAGAGCTCGTAGCTGGGAGGAAGGAGGGAGAAGGAAGGGGGGAGGCAGAAGGAAGGGGGGAGGCAGAAGGAAGGGGGGAGAGAGAGGGCGGACAGACAGTGGGGGGGTAAGTGAAGGGAGAGAAGAGCCCCGGATCTTGGGTGATGGGCAGCAGCTTGTGGCCACCAAGATAAGATGTAGTCGCCCCATGCGTCCAGCGCTAGAGGGCGTGCTGGGAGAGGGCATGCTGGGAGAGGCTGGCGGCACAGCAGGGAGGACTCGTAGAGTGGAAGCAACACACTCACTCAACACTCTGTGGGTCTTACGAGTGGGACGCCACCCTGTGGTTGCACACGATGATGATCTCGCCGACCCACACTGCGTGGCGTGCAGCACAGAAACAACTCCTTCATTCACATAACACACTCTCTTACGAGTGGGACGCCACCCGGTGGTTGCACACGATGATGATCTTGCCGACCCACAGCAGCCCCTCGCACTTGACCGCCCGCTCCTGCATCACGTCTCCAAACACGCGCCACTTGTTGGAGCGCAGGTTGTGCAGGATGACGCCCCGCCGCCCCGCCACTGCCAGGTACGACCCGTCATCACTCGCTGCCACGTGGCGCACCGGCCAGTTCACCCCCATGTACGTTTGCTGGGAGGGGGTGGGGGGTAGGGGGGAGGGGAGGGAGGGGGAGAGGGAAATGGGGGGAAAGGGCAAGCAGGGAATGCAAGCTCGTTTCTGGACGGGGAAAGGGAGCGACAGGCAGGTATGACCCGTCGTCCCTCGCTGCCACGTGCAGCACTGGCCAGTTCACCCGCATGTACGTTTGCTGGTGGGGGGAGTGGGGTCGGTGGGAGGGAGGCGGGTGGCGGGGCACACAGGGTCAAAGAACGACTTTGCTGGAAGGGAGGAAGGTGGCATATGATCTCCCATGAATGCTTGCTGGGTGGGGATGGGGAGTGCCCAACGCATTCCCACGGAAGTTTGCTGGTCTGGGAAGGGAAAGGGGTGCAATTAGGCCAAATGCTTACCAAAGTGGGCAGATACTCAACAGAATAACCACCCGCCGGCCACGAATTCTCACCCAAAACTGACGCGCACCGGCATGACGTCACTCACAGGGATGACCAGGTGTTGCACCAAGCGCCCAGACACTCACCGGGATGACGAGGTGCTGCACTCTAAGCTCCTCCTCCTCGTTACTCTGCACCAGCAGCACCCTATCCGCCCCCGCCATCGCCTGCCACACATGAGAGCTCCCCGCCACCGCCTTACTCGAGCACTGCCGTGCAAACGCAAACTGCACCAGCCGCCCCGCCTGCCGCCCCCTCACCCCTGCCGACACCTCCCCCACCATCCCTGCTTCCGCTGCTACAAGCTGGTACCCCTCCTCGCCCCACGCTACAGCCGCCACTCCCCCCACCATCGGCTCACTGCTCTTCACCACTGCGGCTGTAGCGGACCCGGCTGCTGCCGAGCCTGGCGTGGAGGTTGGGTCCGAGCCTGCGGCGGAGCTCCGGGGACTGGTGATACCAGCGGTGGTGGTGGAAGAGGAGGAGGAGGAGGAGGAGGAGGAGGAGGAGGAGGAGGAGGAGGAGGAGGAGGAGGAGGAGGAGGAGGAGGAGGAGGAGGAGGAGGAGGAGGGGGGGAGGAGGCTCATGGAGCCTTGGCGGATGGTGCACATGAGGCGACAGCCTGAGACCGACCACACGGCTAGCCCACGCAGCTTCCACCCCACTGCGAATGCCAGGTTGTCTGGCGACCAGCATATGCACGCCACTGCCCCCGTGTCCTCCAGTGAATACCTGGGAGGGAGGGGGGAGGGGGTGGGAAGGAGCGAGGATGGTTACCGGGAACGGGATGAAGCATAGGAGAGTAGGCAGGCCCACTGCTACCATTACCCCCGTTCGAGCCCACCCACCCACCCCCACTCGCCACCCCCACTCACCACCCCTACTCACACCCACCCACTCACCCCCAGTCGAAGAGCGAAACGGTTCTCAAATGCGCCGAGCTCCTGGCCAGATCAAACAGCTCCACGGTGCCTCGCCGACTACCAACCGCCAGCAGCTGCTGTCTCTCGCCCACAGCCACCGTGGCCGCGTCCACCACGCCCACCCACTTCTCAGGCGTCACCTCCTCCACGGGCCTGAGCCCCCTCTCGCCCGTGGAGCACAGCACCACGCGCCCATCCACCAGCACCACCGCTATCAGCCGCAGCACCGGGGAATATACCATCTGCGCCACCCCTCCCCCCGCTCCTCCCACTCCTCCTGCTCCTCCCGCTCCCCCTGCTCCTGCTCCTCCTGTGTCTGCTCCTGCGCTGGAGCGGCCGTTCGGGGTGGAGGGAGGGGCGGCGGAGGGGGCGGGCGGGGAGGCGGGGTAGGGGTAGGAGGAGGAGGGGGCGAGGGGGAAGGAGCGCGGCGAGTGGGGCGTGCTGGGAAGACCGTTGGCTTCTGGCACGTACATGGGCCCCATCACCTCCCTGCTGTGCTTTCGCCATAGGTCTGCTGTGCCACGCAGCTGGCGGGGAGATGGGGGGGGAAGGGGGAGAAACGATGAGTGGAGAAAGGGAGTGGGGCGTGCTGGGCAGGCCGTTGGCTTCTGGCACGTACATGGGCCCCACCACCTCCCTGCTGTGCTTTCGCCATAGGTCCGCCGTGCCCCGCAGCTGGGGAGAGGGGGGAGAGGAGAGTGGGATTGGGGAGGGGAGCGAGGAGGGGAGCGGGGAGGGGAGCGGGGAGGGGAGCGGGGAGGGGAATGGGGCGGGAAGGAAGTGGGGCGAGGAGTGAAATGGAGCAGGGGGGGGAGTGGGGGAAAGGAGCGGGTACAGAGAGGATTAATGCGCAACAGAGGATGTAAATTGGGGCCAGTCACCTCCCAGCCAACCGTGCCATGCAGTAGATTCACTGCTGTAAATTGAGATCCTCACTTTCCGCCCTCACTTTCCCCCTCCCTCACCAAATCACCCCTTCCCTCCCCTCACCTCATCACTTTCTACTCTCACCCCTCGCTGCGTCACTCCCCCCTCACTTTCATCTCTTCCTCCGCTCACCCCCCACCTGCCCACCCGTTCCCTCTCTCACCTGGCCGCGCCAGGACACGAGGTGAAGGCGACCAGTGGACAGCCCCAGCAGAATGTGATCCTCATCTGCCACCATGCCGTTACTGCCAGGGGGGGAAAGAGGAGGGGACACAGAGCGGAAGGGGGGAACGGGATGAGCGGGACAGCCCCAGCAGAATGTGATCCTCGTCTGCCACCATGCCGTTACTGCCGGGGGGTGAGGGGAGCAGAGGGTGAGTGGGTGCACGGGGGGAGGGGAGAGGGGGTACACGGAGGGGAGGGAAGGGGGGAGGGGGGTGGGGGGGGGTGCAGAGCGGGAAGGGGGAGGAAGGAGGACTCGGAAGGTAAGGAGGGGGGCCAAGCCTTGGCGAGGGGAGTCAGGGGAAGGGAAAGGGAAGGAAGGAAGCAGGAGACAGCAGTGGTCTTGCATGAACGAATCGCAGCTGCCATGCCATGGAATGTTGGGAACGGAGGGGGGCCGGCGTACATGTAGTGGGTGTTCCTGAGAGCAGCACATGTGTGGACGAGCGGAACTTGAGCGGAGAGAAGCACAAGAGATGGCAGTGGGGCGGGGGGGAAAGGGGAGAGGGAGGGGGGGGGGGGGGGGGGGGTAAGAGGCCGAAGGGGGGGGGGGGGGAGGGGGGGGGAGAAGGGGAGGGGGTGCGTACATGGAGACGTTGTCCCCGAAGAGAGGTACGCGAGTGGAGGAGCGGAACTTGAGGGCGAGCAGGGCGGGCGGCGAGTCTGGCGACACCAGGCGCAGCGGCTTGGGCGTGGTGCGCACATCGTAGAAGTGTAGCACGCTGCCCGCCGTCTAGGGGGAGAGGGATGCAGTGGGGGGAAGCGGGATGGGGTCGGGACTAGAAGGGGGGGGTGGGGAAGTAGGGGCTTGGGAGTGGTGCACACATCGTAGAAGTGTAGCACGCTGCCTGCGGTCTGGAGGGAGGGTGGGGGAGGAGGAAGGGAGAGGAGAGGGGTTGAAAGGGGGGGGGGGGGGGGAAAGAGGGATGGGGGGAGAGGGGGGAGGTGGTGGTGGTGGAGTTGAGAGATGAAACGAGCGATTGCGACAGGGGACTTGGAAGGAGATGAGATGACACAAAGAGAACTGGACCAGGAGGCTACAGCACACCAACAACCCCCCACTTCTCACCACACCAGCACTGCCAGAAGCTTCAGCATACCAGCACGGCGAGCGTTTCGACGGCTTCGTTCCATATGGCGTGCAGGTTCCCACCGTCTTCTAGGAGCGACTTGTCATCTCGCACGAACTCGCCCAGCTTCACGCGGTGCTGCGAAATTAGATCAGATGAACGATCGCAACGCAACACCAACAAGGGGAAAATGACAGGTGGTAATTATAGGACCAACGGTAGAGTTAGGCTGGCAAGCACACCAGCGAGTTAGGGTTGCGGATGCATTATAGGCATAGATACGCAAACGGTGAAGAGGATTTGAGCCGTGGTCAACCCGTCATGCTGTCCACATCATGTCGCTCCAGCCGTAAACTCCGTCACACCTCGCAAGGGCCTTAAGATTAATTAGATTCTGCCGACTCATTGAATTTCGGTCTAGCAGCCAGTACATTCTAATGCTAGTCCTTTTTAGAAGATGATGGTACAAACGCTTCTCAAACCCTAACCTGGCCGGAGGTCCATAGTTGAATGCAGGAGAGGTGAACCACGATCAGCAACCCTCCGCTGATCTCCAGGTGAACGACTGGATCGTCGGGACCGCGAGTCGTTCTGAGAACCTTCGGCCATCCGTACGCGATATACATGGCCTCCACGTGAAGCCGTTTTATCTGTTTCTTTCTACTGCCGAAAGGAAAAATAAAGCTAGAACGTAAATGTCAGACATTCAACAACAGAATGGAGATCTCATGGCCGCTCTTCTCCTATGAATCCAGCTCGAACGCGAGACGACTAGAGGAATGCTTATCTCCAGAACACCCCCCATGATGAACCTACTAATCTAGCAAGAGCGACTCGATTTTGCATTATTGCCAGCGCACAAGCAAGATAGAGGAACTAAAGATGTTTTCCTGTATCGACCCTGAGGCAGTAGTCGGCAGTTCGTGAGAACAAAGCCAGTAACAGCGGTGACGTGCTAACATTACGCGTAGTATCTGGAACTAAAAAGCTGATCACCACTTAGGCCTGACACGGCAAGCGGCTGATAGTCGCGACAAAGATCCTGAACACACAGTTTGCTGCAATGCCAATCGGGTCTGACAGGAGCTCCCCGGCCTAGTGACCGGTAGGAGGATTGCCTCACAAGTTGTTTTAACGCGAACAGTACAGTGATATGTTCATGATCGTTGCTGAAACTTTAGCACCGTATAACTTTGTTCTATTACTTTGTATTTAGCCAATGTTGAGGTTATAACAGGAGCATTGGCTAACCCTTACTTTCCATTCGAATGTTCCAACAGGAGCCGAACACACATCATACTGTATCACTCTGTTAGTAACCACAGTTGAAGAAACTAGTCAGTGTATTCCTAAATGCATATACAGGATGGAAACCTTCGTATCAAGCCAAAAAATAATCCTAGTCGGACTAAACTTCTGGGGTCTCGCCCTTGTCAGCCGCCGACTTCTTGGGAAGCAGGACGGAGTGGATGTTTGGCAAAACACCACCAGCTGCAATGGTAACCATTCCTAATAGCTTGCTGAGCTCCTCGTCGTTTCTCACGGCCAGCTGAATGTGTCTCGGAACAATGCGAGTCTTCTTGTTGTCCCTGGCGGCGTTCCCGGCAAGCTCCAAAACCTGAAAGAAAGTCGGCCAAAAGGTTAGGTACTATAATCACTCAAGCGCAATGAGGGAAAACGCAAAATTAACTGGTGACGGCTTACGCACCTCAGCAGCTAGGTATTCGAGGACTGCAGCAAGGTACACTGGAGCACCGGCACCAACCCGAGTGGCATACTTTCCAGCCTTGAGGAAACGGGCTATACGACCCACAGGAAATTGAAGTCCTGCCTTTGCTGATCTGCTCACTGCCTTCTTTCCAGCAGCCTTTCCTCGGCCTGACATGTTTCTGGGAGATGAAAGCCGCGAAGCGAGTGGTATCGTCAAGAGCTAGCGGTGAGATCGACAGAAAGCTACTAACTCAAGGGAGATGTCTTCGGAAAACTGAATAACGCTTGTGACGGAAACTGGTGATCAACAGCAAAGCAGGACCAATATTTATGAACAACCCATGGGGTGACGAGGAGAGGATGAGCTGAATACACACGAAACTATCAACCAATCATATCAATATTTGCAGATTGACAACCTCGCCGTCGGATTACGATGGCTTTAGAACAATCGACGGCAGCACGAGGTCCACGCCGCTGCCACCGCTCGCGAACCTTTTTGCGAATAACCGAATTCGAACATGCAAATCAACTGTTACGATACTGGTTATCAAACTACAAGCTTCAGAAGCTTAAACAAAGTTCTGTTGTCATAGTCAAACATTTGTATTGCTACGGTAGCTTAAACAAAGTTGTGTTGTCATAGTCAAACATTTGTATTTCTATTGAAGTTAAATTTAAGGCCTTGGCATATCTGATTCTTGTGGTCACATATACCCACGTTGTTTTTCTAGTATGGTTTTATTTGTCGTAGAACCTGGCTGGACACTGCTCAACATGTTTTGTGGTGGAAATTCCATTACTTTGCGTAAGAGCATGGCGAGAGTACATCAATATGGTGGGCTGTCACTCGTTTTGTCCTGGCAACAATTAACATCGCTGACTACTCAAGGAAAAGCTCGATTCACATCTCTCACCTCGTTTTCCAATCCACCTTGTGGCTAATCAATCGTTGCAAGATCCTGAAGGGATGCGTTCGCCTCAGGTCTCACCACACCACAACCTGGTTTTCACTGAATTGGATTAGTCAGAATCAGTTTGGAGAAGAGACTCCTTTACCGTACAATCAAGCATTCAATGTATTTCAGTATACGGAAGGTTAAAGAGCGAGCGTCAACATGGTCGTCGTCTCGAGCTTCCACTAAAGCATGAATGCACTTGGTATAAGAGGCCTGCGTTGCTACCAGGAACCACTGTATTTATTGTGCACTGCATTCGGAAAATGGGCGTAGTTCCACTCAATGTTCAGCGCAAACGGCTTCGATATTGTCACTCCCTCTGCAGTTACTTTCGAAATCTGCATTGACTAACAGCATTCAACAGAAGTGGTGCAATGCTCATACTAAGCAAAAACAAAGGAAGGAAGGACAAAAGATCCCACTCACCGAGCCAAGGAAGGGCCATGATGACGCCGCCCTTGTACTTCATCACCAGCACCTACGCTGATACCCATGCAGATACGCTATCAAATGGTAGCTACTGTCTCACCCATGGTGTCAGCCGCCATGATGATGTCATCCTTGTACTTCATCACCAGCACCGACGTGCCCGTGACGTACGGGTACCTGCGAGCAACGCGCGTGCGCACATATGCATGGGATATGAGAAAGGTGCAGGCAAGGGACACGCGTGCGCACATATGCATGGGATATGAGAAAGGTGGGAAATCGGGAATGGTGCAGGCACGCATGCATGGGACATCGGGAATGGTGCAGGCACACATGCGTGGGAAATCGGGAATGGTGCAGGCACACATGCATGGGACATCGGGAATGGTGCAGGCACATATGCATGGGAAATCGGGAATGGTGCAGGCACACATGCATGGGAGATCGGGAATGGTGCAGGCACACATGCATGGGAAATCGGGAATGGTGCAGGCACACATGCATGGGAAATCGGGAATGGTGCAGGCACACATGCATGGGAAATCGGGAATGGTGCAGGCACACATGCATGGGACATCGGGAATGGTGCAGGCACACATGCATGGGAAATCGGGAATGGTGCAGGCACACATGCATGGGAAATCGGGAATAGTGCAGGCACACATGCATGGGACATCGGGAATGGTGCAGGCACACATGCATGGGAAATCGGGAATGGTGGAGGCACACATGCATGGGAGATCAGGAATGGTGCAGGCACACATGCATGCGACATCGGGAATGGTGCAGGCACACATGCATGGGACATCGGGAATGGTGCAGGCAAGGGATGGGTAGGGATGAGTGAGTTGGGAGGAACAACTCGGTGGCGAGACAGAAAGGAAACGAAGCGGAGAGGCATTTCGAGATGATTCAAAGCAACGCGCGTGCGCGCACATGCACGGAACACGGGGAAGGTGCAAGTAAGGGATGCGTGCGAGAATTGCAAGGGATGAGAACGAAGGATCTGCGAAAGTGATGAGTTGGAAAAGCAAAAAGAAACGAGGCGGAGTGCGAGATGGGATGAATAGAGTGAGAATTTCCGGGAATTCACGAATTCCGAGAGGGCACACGCCGACAGAAGGTGACTCAAGATTGTTAGGGTTGGTTCGCCCAACCACGGAACCTACGGCGAAAGCTTCTACGACGGCGGAATGACGGCGAAATGGAAGCACGTGGATGATTCTAGGTGAAACGGTGGAAATCGGCCTACGGTGGAGAATGGAAGCTACGGCGTGAGAAGCGAGAGAGAAATTGGGAAGAAACTAGAGAAATGGAGGAAGAAGAGTGAAGAAGTATCGAGATTGGAGTTGACAAGGGGAAATTGTGGTTCGAGACTGAGGCGTGTTCGAGAAGGTGCTGGATTCGGACTCGAGGAGTGTTCGGCGAATTCGGTTCGGTTCCGTGTGCGACTCGGGGTGAAACGAGGCGCACGCGGTTACTTGGGAAACAAGTGAAGTTACGAATCGCATTTTGTGTCTTGCTTGACTATAAAACTGCTTGTACTCATTCTGGAAATCACAACATTGAAACCAATCAGATTCTGAAAATTGCTGAAGTGTGTATTGACAACTTCAAGCAGAGCTGCGCATATCATTGGATTCGTGAGATCGTGGAGAACACGATAAGCAATAGCAAGTAGACTATTGCCGACTAAGGTGTTTACGATCCTAAGAACTGGTATCAGAGCTTGGCGAACGAGCTCGTCGATCGCGGTGAATTCACTTGGTGCGCTAAGTGAAATTAGTGGAGAAGAGGAGTCGTTCACACCTACGCCATGGGAGACGAGGCGAGTTCGGGTTCCAGTGTGAGTCTTGGAGACCCGCAGTTGAAGGCTCTTCTCGAGGCCCTTGCGAGTGGCCGATTGGTGGCGAAACCGACGATCGGGCTCAGTGAAGCCCAGCGCTTCAACGGAAGCAACTACAAC